TTTGCCGAGTTGCCATGACCCTCATTCCGGGGCCAAACATCTCGCGCTCCTTTTTGGCATCCGCAACATTTTCATAGGGCATGGGCATGGGCATGGGCACGGGCATGGAACACCATCTCCCATCAGCATTGTCATTTGCATATTTTGCGTTGCAATTTTCGTAGCGAACTTGTAAATTTGACTTTATATATGCAAGGTGCAAATCTGTTTAACGTCCCTTGTGTGCCTCCTAGGGGGCCAGGGCATCAAAATGCATTTATGCAAAGGCCAATGGAACTTACAGCGAAATTAAGTCACCATGGCCGACAACGTAACATCCGACTGATGACTGGAAAAGGAAAGTGTGGAAAAATTGCTGTGTATATCAATGGCAGTTGATGGGAAAACTTTGGCCGCATTTTCAACACGAGAAAAAATAAATATTATACCATCTCTCTCTCAAAATCTTTATGAAATATGTAGCAGATAAACCGAATAAAGAGGGAATTGTTAATTAAATAATGTGAAAAACAAACAGGAGGGAAATGTAATATCAATATAAAAACATTAAGGAACATAATGCATATTTATTTTAACCGAAAAGCCGGAAAAATCAACGGGAAATTTTAAATATTAAAAGGCCGTGTTGGTTCAAGGCTATTGTGGCATCATAAAAATACAAATGCGAAACTAGTTTATGACCCATTATACCATATCTTATCGCCCCGAATTATGTTTCATCATACTCATCCTCATCATCCTCCTCCTTGCTGATTCGTATTCAAAAGTGTGCCCACTAAACATTATCTGCACAAAAATATAAGCTCGTAAATGTGGAAAACACTCTATAATGAGCTAATCAAGCAAACTCCTCCAACAAAGTTCTCTCTGTCGATAAATGCAAATGGTGGTGTCGTTTTTCGGTTTTTGGCCACACACAACTTTTACGACGGGGCATTACAAAGTCAACAAAACGAAGCCGTAAAACATCAGACATCATTCGAGAGGGGCTAGCACCACCTAGAGAGATTGCCTGACTGGCTGGCAGCTGTAAACAAAATTGGTAAACGCAGCATAAAGGCGCGAAATCAAAATTTGCAAATAAAGCTTACGGTTTTCACCGATTTCCCGCGGGCCAAACAATAGCCATTAAGCTTTGACGACATAGTTAAGTCCTGTGAGGGCATTTTCTCGAGCCGAAATAAATTCATTTCGGAAGTTGAAATTTGACAGAGTGTTTTCTAATAAATTATAACACAGTTTGTGGTGTGTTTGCTAATAGCTGGCAAGTCAACGAAGCTAATGCTGTTGACACGCACACACAGAGTCTCGCCTCAATCGCATTACGTATACGCCACGTTGAGCGCATTTTGGCAAAATGGCAATTGACTTTAATTACTTCGCCTCAAAAAGTCATGCAGACTCTCTTCTGTCTGTGTGTGTGTGTGTGAGTGTGCTTAACCCACGATGTCATCGACGTTGTAGAGGAAGCCACCGGCAAGGTGGAAGGAAGAAGCTTTCATTAGTTTTTGGGCGGAAGCCACTAAAAGTCTTTACATGGCACACAGCCACTCCTCCACTCCACGTTCTATATGAAAACAGTTTGTGAAATTTAATTTTCAGCACACTTGATTTTTAAATGGCAGAACGCTCACGAGGGAGGCGCCAGGAAGAGTGGAGCAGCAATGTGCAATGAAATTTGCTGTTAATTTGTACACGAAATGTCTCTATTTAATTTTAAATTGCTTTTCTGGTAAATGTTATGAATTGGCTCCGAGTGTGGCTGGCCACCAAAGGTTGTTGTAAATGCCATGTAAAAGGGGAAGGGAAAAGGAAAAATTGCCATGTTCTTGTGGCTGGCTGATGCTTTCAATGCAATGCATTCAATGGGAAGGAAGCGGCTGAATGGACTGTATGACTGCTGGTGCATATCTCACTGCAAGGAAACCCAAAGGCACAGGAAGAAAATATTTAAATTTCAAAGATTTATTAAACGAAAAAGAGCATAGAAAATAATGAATTATTATTTAAGAATTTTTATTGAAAAAAGTAAGAAGACATCCACATTGATGGATTGTTTTCTGGTTACTTTAATATTTTAAGATATATTTTGAAGTCTCTTGAAACTTATTTTCAGTGCTGGAAGGTGCTGGTGAATGAAACCAACGGCTGCTGTGGGATGCGTGTGCAATCTGGCAATAAATATTTTATATTTACAATATTCCTCTCTCTTCTGGGATCTGGCAGCAAAGTCGAGCATATTGATTCCTCTTTTCGAATGCTCACGGCAAATAGTTGTGCAAAAAGTTGGAAATTGTATTGTTATTTAAATCGTTTAATATTCGCCAGCTGAATCCTTAATGGCCGTAGATGCACTTTGAGTTTTAGTTTGGTGAGGGCATTCCCATGGGCACCGTAATTCTCGCTCGTTTATGGCATGTTTTCCTTAAATGTTTGCTCACTTTTACTCAACGGAAATCGGGTTGATGCTGCTGCACTGCCGCACCGGAAGTTGTCTCTTTTTTTGTTGTATATATTTTATTTTATTTCTTTTATGACGCTGCATTTTGTGGCATATATGGGCCGGGGGCCAGCTTGTCTTGGTTATAGTCCTGGCTTTATTGCTGCCAACTGCTCGACCAGGCCAATTATACATATATACAGCTGCTTTGGCCTGGCTATTTGGGGACTGGTCAGAACCCGTACCCAAACCGAACCGTGTTGCGCATCGTAAATGAGTCTGGATATTTCAGCAGAGCTAATGTCTGGCCAAGCGACTCATTGGGGGTCCTGCTATGGCATAATAAACATTCGCTGTAATTAACATTTTACGGCATCTCTTCTTTGTTAACATTATAGTTTAGCCTAGGAATTGTAGTGGTCTAGGAAATACCTATTTGATATGAATTAACAAAAATTTTAGTTTGAAGAAAGTACAGCACAGTCTATTAATATCATAGTTATACGCTTCGGTATGGATATTATATTTACTTTCTTTCAATACCCATTGGAGGGACGGAAGCCAAGGCCTTCATTCATCATTAAACACATTAAAAGCCTTGGCTTCTATCACAATGGTCTATTATAGACATAAAAAATTGATACAATGATCACTTTACAAAATATTTTTAAAAGTTCCGAAAAGGTTGGTTATTTGATGTTAAATAAAATGTTAGATTTCCAATACATATTTAAATTTTTACAGAAAAATCTGATACTGTCTAGTTCGAAGCTTTTTGGACAATTAGCAAAGTCATATTACGAATTTGGTATCTTTTAGGACGATGCCCTAGGCTCTCCACAAGTTGTTAATAAAATTTATTTGGAAATGAAACGACTTTGTTGTTTCTTCTCCGACACACACACACAGTCATAGTCATCATTGTTATTTTGGGAAGTAATTAAGCAAACTTTCTACTGTCTTTTCTTAGGTTGTTGGATTTTGTTTTTATTCCTAGGCCATCACGTTTGACGAACACTGACATGGTCGCCAACAAGAACACGAAGAAAAAACATGGGAAACACAGGAAAATGAAAAGAAAAAAGGAAAATAAGCGAAGAGCTAAACCAAACCTACTGAAGAGGGCCTCAATTTTCTACGTGCACACCATAAAGTTGATGTGTAATTTGTTTTTATATGCATTCAACAGAACTTGCCAAATTCTATTACAAGTTTACAATTGTATTACGGCTAAGAGAGCTCTCCGACTCGTCTTCACCTTAATAAACCATAACTAATGGGGTCGCACAAGCAGAAGCAGTAGCAGCAGTAGAAGCACAAGTATCTGCAAGATACTCGCACTTGTGGGCTGAAAATGTTCGAAAATGTTGCCTTTAAAGCGTCGAAAGCAGCTTAGGAGCTTTCAATTTTTTGTTGCACAATAACAAAACGCCAACGCGACTAAACAAGAAAATTGAGTGTAGGAAAAGCGAAAAGCAGAACGGAGAAGAGCAAACAAGTAAATGAAATTTCCGTTTTGAGCTGTTCCCTCGCTCCCTTTCCTTTCTCGATCGTTTAGTGTATCAATAACTGAATAACAGGCTAAGAAGGCTCCTGGCCCTGACTCTGTATATGTGTATGTTTGCTGTTTGACTGTTTGTGTTACCCAACGAAGCCTCAGACACTTGGCTGCTGCTTTGTTTGCCTGTGCAATTTGAAATGCCGGAAATATGCTTTAGCTTTATGGGTTTTTGCTCATCTCACACAGCTCAAACTGCGACTCAGACTCAGACTTTGGCCATTCAGCCACTCTCGGAAATCTGTGCTCAGCTCTAGCTCTGTGCCCCCCAAAAAGTTGGCTCAAATTACTGCGTCTAGCCGCACAGAGAGTTACAACGAAACAGTCGAGATAATATCTTTTGATTAGTGGCAACCGCAAAAACTTTAATTAAATTCACAAACACACACTCACACGATTCTCAGCTTCTGGAGAGGAAAGTTTATGCCACATTTGCCATGTCACCAGATAAGTTTCCAGTGCCTGGACACACACGCATGTGGACCAGACCATTTCAGCTTTGGTCTTTAAGTTTTACAATTCAAAAAAACAAAGGAAACATTACATAGGAAAACTTTCCCGCCAAAGTTATGCCGAGTTTTGGGGCCAAAATCCAATGAATTAATTAGTTGAATTCGAAAAAGAAGCCAGAAAGCTTTGTGGAACCCCACAAGAAACCCTTAAAGCCTTCATTGTAATATTTAGGGAGTATATAAAATTATTTAAGTACCCTGTAAGTATTGCTTTAAAAAGGTTTAAATTTAATTTGTTCATTTACAGCAATAAATACTTGATGATGGATGAGAAACCTTCAGTCCGATATGAAGAAATAATAGTTGAAATTGCAAATTAAGTGAGATGTTGATACCTAGTAGCTGTATATTTTTAATAAGGTAAGAAGTATTTGTTTTTATTTTTTATTTTATTTATATTTATTTATTTGGTTTTTGTAACTTTAAAGACACACGAGTGTAACCTCTTTATATATATATATATATATATATATATATTCCTATTATGCCATAAATTTCAACCAGGGCGAATCCGGGACAAAGACAACTGAAGCCAGCGACTCGCAACACACTCCCCAGAAATAACTCATATCGAATTGCACCATTTGTTGTTTTGTCTCCCCAGAGGGAGAGGATATTGAGTTACTCTGGCGGGGATTTGGGATGGTATTGGGTATTTTAGGAGGGCTGCGGCTCGTTGGCTTCCGTTGCCCGATGCCAATGGTTTGCCTTCTGGTGGCATTTAATATATATTGTGTTTCATTTTTTGTTGCTTCGTTTGACGCTTTCGATTTTGATAGATTTATCACAGCTTACCATAAAATAAGTCGAAAATAAAACAATGAGAACAAAAATTATAAAAAAAAGAACTCTATGCAAATGAAAAATCTAAAATTATGTCCATTAATTAGATGATGTAATGGCCATCCTATCATTGCGCCACGTCCACGCTCCCGGGCATTAAGTTTGTCTTCGCTCGCACTCTTTGGCCGGGAGTCGTTGACATCGCTGTCAATGGGATGCAATTAGCATTACATCATCCTTACATATCGTCATCTCAAGTACAGTACAAAAAGCTACAAAATCATGGGCTTTGATACCCGTTTCTTGTGTTTTATAAAATACAATTGAAATATGCTTAACCTACGACTAAAGTGTTTCTCATTTCGTTGTCGTTTTTTTTTTTTTTTTTTAATATTTTACCGACTATTTGGAGCTCTTCTTCTTTTTGCTCTTGGGCATCTCCGCATACAGCCGGAAGAAGTACTCGTCGCGTTGAAGCAGCCTGCCGCGCGCATACGAATGGATATCTGCATCCATGTTGTGGTCACGCAGCCACGACGAGGTGTTGCACGTGCTCATCTCGGTGCGCGGCTCGTCTGGCAGGCTTTCATGACCTGGATCGAAAAGGAATGCAATTGATTATAAGTTTTGACGAATTGCGCTTTAAGCCATTTTCACAATTCCGTAACTACCAAGCCTTTTTGGAAGCAGGAATTTAAATGATCAATTTATAAAGTAGGAATTTTGAAACTAAATTGGAAATGTTTATCTAAAAGTAATACTTACCAGCAGTCATGACCTTGTAAGGCTCCTCTGATTCCAGAGGTTCACTCAGACCAATCTCATTCTTGGCAAATATGCGTATCATATACTCGTGGTTCTCCTGCAGGTCTCTGATCTGGAATTTCTGCACGCCAGCTGGCACACGACCAACCTCAATCCACATGGTCTTCTTCATGTCCCTTATAGCGATGTGGTAACCGAGCAGAGGCGCACCTCCATCTGACTCGGGAATACCCCATTCGAAGATATGGGCATTGGCGGCAAGAACGCGCGCCTCCAGTGGAGCGGTCGGAGGTGATGGTACGGCTAAAGAAAAATTTGGAATTATTTAGAGAGTCTCTATTAAGTATTTCCAATGTCTTTGACTTACTGGCATGTGTCTTGAGCGAAACGCTCTCGGTGACGGCTGGTGCACCTAATCCAGCCTCATTCTCCGCAGACACACGGAACCAGTACTCGCACTTCTCCTTCAAATTATCGATCGTGTAGTGCAGCTGGTGAGCGTCCAGTGTAATGACCTTTGACCAAGTTGTAGATGTTGACGAACGCTTTTCCACGCAGTAGCCTGTTTTGGGTAATGAAAGGGTTAAGTCCGTCTGAAGTTTATAGTATTTAATATATTTTACCCGTGATTTCGGAACCACCATTGCGGGCTGGCACCTCCCAGTCCAAGGTAACACTTCGACTGGTGACATCCGGCGCCCTCAGGTTCTGAGGCGGCGATGGTGGCGCTGGGAGTTGAATAATTCGAGAAAATGTATTAGAATTTCAACTTTCTTCAGCTTTTTAGTTGAGTTACGTACCCACAATTTCATTATCAATAGCTGTTGTTGATTTGGGATTAGGTTTGCGCATAATTAAGCATTAGTAGCGTTTTAAAATAAGCAATATATGCGGAAGCAATAAGCAATTGGAATTATGTTTAAACAATTTAAGAACTTACTTATCTTGCGACCCACGACAATCTTCTCCGTGGTCTCGTACGCCTCACTGGTGCCAGCCTCGTTTCTCGCATAAATGCGGAACAGATAGCCCTTATTTCTGACCACCTTCTCAACGTGAATGTTGGTGACAGTGCCCAGGCTAGTGCCCACCGATCTAAAGGTGGTTTCAGTCTCTTCCCGTATCTCCACAATGTACTCAATGATTTTAGAGCCACCATCGTTCTCGGATGGTTCCCAGGCCAAATTGAAGGAAGTGTCGTTCATTCCCGATACAGTTGTGGGGCCACGTGGTGGCGATGGTTTTTCTATAGAAATTTATCATAATTAAATTATGAGTAATTTTAAATTAGTATAAATTTATATATTTATCTTACTAAAACTTTTAAATAAAGTTGCAAAAAAGTAACTCAACTTACCAAACTTCCTAGTTATAGTCACAGGGTCACTTTCCGTGGGCTCTGATTCGCCAATTGGATTGGCGGCCACCACACGGAACATGTACTGCGCGTTCATCGATAATTTCTGAACCGCATAGGATTTGATGTCCTTATCAAAGTCGGAGACCTTCATCCAGACATTGTTCTGAACGTCGCACTTCTCCAGCGTATATTTGTTGATATCCAGACCGCCGTCATCAATGGGCGGTGTCCATTCCAGGGTGATCGAGTCCTTTTTAATGTCCTTGATCTCCAGGGACTGTGGTCTGCTGGGCTTGTCAATCACCTGAACCGTGCACTCCACATACGTAGAGCCGGATTCGTTGGTGGCCGTGACCTTGTACTTGCCAGAGAACTCACGGGTGACCTTCTTCACCGTATAAGTGGAAGTGGTCTCGGTTGTCTCGATAGTTACCGTCTTGGTGGTCTTCTGCTCCACCGACTCCTTGTGCCAGGTCACGGTGGGTTGTGGATAGCCGCGGACCGTTGCTGGAATGGTGAGAGTGCTGCCCGTGCGCAGTTTTTGCGCCAGATACTTGTCCTCTACCTCGAGGACGGGCTTCTCCTGAAGCCTCAGGCGGCACGAAGTCTCCACGGTGCCCTTCTCGTTGGTTGCCACACATGTGTAGGTGGCTTCAGTCTCAATGGTTGTCTTTTCAATTGTGTATTTGGCTACACGGTTCTCATAACGTTGGCTGCTCGACTCGAACACCTTGCCGTTCTTCTTCCACGTTACCTTAGGCTCTGGAATGCCGCCGAACACGCAGGACAGGGTGACCTCCTTGTCCAGTTCGCTAACCACATCTTGCAGGGGTTCGCGTACGCTTGGTGGCTCGGTCTCGACCTTGGGCACCAAACGGATGGGTGGCGAAGCCGGCGAGGGCGGTGAGGGTCCAACCTCATTCACTGCAATCGAACGGAACACGTACTCGGTGTCGATCTTCAGCTTGCTGATGGTGTACGTAGTGTCCTTTATCTTGCGAATTTCAGTCCATCTGGGAAAGTAATATTATTGTTAGTGATTATACAGATGCGAAAAAACAATAAGCAATTATAAATATTATTTATTAATCACTCATTTTATATTTTTATTAAAACAGCAAATTTATAATTAAAAAAAAAAAAAAAAAAACAAGTTAATAAACCAACTGGCACTTACTTTTCTTCCTTAACATCGTGGTACTCCAGAATGTATTCGATAATTTCGGACTTGCCATCGTCCTCCGGCGCCTTCCAGTATAGCGTAATGGAGTCGTGCATTATCTCCAGGGGTTGAGGAGTGCCAGGTGCTGTCGGCTTGCCTAAGTATTTGATTAGGGTCATCAGTTCCGCACCAATTAACTGGCATCTAAGCTTAGACTATGGTACTTACGCATAATGACCAATTGCAGGCTAGCCTCCGCCTCGCCAACAGGGTTGACAAGCTTAACGGTGTACTCGCCCTCGTCATCGTCAACAACCTTTTTGATGGTTAGCGTGGCAGACTGTTCGTCAATGGCCGGGATTGTGCGCTTTGACTTGGGTATGACAACCTTGCGCGTAGTCCAAATAGCCTCGGGTGTTGGGACGCCTGTGTACTTGACAGTGAAGGTGGCATCGTCATCCTCCTTTACCTTGATTGTCTGATCCTTGTCAGAAGTAATAACGGGTGGCAGTTTAAGCTCCTCCACGCACAGTTTAGTGCTGCTGGTGACATTCTCTGCCACGCAGCTGATCTCGCCGGCATCGTCGTCACTGGCATCGTGGATGACCAATCGTCGGACAGTACCCTCGACGAAGACCTCATGCTTCTTGTTGGGCTTGATTGGCTTACCCTTCTTGTACCAGGTCACTTCCACGTCGGGTTGAGACAGTTCAACCGTAAATTCGGCATCTGTGGTCTTTGTGGCCAGTGTGACGTCCGGCAGACGGACGACAAAGTTAACCAGTGGCTCCTCGACAGTCAGCTTAGCCTTGGAGGTCTGTTCGCCGACCTTGATGGAATACTCGCCAACATCCTCGGGCTTGGCCTTGAGAATGCGCAGGGATTGCTTCTTGCCATCGATGGCCAGCTGAATGCGTTCATTAAACACAATCTCCTTGCCGTTCTTATACCATTTGACCAGGGCGTCGCCCTTGCTAAGCTCAACCTCAAATGTGGCGTTTTCACCCTTAGTCACCGAAACGTCCTTAAGCGGCTCAACAATCTCTGGCGGCAGCTCGATGACAACCAGCTCACAACTGCACTCCTGTCCCTCAATTTTGCAAGTGTACTGACCCTCATCGTGGATGGTGGTATCGCGGATAACCAGGCGACGAGCCTTGCCGTCCTTGATGAACTCGACATTCTTGTTTTCAGGCGTGATTTTCTCGCCGTCCTTAAACCAGGTAACCTCAGTTGCCTCTGTAGTAAGCTCTACATCCAAGATTGCCGTATCCTTTTCGGTTACTTCGTAGTCCTCAAGGATCTTGATAAAGTCAGGCTTGCGTTGGAGCACCTCCACAGTTGATTGAGTCTCTTGCTTCTTTACCTTGCACACATAGGTACCAGAGTCACGAAGATTTGTGTTTCTGATCACCAACTTGTGGGTCTTGCCATCTTCAACAACAACACGATGATCCATGCCGCTGAGCTCCTTGCCATTAAAGAACCACTTGGTGGTCACCACGTGGGAAGTTTCGCATTCCAGGGTAAGAGATTGAACCTCTTCGATGGTAATGGTCTTCTTCAGCTTCTTAGTGAAGGTCACCTCATCGACTTCGACAATCACACGAGCTCCGTGAGATGTTTTGCCAATTGGATTGCTGGCAATACACTTGTAATCACCGGAATCGGTTTCGGGATTGGCATCCTTAATGATAAGCTCAATGTTCTCGCCATCGTATACCTGCTGGATGCGCTCGCTGGGGAACAATGGACTGTTGTTAAATAGCCATTGAACCTCGGGAACCGGATTGCCTGAAACCTTGGCTGGCAAACGAATCTCTCCCTTTTGCGGCACATTCTGCTCCTCGAATCGTTCCACAAAGAGTGGTGGCTCTGCGTTACCGCTGGTGGGTTCTAAAGGGAGTAAAATTAAATATTTGTTAATAGCAGAAAAAAATCAAAATAAATATAGGGCCGTCTCAAACATGAAACAAAGTACATACCTTCGATTGTGAGATTAGCAGTAGTCTCCACACTGCCCAAAGGATTTACAGCCTTAACGGTGTATTCACCCTTCTCGGACTTCTTGGGCGTTATAAGTGTTAAGGTGTGCAAATCCTTGTCGGACTTGGCATTCTTAACGGGCTTGCCATCCTTATACCACGTTACCTTTGGTGGTGGATTACCCACAATCTGGGTGGAAAGCACGACACTCTCACCTTCGCGAATGACCATGTTGCGCAGGGGTTCCAAGATCTGCGGAGCCTCTTGGTCGGTGGTTCGCACCTTCAGTGTGATCGGAAGGCGTGCCTCACCCTCGCGATTTGTAGCAATTACCTCGTATGTACCTTCTTGCGATTTTTTCACCTTGGTGATATGCACCACACTGCAGTACATGTGCATATCTGATTCGGTAACGATGCGAACATTCTTGATCTCTTCCTCGTCAATGTCCACACCATTAAAGGTCCAGACAATGTCCGGTTCTGGAACGGCTACCAGTCGGCACTCTAGAATAACATTTGTATTCTCGTCCACATACTGGGCCTTTGGTTTCTTTGAGAAGGTTGGTGGAATTCCCTCCAAAATATCTGCCAGCGACGATTCGCGGGACATACTGCGACGTGATAGGGCTGTGGCATCAGAACCATGATCGGACAGTGGACTCTCCACAATCAGTTCCGTGGTACTGGAAGTAAATCCAGCGGCGTTTTTAGCCACACATGTAAACTGGCCTGCATCTTCGGGGAAGACTTCGCGAATAATCAGGGTAGCCACATTATCGTCATCGTAGAATATTTGGAAGTCCTGCGAGGGCTTTATAATGGCCGTCTCGCGGAACCAGGCAATCTGCGGTCTCGGGCTACCCTCAACCTTGCACTCGAACTGCACAGTGTAGCCGTCAGGTGTGTGAATGGGCTGCAGTTTTTCAATAAATCGCGGAGCAATGGGCTTGTCTTCTGGTCCAGGACCTTTATAGTTCACAATCACAACAAAACACAGAATTGTTTGTTAACAACCAGACGCGGACAGCGACAAAACAATGTTAGGCCTGACAAATAGCCAGATTTAAAAACAAAATACTTACGTTCAAACACAGGAAGCTTATCGATCTTCTCGTGCAACTTATTTTGCACATACTGAGCGTATTCATCTGGCTCCATTAGATATTGAGCAGGAACCCAACCTTCTTCCTCGGTAATGCTCTTCTTGACATACCACCACTCAGAGCTGTGACGTCCAATGACTGTTACCTTTTCACCCTCTACTAAGTTGATAGCTTCGTCGTTGTCGGCAATATAATTGCAAATGGAGTACATAACATTTTGATTTTCCGATTCTAAATTTTATAAATAAAATATTATATCTAATTTCGAATTTTATAAAGAGTAATATTCACGTACCTTCAACATTCATTTCTCTGGTGATATTAAGCGATGCTCCATCTGTACAAAAATAAATTTTTATTAGTAACAATTCCCAAATGCACGGTAAAGCATTGAAGGTTTTTAACAATGAGTGGTTAAGCGTTAGCAACCGACATTTAAGTTGGGTAATTTTACCTTGCTACGCTGATATCATATAAGCTGATATTTTTTAATGTGAAAGTAAAGCATTTTGATAATCATATAAATTACCATTATTGGCGACAGAAGCCGACTTACCTTCATTATACAGTTGTTGGACAACCTTACGTTTCTTCTTGAACGTCAGAGAATCTTCATCATAGGTAACAGAATCACGTTTCGGATGCCGAATGCCAATTAGGAACTGCTCTTCTTCCTCGTCCTGAACGGAATAGGTAGGCTTGGACTGCTTCTTAGGCTTCAGCTTGAAGTCTACCTCATCTGGTGGCAGTTCCTCTACAAAGTACTCTTCAGGCTCCTCGACTTCATCGATGGTATCCTCATCGTCTCGAATCTCTTCAATGATGGGCTCTTCACCATCGTCGTAGTCTTGCATGATCTTAATGTGGGCCTCGTCGGCAGCCTCAGAGAAGGTCTTTTTAATGGGCTTCTTAAGCTTGACCTTGCCAGACATGGAGACTTCCTCCTCCGCATACGAGTCTAGAGCAATGTTGAACTCCTGATCCACATCCTCCTTAGTCTTTGTGCTTCTCGCACGGAACGTAACGTTCTCAACGTCAGCGTACTCGGGAATGTCCACTTGCTTGCGGCGCTTCAGCTTCTTTACGGTGTAGGCTTCCTCACCTTCATCAGTGATCTGCAGAGGCTTCGGCTTGGCACGCTGGCTAACGACAAACTCTTCGATATCTTCGCCCTCTTCGTATTCTTCTTCTTGGCGTTTGATAGAAAGCTCCGCTGCGGCCTCGTCCATGGTGGTGGGCCTTACTGGTCGTTTCTTAAGTACGGTCGCGGCCTCCTCCACGCCCTCATTGATAGTGTGTGGCTTCTTAAAGGAGAGGCTGAATTCAGTTTCTTCAAGATCCTCCACAGTCGGCACGAACGGTTTCTTTGGTTTCTTTCGAATAATGACTGCCTCATCAATGATCTCTTCCTCTTCGATTTCCACGGGCCTTTCTTCGATGACCGTTTGTTTCAGCTCCAGTTCGTCAGCAGCCTCTTCCACCGGTTTTTGCGGCTTCTTCTTCTTCTTAAGCTGTACTGTTTGGTCGGAGGTTTCCTCGGTTACCTTCTGTTCCCTAGGCAGCTTAACATCTACAGAGAATTCCTCTTCCTGGACTTCCTTTGGCGTCTTGGGCTTTAGAGTTACTTCAGCCACGACTTCATCTGCCTCTACTGGTTGTGGTTTCTTTAGTTTCACAACCGCAGCATCGACAATGTCCTCTGGCGCAGGTTCTGGTTTCTTTTTAATTTGGACTTCCTCTATTACCTCTTCTTCCACGATCGGCTCGGGAATAACTTCTTCTTCAACCTTAACCGTAAGCTCCTCGGCGGCTACTTCTTCGACAGGTTTCTTTGGTTTCTTCTTCACTATCTTAGTCTCCTCCTGAACTTCTTCCACCTTTGGTTTCGGTTTCAGAGTAACTTCTGCCTCGGGCTCTTCAACGACTGGAATATCCTTTGGTTTCTTTTTGGGTAGGCTGACTTCTTCTTCCTTTGGTGCTTCTGGTTCAGTTTCCTTAACACCAATAGTGTACTCAGTGGGCTTTTCTTCTGTTACTTCTTCAATTTCCTCGATTATTTCTTGAACTTCAGATTCCGTAGGAACCTCCTCTGTGAGAGTTACCTTAAGCTCAGCAGCTGCCTCCTCTTGGGCAGCAGGTTTCTTGGGCTTCTTTATAATTTTGGCTTCTTCGGAAACTTCTTGCACTGGCTGCTTGGGCTTAATCATGAATTCTGCTTCAGGTTCTTCTACAATCTCAGCTGCAGGCGCCTTTTTCTTCTTTTTCTGAATCGTAACCTGTTCTTCCGGCAACTCTTCCACGGTGGGCTCCTTATCAGCTTCTTTAATGGCAAAGCTAAAGTCTTCGGGGGTCTCTTCAAGTGCCTGGGGTTCCTCGATGATTTCAATTTCTTCAATCTCCTGGACAAGTTCTTGGGGTGGCGCCACTTCTTCAATAATTGTTATTTTTAGATCAGCGGCTTCCTCTTCGGTCGGCTGCTCTGGAACCACTGTAATGCTGGAAGTAGCTTCGACCTCATCGACTGGCTGTGGAGCTGAAACAGTTACTTCGGCCTCAGGTTCATCCTTGGCTTCAGGCTTGGGTTTCTTCTTTCGAATAACCTTGACCTCTTCCTCGACAACTTCTTCAACGACTTCACGGGGAGTTTCCTCAATGACTTTAACCTTATGTTCTTCAAAGACTTCAGGTTGCGGTTCTTCCACAATCGGTTCGGTTACCACTGGCTCTTCCTTAGCAATCACTTCTACAGGTTTCTCAGGCTGAGTCTCCTTGATGCCAAAAGTATATGTTTTATCTTCAACCTTTGGTAGTTCTTCTTTGACCACTGTGACCACCTCTTCCTCCTCGACTTCCTCAATTACTGGAACTTCCTGTGGAATTTCCTCAGTTATTGTGATCTTCAATTCTTCAGCCTCCACATCCTTAACCTTCTTTTTGGGCTTTTTGGTCTTGATTTGAGCTTCTTCAGTGACTTCTTCAACGGGCTTGGTCTCCTTTAGAATGATTTCGGTCGCTGGCTCGTCGGCGAAAGTGACAGAAGGTTTGCGTTTTTTCACTGTAAACTGTGCTTCACTTGGTTCTTCTGGCTTAGCATCAGTTTCCGAAACGCGAATGCTATATTCTTCAGGCTTTTCTTCAACAATAACTTCCTGCTTTTCTACAATCTCAGGCTTAGCAGTTTCTTCAATAATTTCTTTAGGGACAGGAGCTTCGGATTCCACAACCTTGACTTCCAATTGAGCTTCTTCCTCAGTCTTCTTTGGCTTTTTAACCTTCTTTTGCTTTATTTCAGTTTCCACTGTGGTTTCCTCTGTGACCTTTGGTTCAGTCAACACAACCTCAGCCTCGAACTCCTCTGGTTTTTTCGGTTTCTTCTTAAGAACAACTTGTTGAGGAATTTCTTCCTCGGGCTGTTCTTCCACAGCAGTTACCTTCTCTGCTTCAGTTTCCTTGAGAGTGATTTCATATGAATCAAACTTCTCCACAACCTTCTCTTCCAAAACCTCGGGAATTTCTTCAGGGATTTTCTCAACAACTTCATCAGGTTTTTCTTTAACAGCTTCGGTTTCTGTTACGCTGAACTCATATGACTTTGGCTTCTTGGTCTTCTTCTTCTCTTCTTGTTTTTCGACTTCAACCACTTGTTCCTCAACTGGTTGTACTTTCTCTTCTTCCTCCACCACGACAATCTTATCTTCCTTGACTTCTTTCACAGGCTTCTTTTTGGTTTTTTCTTTAACGGTAATTTCCTGTTCAACGGGCTTCTCAGGAGTAGATTCGGTGATTTTAAGCTCAACCTCAAACTCTTCTGGCTTTTGTTCGGGCTGCTCAACTGGCAGCACGATTTCAGCCGAAACTTCCTCGACCGGTTGGTCTTCCTCCTTTGGCTCTTTCAAAGTTACCTCAAATTCTTCCGGTTGCTGTGGCTTTGGTTTCTTCTTTCTTGTTACAACCTTTTCTTCGACGACTTCCTCAGTGGTTTCTTGACGCTCATCAAAATCAATTACTCGGACTTGATGTTCCTTCGGCGCCTCTTCAGGCTCCAAAACCGTAGTTGTTATCTTGTATTCCACTGGTATTTCTTCTGGCACCTCTTCTGGTTGCGGTACTTCTTCCGTGATTTCAACTTCAGATACAGGGGCTTCCTTGGGCTTCTTATGTTTCACCTTTACTTCCTTTGGTTGTTCGGTTTCAACAGGCTTCTCTACAGGAGCTTCTTCGTCCTTTACCGACACTTCATAGTCTTCTGGTTTTTGCTCTGGTAATTCTTCTTCCTTGGGTTGTACCTTTTTCGACTTGGCCTTCTTTGGTTTCTTAATTTCGTCATCAGAGTTAACTTCAGGCTCTTCAGGCTGGGGCTCCTCTACCTTAGGCTTTACAATGGCCTGCTCGACCGGCTCTTCCTCTTGAGGAGCTTTAGGGACAGGTCGTAGTTTGATTTCGGACTCTGTCTCTTCAGGAGCCTTTCTTTCGGGCTTGCGGAACTTAATTTCTTCTTCTGGTATTTCTTCTTGCTCCTTTGGTACTCCAGGAACAATCTCCGAGATAATGGTTTCTGGCTCTGGCTTTGATTTGTCCTTTGGCTTATACTTGGTCTTGGTAGGTTTCTTCGGTTTCTCTGGCTTATCTGGGTGGTCAATGGGCTCCAGCTCTTCAGGTTCATATTCAGGACGATCAAATTCGACTGGTTCGAACGGCTCAACATTGAACTGTCCTTCCTTGGGCTCCTTTGGTTGTTCCTCAACAACAACCACTTCCTTTGGCTTGACCTTCAGCTCAACTTCTTCCTCGACTTCCTTGGGCTTGATTGGAATCTTCTTAAGTGTTACGTTCTCAGGTTCTTCATCATCCTTTGGTTTCTTTTTACCCTTGCCCAACTTAATCTTCACCTCTTCTTGTTTCTCTTCTGGCTTGGGCGCCTTTTCTGGTTTTTGATATGGAGCCTTTTCCTCTGGTTCTTCCTCACTACTGACATATTTCTCGTACTTTTCAAGCTCAACCTTTTCTAAATCATCCTTGATCTTCTTGATTTTCTTGGTCTTGTGCGGTTTGAACTTAAGGACTTCTTCAGCCTCTTCGATGTTTCGAGATAGTTCACCATTATCTTTGGTGGCACCAATTTTAGTAAGCTTCGGAATAAGCGGAGCCGGTGGGAATTCAACTATGACCATACGGGTTTTGAGACGGAATTTAGGTAGTTGAACAGTCTGTTCTTCTGCAGGCTTCTCCTTACGTTTGCCGGGCTTTAGTTTCACAGATTTGGGAACATCGGCAGCTTCGACAATTGTTACCTTTGTCGGCTTCTGTTCCTTGCGTTCTATTTTCATTGGCTCTAGACTAGCGAACTCTGGCTTGAGCTTCTTGGGAAGATCGAATTCAAGTTTCTCGTACTTCTCAAGTTCTGTCTTCTCAATTTCTTGTTCCAATAGTTTTCGGATAATTTCATCATGGTCATCGGTTTTCTTTTTGACAACCTTCTTCTTTTTAGTCTTTGGCTTGGTGGCGTCCTCGGGAGTATCCTCTGTTATGGGCTGTTCCTCCTCTTCAATCTCTTCGACAATGGGCTGTGATTCCTCAACCTCGGCGACTTCATCGATGACTCGGACTTCCAAAATCTTTTGAGGTTTCTCTTCCTCAACGGGCTCTTCGTGAATGATGCTTATTTGATAGTCTTTTTGAACTTCTGGTACTTCACCTGTTACAAATAATGCATTAATTTTTAAAGTGAATTGAGCTTAAAGTGGTAAATAAACCTGGGGAACCGTGCATTGCTTTTGCAAAGCAAGCAAATCGTAGAACTGGACAGGAGACATATTTTGAGGCTTTATATACATAGATAGCGATTGAAGGAAAACAATTGAAAACTTAACCAATTTAAGGATTAAAATAAAATGATTAATTATAAATACAGTGGAGGAGTTATTTGATTTATTTGGGATGAAGATTTAGGTTAAGCTGAAGAATGAACCACCATTTAGATGGGTAACAGTTAGACAATAAAATTTTCGTTATATATAGGTATAACTTAAATGGATAAAATTTTCTATTCTACATAGATAAGGTTAGGAAGATATGCATGCATAAAGTTTAATTAGGAAGTTACTGTGTTGGGAGGCTTTAAAGTTGAACTGGAAGAGATTAGGACCGCAGTAGAATTTGCTCAAATCAAAGAGCCGAGATTGAATAGCGAGAGAAAAGAATAGAAACACAGGAGGGAATAGACGCAACAATTGGAAATCAACGTGGTTTTCAATAGGAATTAACAAAGGCAAAAGACACAGACAAAGGAGCTAAAGGTGCTGCATGGGCGGCGGGATTTTTGTAGGCTCCAAAACTCTCTTCTAATAACTTACTTGTTTCAACGCTTTTTTGTGTGTCTGGTTTTGTTTTCTTATGTTTAACTGTTTTCTGAATTGTATCTTTAGTGTCATCTTGAGTAGGTTTATCTTCTTGTGCGCTTGGTGTAATTTGTGCAGTGGCTGTGTCCTCGGGTTGTGCAATTTGGTTTGGTGTGATATCTGCTGTGTCAGTGATGTCAACAGTTGTATCTGTCGGTTCGTCTTGTTTTGTTTCGTTAGTTGCTACTGTCTTAGGCTTTGGTGTCTTTGTTTTCTTAGGTTTGGCTACCTCGTCAACAGTTGGTTTTGGCTCAGTTAAATCTAATTTAACCTCTGTAGGAGCTATTTCAGAAGGAGCTGTCTCTTCAGATTCTTCTGGTATTTCGACCTTTTCGTACTTTTCTAACTCGGGCTTTGGAATTTCTTCCTCTATTAATTTCTTAACATAGTCGTCTAGATCATCTTTCTTAACCTTCTTAACAGTTTTCTTCGGCTTGGGCTTGGACTTCTCCTCCATCTGCTCAGGTTGTTCTTCAATGGCTTGTATGGGAGCTACATCCGGTTCTTCATCAACAATAACTGTGACAGAATCAGTATCCTCATTTTCAATGGTTGTAATCTTGAAAGTGGTTTCTTCTTTCGGTCCCTTTTTCTTCAAAACACGTTTAGTGGTCTTTTCCTGAATAGGCTTGCCCTCCTCAGAAACAACCTCATGAGTTTCTACCTCTACGGGTTGAATTTCGACGACTTCAACCGTTATTAAAGGTTGTTCCGGAGCTTCTTCTTCGACCACATTAACCTCCGCCAATTGATCTGAAACAGGAGTCTCTTCTTTAGATGCTGACTTGGGCTTTGTCTTTTTATCTTTCTTTGGCTTTTCAGAAGGAGTTTCCTCAACAACGTCAACCTGTTGGTCAGATGGCTTGTCCTTAACCGTGGGTTCGAATTCAATTTTCTCATACTTTTCCAACTCAGTCTTGGGAGTCTCCATGTCAATAAGCTTTTGTATGTAGTCGTGAATGTCATCCTTCTTAACCTTCTTGGTTTTCTTTTTAGGTTCCTTTGGCTTTTCTTCTTGCTTTTCAGGTTCTGGTTCATATTCTACAATAGTTATTTCCGCCTCGGGCTGATCGTCCCTAACAACTTCTATTATCTCTATTTCCCCTTCGCCATCAGGACGCTTTAATTTTCGTTTGGTGGTAACCTGTTTATGAACTTCCCCAGTATCGTCCGTTGTTTCCTCAACCTTGGTTTCGCTCTCTATTATCTCAATCGTATAAGGCTTTTCTTCGGTTGGTTCCAAAACACTTTCTGTGATTGAAATTTCGTATTTTTCCTCTGACGGTTGGTCTGACTCTTTGTGGACAGGCTTTGACGTCTTCTTTCTTTCTGGCTTAGGCTCAGGTTTTTCTTCTTCCTTGACAGAAACGCTAAATTCTTGATATTGTGGTTTTTCAATATCAGATTCCTTTTCGGTAACCTCCAGTGGCTGTTCGTCTAAAGCCTCTTCTGGACCCTCTTCTGAGACAGTAACCTTCGTCTTTGGCTTCTTTTTCTTTTCCGGTTTCTTAGTCTCTTCAACTTGATCAATTTCATGATCAGGTTCTTCTTCACTAGGAACGGATTCCTGCACAATTATTATATCGTCGCTAACTGGTGCATCTTCTTTGATATTTTCGACAACAGATACTAAATCATCCTTTGGTTTTTCTTCCTCAGGAACAGACTGTTTGTCTTTCTTTGGCTTCTTTTTAGTCTTCTCGGGAGTTGGTTTGGAAGCAGAGTCTTCGACTACTACAACTTCATCGTCTAACTCAGCCGGTTTTGGGGCTTCCTCTTCAATTACAGTTTTAATGAAATCCTCAACATCTTCCTTTTTGATCTTTTTAGTCCGCTTTTGTTTGACTACAGGTTCCTCCTGATCGGGGGTTTCCGTTGGACTTGTGGTTATAACGGTTATTTCAGATTCGTTAGTATCCTTATCAGTTACTTCAATAATATCGTGAACTACTTCCTCTGGACCCTTCTTCTGCTTTATCTTCTTTGTCTTGACCACCTTTTCCTTTATTTTTCCCTCTTCGTCTGGCACCTGCTTGGTCTCTACTGTTTCCTCAAGGACAACTATTTCGAATGTTGTATCCTCCGGTTTTTCAGGGACATATTCCTTGACGGAAAACTTTAATAAGGGTTCGTCCTTTTCTTCCTCAGCAGATAGATTTTTCTCTTCCAGTGGCTTGTCTTCCAGCGGCTCTTCAGTATCTTCTGTTGGTTGTTCTTCTGAAACCTTCACCTTCTTTACGGGCTTCTTTTTCATCTTAACCGGTTCATCCAAGTCTATCTTTTCATACTTTTCCAGTTCCGTTTTCGGTATATCTTGCTCAATGAGCTTCTGAATATAGTCTTGGAGATCGTCCTTGGGTACTTTTTTCGCTTTCTTAACCTTCTTTGGTTTTTCTTCCTCAGGAACTTCTTCAGTGACTAATTCGGCATCTTGCGTGGTTACAATGACTTCATACTCAGGTTCGTCACCCGTCTTAGTTTCCACAATTTCAATAATTTCCTCCTTGGGGCCAAGCTGCTTTTTGATTTTACGTTTGGTGACAGTTTGCTTCGCAGTTTCTCCCCTTGCATCGATTACTTCCTGTTCCGTTGATACAGTTTCAATTTCTTCTATCTGGAATGAAGGTTGCTCCGATGGTTTAGCATCTTCTTCATCAATAACTCCAGTTTCATATTCCGGCTGCTCCTCTTGTTTGACATTTTCTTCAGAAATCAGAGTAACTAGATACTCTTGGTTTTCCTCCGTAACGGGTTGCTGTACCGGCTTTGTTTTTGTCACCTTCTTAGGTTTTGGTTGTTTCTTTTCGTCGACTACAGTCTCTTCCTTTATACCAATAGCAAAATCGGTAGTTTCGATTTGTTCTGGGACATCTTGAACTGGCTGCAATTGAACTTCTTCGACGACTTCAGGTTCTTTATTTTCCGAAGTTTCTTGTTCAGTGACTGTGTACTTTTTAGGAGTTTTCTTAGACTTTTTAGGCCCTTCTTCCTTAACTTCCACAGCTTCACTATCAACTACCTCAACTGGAACCTGCTCTACGAATTCTTCAATAATACTAATTACATAGTCCTCAACTTCGTCCGTCTTGAGTTGCTTCGGCTTTTTAATGACCTTCTTTTCAGACTTTGGCTTTTCGTCGGAAACAACAACATCATCGGAAGTTAATTCAACAACTGTAACTTCAGCTATTGGCTGATCATCGCTGGTGGTTTCAGTTATTTCAAAGACATGTTCTTTGGAGCCCTTTCTTCGGGAAACCTTGCGCTTTTTCACAGTAATTTCTTTAATTTTACCTTCCTCAGTGGGTTGTTCAACTACTTCAACAGTTTGTTCAATTTCTTTTAATGGAACAGGAACCTCCTCCAACTTTTTCTTTTTTAATTGTTTTTCTTTTTTGGTTGGTTTTTGTTCTTCCTCCGGAGATATTTCAATAGGCTGATCATTTTCAACGAATTCATCGGAAATGTTCACAAGGTAATTCGATAAGTCATCTGGCTTTTGGGGTGCCTCTTTGATGTCCTCTGTCAAAATTTCTAATGGTTGTAGATCTTCGGCAACGGGTTCCACCTCTTCAACGTTGAACTCATGAATTGTGACAGGTAAGCTATCGCCTAAGCTCTCTTCAATAGTCTTTTTGTGGTGAACTTTTACCTTCTTTTTGGCTTGTTTGGGTTTGGCATCCATTTCAGTTGGCTCATATTGTTCAAGGGTGGTTTTTGTGATTTCCTGTTCGATCAACTGCTGTATATATTTGTCAAGATCATCCTTCACAGGCTTCTTCTTTTTAACCTTTTGAACAACCTTAGCTGGCTTATCATCTGTAATCTGTGGTGAATCCTCTGAAGGTATCTCTATTGTAGTAAACTCTATCTCAGCCTCTGGCTTGTTTTCTTGATAAGTTTCGGTTACTTCGATGACATATTCCTTAGATCCTTCCTTCTTTTTAAGCCTTTTAGTTGTCTTGACCTGTTTAACTTCTTCTCCCTCGTCATTTACGATATCTTCAATAACGGTTTCAGGAGCCATTTCTTCAATAAGGATTGTATCTTCAGCTGGCTTCTTCTTTGGCTTTTTGGTCTTAATAGGCACCACCTCTTCTTGCTCCTCAAATAAATAAGGCTCGTTTAATTCTTCTAGAACATTAATCACATAGTTTTGGACATCTTCGGGCCTTAGTTTTTTGGGTTTCTTAATAGGTTTCTTTTGGTCAGGTACAACAATGTCTTCCGTGGGCTGTTCTTCTGTTAACTCGACAATAGTAACCTCAGCCAGAGGTTCATCACTAGTTTTAGTTTCAGTGATTTCAAAGATTTGTTCTTTTGGTCCTTGTTTGCGCGAAACCTTCTTTTTCTTAATTTCAATCTGCTTTGGTGTACCATCTTCTTCAGTAACTTGTACGACTTCCACGGATTCCGCAATATCTGTCATTACTGGTTCCTCAAACTTATAAGGCTCATTAAACTCTTCGAGAACGTTAACGACATAGTTTTGGACATCTTCGGGCTTCAGCTTTTTCGGTTTCTTAATTGGTTTCTTTTCTATAGGTAGAATAATGTCTTCCTTAGGTTGGTCTTCTGTCAATTCGACAATAGTTACCTCAGCCAGAGGTTCATCACTAGTTTTAGTTTCAGTGATTTCAAAGATTTGTTCTTTTGGTCCTTGTTTACGCGAAACCTTCTTTTTCCTAACTTCAACTTGCTTTGGTACTCCATCTTCTTCAGTAACTTCTACAACTTCCACGGATTCCGCAATCTCGGTAATAAGTGGTTCCTCAAACTTATAAGGCTCAATAAACTCTTCGAGAACGTTAACGACATAGTTTTGGACATCTTCGGGCTTCAGCTTTTTCAGTTTCTTAATTGGTTTCTTTTCTATAGGTAGAATAATGTCTTCCTTAGGTTGGTCTTCTGTCAATTCGACAATAGTTACCTCAGCCAGAGGTTCATCACTAGTTTTAGTTTCAGTGATTTCAAAGATTTGTTCTTTTGGTCCTTGTTTGCGCGAAACCTTCTTTTTCTTAATTTCCACCTGCTTTGGAACTCCATCTTCTTCAGTAACTTGCACAACTTCCACGGACTCTGCAATTTCAGTAATTACTGGTTGTTCGGTATCCTCAAACTTATAAGGCTCGATAAACTCTTCAAGAACATTAACTACATAGTTTTGGACATCTTCGGGCTTCAGCTTTTTCGGTTTCTTTATTGGTTTCTTTTCTTCATGTATAACAATGTCCTCTTTAGGTTGGTCTTCTGTTAACTCGACAATAGTAACCTCAGCCAAAGGTTCATCATTAGTTTTAGTTTCAGTGATTTCAAAAATTTGTTCTTTTGGTCCTTGTTTGCGCGAAACCTTCTTTTTCTTAATAACAACCTGCTTTTGTACTCCATCTTCTTCAGTAACTTGTATAGTTTCGACCACTTCTGAAATATCTTCAATAACTGGTCGTTGTTTTTCTGCTTCATCCTCCACAAGTTCTTCAAATTTGTACGGTTCAGCGAATTCTTCCAAAATATTTACCACGTAATTTTTGACATCTTCAGGCTTCAATTTCTTGGACTTCTTAATTATTTGTTTTTCCTTAATTTCCTTTGTGTCATCTTTAGGCTGTTCTTCTGTAATCTCAACAATGGTTACCTCAGCCAGAGGCTCGTCACTTGATTTTGTTTCCGTGATTTCAAATATCTGTTCTATTGGACCGTGCTTTCGAGAAACCTTCTTCTTCTTAACCTCTACCTGCTTTGGTATACCATCTTCTACTATTTGTGTGACTTGCACTGATTCCTCAATTTCCTTCAGGATTGGTTGGGGCTGCTCCTCTTCAATGACCTTTGTCTTATACGATTTCTTTGATTTAGGTTTTGGTTTTCCCTCTACAACCTTTACTTCCAAATCTTCATAGGGTTCAGTTGTCTCCTCACTTGCAGTTTTCACTATTACGTCTTCATCTGGCTTAATGTCATCTTGTTCTAATTCAAACTCTTGTACGCTTATTTCATATACAGTAATTGGTACGCCATCGACGATCTCGGTAGTTTTTCTGTGGTGTTTCTTGATTTTTTTGGGCTTCTTTTCCTCCGGAGATGTCTCTGTTACAGGTGCTTCGTACTCTTCAACATCAGTTTTTGGAATTTCCTGTTCGATAAGTTCATGAATAAAGTTATCTAAGCTTTCGGCCTTAGGCTTCCTCCTCTTCACAATCTTTACCTTATGCTCTTCCTGAGGTTTGGTGTCGGTTTCAGGCGTTATTTCAATGGTTTGGATAACAATATCTGATTCTGGTTTGTTTTCTTCATAAGTTTCAACCACTTCAATGAGATATTCCTTTTGTCCATCCTTTTTCTTGAGTTTACGCTTGGTAATGACACGTTCTACTTCCGTTCCCTCTTCATTGACTATTTTGTCTACAACAGTTTCTGGAGCCAGCTCCTCAATACGAATCGTATATTCGGAGATGGGTTCCTCGGGCTTTACCTTAGCTTTCTTAACGGATTTCTTTTTGCCCTTCGGTAAAGTATCTTTCACATCAACCAAATATTCATCGGCTTGAGGAGAATCAAACGATTCTGAAATTTCTGTTGTATGTTCTGTAATCTTGGAGTCCTCTGTAGTAGATGCGGGTTCGGTTTCGGACACTTTAACCTTTTTCTGTTTATCAGTTTTCATTTTCTTATCCTTCGGCAAGCTTGGAGCATCTTCAGGTTTACTCTGGTCCGGTGAAACATCTGGCACTGTTTCCTCGTCAACTACTGTGGTGGTGAATGCTATGATATCTTCTACCACTGAGTCTTTTCTTTCAGGAGCTATTGTCAAATCCTCAGATATTTCAACTATGTGTTCCAATGGAGCTTCCTCAACAACGTTGATAATGAACTCCTTTAGTTTCTCCTTTTTCACCTTTTTCACTAATTTCTTTGGTGTTTCTGGTTTCACCATTGCAGGCCCATCTGTGATATCTTCTGAAATTTCAGTTGTTATAACTATAACCTCTGCTTCCTCGGGCTTGTCATCCGATGCTTCGGTTTCAATTATTTCGATTTCGTAGTGTTTTGAGCCCTTTCTAGTTTTTACTTTGCGTTTCTTAATTATCTTCTGATCCGTATCGTGAATGACTTCTGAAGGCAATGAAACGGTTTCAAAGTCTTCCTCCACAACCACAATAGGCAATGTTTCAGTTAAGTCTGTTATTATTTCATCTACAGCCGGGACGATTTCTTCCTCTGGTTTTTCAAAATGTTGTTCTGGCGATCGCTCCGAGTCAGTCTTTTTGATAAGGTACTCATCGTATACTGGAACTTCCTGCGTCTCAACGATTTCTTCCTCCTTCGTGGCCTTCTTCGCTTTTTGCTTCTTAGCTTTTGGTTTCTCAATTGGCTCGTGTTCAGTGACACCAACCTGAAGTATCTCGCCTTCATCAATTGTTGATTTCTCATGTTTAACCTTCTGCTTTTTGGGTTTTTTCGGCTTGCCATCCACGTCAATTTTCTCATATTTTTCTAATTCTGTTACTGGAATTTCGGCATTTATTAGGTGCTGAATATATGCATCAAGTTCATCCTTCTTCATTTTCTTTGTTTTCTTCTTAGGTTGTTCGATTGGCTGTGTACCGGCCTCTTCAGTCGTAGTATCACTCGAAGTGATTGTAATTTCATAAAGCGGCTCTTCCCCGGGAGCGCCCACAGTTTCGACTATTTCCAAAATTTCCACTTCATCTCCCTTTTCATGTCGAATCCTGCGCTTCTTGGGTTTCTCTACATCAGAATCTTTTTCTGATTCCAGCTCCGTCAACTTAACTTCATAGAAATCATGTATTGTTGTCTCATAGAACTTCTGGTCAGGCTCCTCCTTTAACATCGACACAAAATCGTCCAATTCGGGTTTGTTCATCCGCTTGACCTTCTTCTTACGCACGTTTCTATCCTTTTTGTCGTCTTGAACAATTTCCAAACTTGTGATGGTAACTTCGAAAACTTTGTCATCGCTGCCTTCGGGGGTAACTTCAACTATTTCAATGGTATTGTCTTCCTGTTCAGTCTTAAGCTTGAGCTTACGTTTTTTCTTTGGCTCCTTTGTTAGTCTGCCAGTCGTTGGAACTTCTTCAGCTGTCACATCATCAGGTTCCGCTTCAACCACTTCAAATTTATAGAACGGTTTAAGCTTAACCCCTTCCTTCTCGTCAACGGGCTTTTCACCTTGTCGCTTGTGCAGTTTAAGATCTTCTGCAGGGATTTCGTCAAGTGTCTTTGGTTTCCCGGGAGATATTTCGTACTTGTTTTTCTCTGGAGTTGGTGTCGGTTTCTTCTTTCTCTTGTACTTTGGCTTGTCCTCAGTGTGAGTCTCTTCGCCTAGCGATTCGTCAGACTCTTCTGGGAATTCAGAAGATCTTTCAATATCTCTGAACTCTGTTGGCTCGAATTGTAGTCCTTCGTCAGACTTATCTGGTTTTTTGGTTTTCTTTTTCTTCACTACTTCTTCTTCAACTACCTTTACTGGTTCTTCGCTGACATCTTCCTCCTTGAGATCTTTCTTGATCGGTTTTAAATGAACTTCCTCAATTGACTTAACATTTTCGGGAAGCTTGCCCTTACCAAGCTTAAGTTTTCTACTTTCCTCCGGAGTTTCCTTCTTATTCTTCTTGACACGTTGGTACTTTGGCTTTTGTTGCTCCTCATCCGATGGTTCTGCCTGTTCAGAGTCTAATGAAAGCAGCTCTGCTTCCTCCAGTTCCGCCTTTTCAGGTTTAGTATGCTTGAACTTTTTCGGACGGAACTTCAAAACCTCCTCAGCCTCTTCAACATTGCGTGAAAGTTCGCCATGGTCGCAGTTATTTTCTAATTCGGTAACCACATATGGGAAGCAGTACGGTGCGTATGGAATAAATCGTATCCAGCTTTTTAATTTCATGTTCTTGAAAGATGCTTCAGTTTTCTTCTTTTTCACTTCCTGAGGTCGTTGCTTGGGAGCCTTTAGCTTAAGCATTTGAGGGAATTCTTCCACAGAACTTATTTCAACCATTTTTGGTTTCTTAAACTCTACTTTCTCGATTTTCATTGGAGTAAGCTTAACTGGTTGTTTAAAAGATGAATCACGACGGGCCCTCTGAGGATGTTCCATTTCGGTGCGTTTATACTCATGAAGAACAGTCTTTGGAATTTCCTGGTTTATAAGGAATTGAATGTATTCATCCAACTCATCTCTTTTAGACTTAACCACCTTTTTCTTCTTAGGCTTTTCCTTCTCTTCAACTGGCTTTTTATCAACATGAGTCTCCTCAACCTTACCTTCTAACTTCTTAGGCTTTCGCTTCTTAATTGTCTTGTCAGTCGGTTCCCCTGTACTAAGTTCTTCGATAACAGTCTCGTCAACTTCTTCAATTGGTGTTTCTAAGGTCTTTTTCTGTTTATGTTTTTTGTCTTTAACCAGTGTTTGTTTCACGTCTGCACTTGCCTCTTCAGGTTCAGTGATAGTGTACTCTTTGTTGTATTGGTCTGTTTAAGAAAGAATTATGTGTTTTGTGTTAGCACTAAACTAATGTTTACACTTATATTTGCATTTTATATAATGCTTTAAAGCACCCAAACTTATTATAAAGTATTAAAAGTATGGTGCTTAGATTCATACGCTTGCAAAATGGGTTAAGTACGGAATGATCTCTATTTTAAATGTACGTATTAGGCTTTTTGTGTATAGTTTCAATTTTGGATCCCACGTACTTGGAAGTGTATTAGGTAGTTAGTTAGTATATATTTTTTTCTCTTAATATCTGTTGTCTGTGTATGAATAAATTTGTATGTGCATTTTGTATAAAATAAATACTATTTTGCCTAACTTCATCAATTGGGTTTTAAATGTAGGACCTTATTTCAAAACGCGACATATGGGAAACTACATGTTTGTATATATATGTATTTATAAAGAAAAAATCACCTGATGGCTCGTTGACTTCAATAATTTCAAGGTGTGATTGTGTAGTGTCTTCTGGAATGGGTTCTGTATCACTAAGGACTTCCTCAACAACGATGCCTTCCTCCTGAGATACTCGTTTGTTTTCACTTTGTATTGTTGTTTCTCCGTCATCATTTTGTACAGATTTAAATGTTGTGATGTAAACTGGGTGTTCCGTTTCTGTGTTATCGATCTTTGGTTTCTCCACTGTATTTTTAGATATATTTTTTTTGTATTGTAGAATGATTAAAAAAATATGTTATTAACGGCATGTAACACATTAAGAAAATATAGAAGAAAGATTACTAGTATTGATGGGAAAAAAAACTGTGAAAAGTTTAAAAATTTTGCGTATACTTTGATTTGAACCTATTATGTAAAATGAGTGTTTTTGGAGAGTGTGTTTGTTTGTGTTCTTACCCTTATGCTTGTGTGGTTTTTGTTTGTGTTTGGAAACCTTTTCATCGTCGAGTTTACTAATATCTATGATATCAGCAATGTTTTCATCGCTGACTACTCGAATAAGAGCAAACGGTTCCTTGCCCTCTTCTTCAATAGTTTGAATTTGGAAATATTCATCGTCTTCGGGTCCTTGCTTTTTAAATGTCCTAGTTTTTGTAGTCTTCTTTCTTGGCTTCTTATTGTTGTCTAATTCTTCGGTAATTACAGTTTCCTCAGGAAGCTCCTCAATGGGTATTGGTGTAATGGAAATCTCATCAGCAGGCACAACTTCTATTTGCACTGTAGTCAGTGGCTCCTTATCTTCCTCTTCTATTACATTAACCGTTGTTACTTCATCAAGTTTGTCGTCGATACTTTTCTTGAAAGCTCTGGATTTAACGGTCTTTTTCTTTTTTGTTCCATCAGGTGAAGTAATCTCCATCTCTGTTACTTGTTCCGGTAGCTCAACTAATTTACTGTCATCCGGTTGCGATTCGGTTACGGGTTGCTCTTTAATTGATATTGAATACAAGGGCTCGGTATTAGCTTGTTCAATAATACCGATTTCAGTTATTTCTTCGTTATTGCCAAATGCTGGTTTCTTAATAACACGTTTCTTGGTTTTAACAATCTTTGGTAGGCCTTCTTCATCAATTGTTTCAAATTCAGAAACCACATCTGGCAAAACAATTACTTCAGAGATTTTTTCTTCTGGTAGTTCTGGGAAAGGTAACTCAAACTTTTCAACCGTAACCTTAGTCTTAGGTGTTTTTTCATATTCCTCGACGGTTTGAACTTTAGTCACTTCCATATGGGGACCCTGAATCTTTTTAATGATTCTAGTTTTGATAACTGTTTTAGTTGGAGTACCATCTTCTTTTTCTGAAAGTATAACTGATTTCCGTTCAGGCAACTCAAAAACAGTTACCTCATCCTCCGGTTTTTGGACAATAACTCGTTTCTTCAACTTAGTTTTTCCAACAGTTGGAGTTCTATTATCGGTTTCTTCGACCGTAACAGTTGTTTCTGGTTTCTTGTCGTCCTCCTGCACGGTTACAATTTTGGTAACTTCTTCCTTATCACCCTTGACCTTTTTAATAACACGTGTCCGAATTTTTTTCTGCTTCGGTTTTCCGTCCTCAGTTATAGATTCCACAACAATTACTTCTTCTGGAAGTTCTTCAACCTCTTCGGGAAGGTCTGTAATCGGAACTTCTTCGACAGTGACAGTTGTTTCTGGTTTTTTGTCATCTTCCTCAACGGTCTCAATCTTAGTGACTTCTTGCTTGTCACCCTTAACCTTCTTGATTACACGAGTTCGGATCTTCTTCTTCTTGGGCTTGCCATCTTCTGCAATGGTTTCCACCACGCGAACTTCCTCTGGAAGCTCTTGAATTTCTTCCGGCACCTCTTCCTCATAAGGAACTTCTTCAACTGTCACTGTAGTTTCAGGTCGTTTGTCGTCTTCCTCGACAGTTTCAATCTTAGTGACTTCTTGTTTGTCACCCTTGACCTTCTTGATTACGCGAGTGCGGATCTTCTTCTTCTTGGGCTTGCCATCTTCTGCAATGGTCTCCACCACGTGAACTTCCTCCGGAAGCTCTTGAATTTCTTCCGGCACCTCTTCCTCATAAGGAACTTCTTCAACTGTCACTGTAGTTTCCGGTTGTTTGTCGTCTTCCTCGACAGTTTCGATCTTAGTGACTTCTTGTTTGTCACCCTTGACCTTCTTGATTACGCGAGTGCGGATCTTCTTCTTCTTGGGCTTGCCATCTTCTGCAATGGTTTCCACCACGCGAACTTCCTCTGGAAGCTCTTGAATTTCTTCCGGCACCTCTTCCTCATAAGGAACTTCTTCAACTGTCACTGTAGTTTCAGGTTGTTTGTCGTCTTCCTCGACAGTTTCAATCTTAGTGACTTCTTGTTTGTCACCCTTGACCTTCTTGATTACGCGAGTGCGGATCTTCTTCTTCTTGGGCTGGCCATCTTCTGCAATGGTTTCCACCACGCGAACTTCCTCTGGAAGCTCTTGAATTTCTTCCGGCACCTCTTCCTCATAAGGAACTTCTTCAACTGTCACTGTAGTTTCCGGTTGTTTGTCGTCTTCCTCGACAGTTTCGATCTTAGTGACTTCTTGTTTGTCACCCTTGACCTTCTTGATTACGCGAGTGCGGATCTTCTTCTTCTTGGGCTGGCCATCTTCTGCAATGGTTTCCACCACGCGAACTTCCTCTGGAAGCTCTTGAATTTCTTCCGGCACCTCTTCCTCATAAGGAACTTCTTCAACTGTCACTGTAGTTTCAGGTCGTTTGTCGTCTTCCTCGACAGTTTCAATCTTAGTGACTTCTTGTTTGTCACCCTTGACCTTCTTGATTACGCGAGTGCGGATCTTCTTCTGTTTAGGCTGGCCATCTTCTGCAATGGTTTCCACCACGCGAACTTCCTCTGGAAGCTCTTGAATTTCTTCCGGCACCTCTTCCTCATAAGGAACTTCTTCAACTGTCACTGTAGTTTCAGGTCGTTTGTCGTCTTCCTCGACAGTTTCAATCTTAGTGACTTCTTGTTTGTCACCCTTGACCTTCTTGATTACGCGAGTGCGGATCTTCTTCTTCTTGGGCTTGCCATCTTCTGCAATGGTCTCCACCACGTGAACTTCCTCCGGAAGCTCTTGAATTTCTTCCGGCACCTCTTCCTCATAAGGAACTTCTTCAACTGTCACTGTAGTTTCCGGTTGTTTGTCGTCTTCCTCGACAGTTTCGATCTTAGTGACTTCTTGTTTGTCACCCTTGACCTTCTTGATTACGCGAGTGCGGATCTTCTTCTTCTTGGGCTTGCCATCTTCTGCAATGGTTTCCACCACGCGAACTTCCTCTGGAAGCTCTTGAATTTCTTCCGGCACCTCTTCCTCATAAGGAACTTCTTCAACTGTCACTGTAGTTTCAGGTTGTTTGTCGTCTTCCTCGACAGTTTCAATCTTAGTGACTTCTTGTTTGTCACCCTTGACCTTCTTGATTACGCGAGTGCGGATCTTCTTCTTCTTGGGCTGGCCATCTTCTGCAATGGTTTCCACCACGCGAACTTCCTCTGGAAGCTCTTGAATTTCTTCCGGCACCTCTTCCTCATAAGGAACTTCTTCAACTGTCACTGTAGTTTCCGGTTGTTTGTCGTCTTCCTCGACAGTTTCGATCTTAGTGACTTCTTGTTTGTCACCCTTGACCTTCTTGATTACGCGAGTGCGGATCTTCTTCTTCTTGGGCTGGCCATCTTCTGCAATGGTTTCCACCACGCGAACTTCCTCTGGAAGCTCTTGAATTTCTTCCGGCACCTCTTCCTCATAAGGAACTTCTTCAACTGTCACTGTAGTTTCAGGTTGTTTGTCGTCTTCCTCGACAGTTTCAATCTTAGTGACTTCTTGTTTGTCACCCTTGACCTTCTTGATTACGCGAGTGCGGATCTTCTTCTTCTTGGGCTTGCCATCTTCTGCAATGGTCTCCACCACGTGAACTTCCTCCGGAAGCTCTTGAATTTCTTCGGGCACCTCTTCCTCATAGGGAACTTCTGCAACTGTCACTGTAGTTTCAGGTTGTTTGTCGTCTTCCTCGACAGTTTCAATCTTAGTGACTTGTTGTTTGTCACCCTTGACCTTCTTGATTACGCGAGTACGGATCTTCTTCTTCTTGGGCTTGCCATCTTCTGCAATGGTTTCCACCACGCGAACTTCCTCAGGAAGCTCTTGGATTTCTTCGGTAACCTCTTCCTCATATGGAACTTCTTCAACTGTCACTGTTGTTTCTGGTTGCTTATCGTCTTCCTCGACAGTTTCGATTTTAGTGACTTCTTGTTTGTCACCCTTGACCTTCTTGATTACGCGAGTGCGGATCTTCTTCTTCTTGGGCTTGCCATCTTCTGCAATGGTTTCCACCACGCGGACTTCCTCTGGAAGCTCTTGAATTTCTTCCGGCACCTCTTCCTCATAAGGAACTTCTTCAACTGTCACTGTAGTTTCCGGTTGTTTGTCGTCTTCCTCGACAGTTTCGATCTTAGTGACTTCTTGTTTGTCACCCTTGACCTTCTTGATTACGCGAGTGCGGATCTTCTTCTTCTTGGGTTTGCCATCTTCTGCAATGGTCTCCACGACGCGAACTTCCTCTGGAAGCTCTCGGATTTCTTCGGGCACCACTTCCTCATAAGGAACTTCTTCAACTGTCACTGTAGTTTCAGGTTGTTTGTCGTCTTCCTCGACAGTTTCGATCTTAGTGACTTCTTGTTTGTCACCCTTGACCTTCTTGATTACGCGAGTGCGGATCTTCTTCTTCTTGGGCTTGCCATCTTCTGCAATTGTCTCCACGACGCGAACTTCCTCTGGAAGCTCTTGGATTTCTTCGGGCACCTCTTCCTCATAAGGAACTTCTTCAACTGTCACTGTGGTTTCTGGTTGCTTATCGTCTTCCTCAACGGTTTCAATCTTAGTGACTTCTTGTTTGTCACCCTTGACTTTCTTGATTACACGAGTGCGGATCTTCTTCTTTTTGGGCTTGCCATCTTCTTCAATGGTTTCCACCACGCGAACTTCCTCTGGAAGCTCTTGGATTTCTTCGGGCACCTCTTCCTCATAAGGAACTTCTTCAACTGTCACTGTAGTTTCCGGTTGTTTGTCGTCTTCCTCGACAGTTTCGATCTTAGTGACTTCTTGTTTGTCACCCTTGACCTTCTTGATTACGCGAGTGCGAATCTTCTTCTTCTTGGGCTTGCCATCTTCTGCAATGGTTTCCACGACGCGAACTTCCTCTGGAAGCTCTTGGATTTCTTCGGGCACCTCTTCCTCATAAGGAACTTCTTTAACTGTCACTGTGGTTTCTGGTTGCTTATCGTCTTCCTCAAGGGTTTCAATCGTAGTGACTTCTTGTTTGTCACCCTTGACCTTCTTGATTACACGAGTGCGGATCTTCTTCTTTTTGGGCTTCCCATCTTCTTCAATGGTTTCCACCACGCGAACTTCCTCTGGAAGCTCTTGAATTTCTTCGGGCACCTCTTGCTCATAAGGAACTTCTTCAACTGTCACTGTGGTTTCTGGTTGCTTATCGTCTTCCTCAACGGTTTCAATCTTAGTGATTTCTTGTTTGTCACCCTTGACCTTCTTGATTACGCGAGTGCGAATCTTCTTCTTCTTGGGCTTGCCATCTTCTGCAATGGTTTCCACCACGTGAACTTCCTCTGGAAGCTCTTGAATTTCTTCCGGAACCTCTTCCTCATAAGGAACTTCTTCAACTGTCACTGTGGTTTCTGGTTGCTTATCGTCTTCCTCGACAGTTTCAATCTTAGTGACTTCTTGTTTGTCACCCTTGACCTTCTTGATTACGCGAGTGCGGATCTTCTTCTTCTTGGGCTGGCCATCTTCTGCAATGGTTTCCACCACGCGAACTTCCTCTGGAAGCTCTTGAATTTCTTCCGGCACCTCTTCCTCATAAGGAACTTCTGCAACTGTCACTGTAGTTTCAGGTTGTTTGTCGTCTTCCTCGACAGTTTCAATCTTAGTGACTTGTTGTTTGTCACCCTTGACCTTCTTGATTACGCGAGTACGGATCTTCTTCTTCTTGGGCTTGCCATCTTCTGCAATGGTTTCCACCACGCGAACTTCCTCAGGAAGCTCTTGGATTTCTTCGGTAACCTCTTCCTCATATGGAACTTCTTCAACTGTCACTGTTGTTTCTGGTTGCTTATCGTCTTCCTCGACAGTTTCGATTTTAGTGACTTCTTGTTTGTCACCCTTGACCTTCTTGATTACGCGAGTGCGGATCTTCTTCTTCTTGGGCTTGCCATCTTCTGCAATGGTTTCCACCACGCGGACTTCCTCTGGAAGCTCTTGAATTTCTTCCGGCACCTCTTCCTCATAAGGAACTTCTTCAACTGTCACTGTAGTTTCCGGTTGTTTGTCGTCTTCCTCGACAGTTTCGATCTTAGTGACTTCTTGTTTGTCACCCTTGACCTTCTTGATTACGCGAGTGCGGATCTTCTTCTTCTTGGGTTTGCCATCTTCTGCAATGGTCTCCACGACGCGAACTTCCTCTGGAAGCTCTCGGATTTCTTCGGGCACCACTTCCTCATAAGGAACTTCTTCAACTGTCACTGTAGTTTCAGGTTGTTTGTCGTCTTCCTCGACAGTTTCGATCTTAGTGACTTCTTGTTTGTCACCCTTGACCTTCTTGATTACGCGAGTGCGGATCTTCTTCTTCTTGGGCTTGCCATCTTCTGCAATTGTCTCCACGACGCGAACTTCCTCTGGAAGCTCTTGGATTTCTTCGGGCACCTCTTCCTCATAAGGAACTTCTTCAACTGTCACTGTGGTTTCTGGTTGCTTATCGTCTTCCTCAACGGTTTCAATCTTAGTGACTTCTTGTTTGTCACCCTTGACTTTCTTGATTACACGAGTGCGGATCTTCTTCTTTTTGGGCTTGCCATCTTCTTCAATGGTTTCCACCACGCGAACTTCCTCTGGAAGCTCTTGGATTTCTTCGGGCACCTCTTCCTCATAAGGAACTTCTTCAACTGTCACTGTAGTTTCCGGTTGTTTGTCGTCTTCCTCGACAGTTTCGATCTTAGTGACTTCTTGTTTGTCACCCTTGACCTTCTTGATTACGCGAGTGCGAATCTTCTTCTTCTTGGGCTTGCCATCTTCTGCAATGGTTTCCACGACGCGAACTTCCTCTGGAAGCTCTTGGATTTCTTCGGGCACCTCTTCCTCATAAGGAACTTCTTTAACTGTCACTGTGGTTTCTGGTTGCTTATCGTCTTCCTCAAGGGTTTCAATCGTAGTGACTTCTTGTTTGTCACCCTTGACCTTCTTGATTACACGAGTGCGGATCTTCTTCTTTTTGGGCTTCCCATCTTCTTCAATGGTTTCCACCACGCGAACTTCCTCTGGAAGCTCTTGAATTTCTTCGGGCACCTCTTGCTCATAAGGAACTTCTTCAACTGTCACTGTGGTTTCTGGTTGCTTATCGTCTTCCTCAACGGTTTCAATCTTAGTGACTTCTTGTTTGTCACCCTTGACCTTCTTGATTACGCGAGTGCGAATCTTCTTCTTCTTGGGCTTGCCATCTTCTTCAATGGTTTCCACCACGCGAACTTCCTCTGGAAGCTTTTGAATTTCTTCCGGCACCTCTTCCTCATAAGGAACTTCTTCAACTGTCACTGTGGTTTCTGCTTGCTTATCGTCTTCCTCAACAGTTTCAATCTTAGTGACTTCTTGTTTGTCACCCTTGACCTTCTTGATTACGCGAGTGCGGATCTTCTTCTTCTTGGGCTTGCCATCTTCTGCAATGGTTTCCACCACGCGAACTTCCTCTGGAAGCTCTTGGATTTCTTCGGTAACCTCTTCCTCATATGGAACTTCTTCAACTGTCACTATGGTTTCTGGTTGCTTATCGTCTTCCTCGACAGTTTCGATTTTAGTGACTTCTTGTTTGTCACCCTTGACCTTCTTGATTACGCGAGTGCGGATCTTCTTCTTCTTGGGCTTGCCATCTTCTGCAATGGTTTCCACCACGCGAACTTCCTCTGGAAGCTCTTGAATTTCTTCCGGCACCTCTTCCTCATAAGGAACTTCTTCAACTGTCACTGTGGTTTCTGGTTGCTTATCGTCTTCCTCAACGGTTTCAATCTTAGTGACTTCTTGCTTGTTACCCTTGACCTTCTTGATTACGCGAGTGCGGATCTTCTTCTTCTTTGGCTTGCCATCTTCGGAAATGGTCTCGACGACGCGAACCTCCTCTGGAAGTTCCTTGATTTCTTCGGGCTGTTCTTCCTCCACCGGAACTTCTTCCACAGTGACTGTTGTTTCAGGTTGCTTGTCATCTTCCTCGACAGTTTCGATCTTGGTGACTTCTTGTTTGTCACCCTTGACCTTCTTGATTACGCGAGTGCGGATCTTCTTCTTCTTGGGCTTGCCATCTTCTGCAATGGTTTCCACCACGCGAACTTCCTCTGGAAGCTCTTGGATTTCTTCGGTAACCTCTTTCTCATATGGAACTTCTTCAACTGTCACTGTGGTTTCTGGTTGCTTATCGTCTTCCTCAACGGTTTCAATCTTAGTGACTTCTTGTTTGTCACCCTTGACCTTCTTGATTAGGCGAGTGCGGATCTTCTTCTTGGGCTTGCCATCTTCTGCAATGGTCTCGACTACGCGAACCTCCTCTGGAAGTTCCTTGATTTCTTCGGGCTGTTCTTCCACCACCGGAACTTCTTCCACAGTGACTGTTGTTTCGGGTTGCTTATCGTCTTCCTCAACGGTTTCAATCTTAGTGACTTCTTGCTTGTTACCCTTGACCTTCTTGATTACGCGAGTGCGGATCTTCTTCTTCTTTGGCTTGCCATCTTCGGAAATGGTCTCGACTACGCGAACCTCCTCTGGAAGTTCCTTGATTTCTTCGGGCTGTTCTTTCTCCACCGGAACTTCTTCCACAGTGACTGTTGTTTCAGGTTGCTTGTCATCCTCCTCGACTGTTTCGATCTTGGTTACTTCTTGCTTGTCTCCCTTAACCTTCTTAATGACGCGGGTGCGGATCTTCTTCTTCTTGGGCTTGCCATCTTCTGCAATGGTTTCCACCACGCGAACTTCCTCAGGAAGCTCTTGGATTTCTTCGGTAACCTCTTCCTCATAAGGAACTTCTTCAACTGTCACTGTGGTTTCTGGTTGCTTATCGTCTTCCTCGACAGTTTCGATCTTGGTGACTTCTGTTTTGTCTCCCTTGACCCTCTTGATAACGCGAGTGCGAATCTTCTTCTTCTTTGGCTTGCCGTCTTCGGCAATGGTCTCGACTACGCGAACCTCCTCTGGAAGTTCCTTGATTTCTTCGGGCTGTTCTTCCTCCACCGGAACTTCTTCCACAGTGACTGTTGTTTCGGGTTGCTTATCGTCTTCCTCGACTGTTTCGATCTTGGTTACTTCTTGCTTGTCTCCCTTGACCTTCTTGATAACGCGAGTGCGGATCTTCTTCTTCTTTGGCTTGCCGTCTTCGGCAATGGTCTCGACTACGCGAACCTCCTCTGGAAGTTCCTTGATTTCTTCGGGCTGTTCTTCCTCCACCGGAACTTCTTCCACAGTGACTGTTGTTTCGTGTTGCTTATCGTCTTCCTCGACTGTTTCGATCTTGGTCACTTCTTGCTTGTCTCCCTTGACCTTCTTGATAACGCGAGTGCGGATCTTCTTCTTCTGTGGCTTGCCGTCTTCGGCAATGGTCTCGACTACGCGAACCTCCTCTGGAAGTTCATTGATTTCTTCGGGCTGTTCTTCCTCCACCGGAACTTCTTCCACAGTGACTGTTGTTTCAGGTTGCTTGTCATCCTCCTCGACAGTTTCGATCTTGGTGACTTCTTGCTTGTCTCCCTTGACCTTCTTGATAACGCGAGTGCGAATCTTCTTCTTCTTTGGCTTGCCATCTTCGGAAATTGTTTCGACGACGCGAACCTCCTCTGGAAGTTCCTTGATTTCTTCGGGCTGTTCTTCCTCCACCAGAACTTCTTCCACAGTGACTGTTGTTTCGGGTTGCTTATCGTCTTCCTCGACTGTTTCGATCTTGGTCACTTCTTGCTTGTCTCCCTTGACCTTCTTGATAACGCGAGTGCGGATCTTCTTCTTCTTTGGCTTGCCGTCTTCGGCAATGGTCTCGACTACGCGAACCTCCTCTGGAAGTTCCTTGATTTCTTCGGGCTGTTCTTCCTCCACCGGAACTTCTTCCACAGTGACTGTTGTTTCAGGTTGCTTATCGTCTTCCTCGACTGTTTCGATCTTGGTCACTTCTTGCTTGTCTCCCTTGACCTTCTTGATAACGCGAGTGCGGATCTTCTTCTTCTTTGGCGTGCCATCTTGGGAAATTGTTTCGACGACGCGAACCTCCTCTGGAAGTTCCTTGATTTCTTCGGGCTGTTCTTCCTCCACCGGAACTTCTTCCACAGTGACTGTTGTTTCAGGTTGCTTGTCATCTTCCTCGACAGTTTCGATCTTGGTGACTTCTTGCTTGTCACCCTTGACCTTCTTGATTACGCGAGTGCGAATCTTCTTCTTCTTTGGCTTGCCATCTTGGGAAATTGTTTCGACGACGCGAACCTCCTCTGGAAGTTCCTTGATTTCTTCGGGCTGTTCTTCCTCCACCGGAACTTCTTCCACAGTGACTGTTGTTTCGGGTTGCTTATCGTCTTCCTCGACTGTTTCGATCTTGGTCACTTCTTGCTTGTCTCCCTTGACCTTCTTGATAACGCGAGTGCGGATCTTCTTCTTCTTTGGCTTGCCGTCTTCGGCAATGGTCTCGACTACGCGAACCTCCTCTGGAAGTTCCTTGATTTCTTCGGGCTGTTCTTCCTCCACCGGAACTTCTTCCACAGTGACTGTTGTTTCAGGTTGCTTGTCATCCTCCTCGACAGTTTCGATCTTGGTGACTTCTTGCTTGTCACCCTTGACCTTCTTGATAACGCGAGTGCGAATCTTCTTCTTCTTTGGCTTGCCATCTTCGGAAATTGTTTCGACGACGCGAACCTCCTCTGGAAGTTCCTTGATTTCTTCGGGCTGTTCTTCCTCCACCGGAACTTCTTCCACAGTGACTGTTGTTTCAGGTTGCTTGTCATCTTCCTCGACAGTTTCGATCTTGGTGACTTCTTGCTTGTCACCCTTGACCTTCTTGATTACGCGAGTGCGAATCTTCTTCTTCTTTGGCTTGCCATCTTGGGAAATTGTTTCGACGACGCGAACCTCCTCTGGAAGTTCCTTGATTTCTTCGGGCTGTTCTTCCTCCACCGGAACTTCTTCCACAGTGACTGTTGTTTCAGGTTGCTTGTCATCTTCCTCGACAGTTTCGATCTTGGTGACTTCTTGCTTGTCACCCTTGACCTTCTTGATTACGCGAGTGCGAATCTTCTTCTTCTTTGGCTTGCCATCTTCGGAAATTGTTTCGACGACGCGAACCTCCTCTGGAAGTTCCTTGATTTCTTCGGGCTGTTCTTCCTCCACCGGAACTTCTTCCACAGTGACTGTTGTTTCAGGTTGCTTGTCATCTTCCTCGACTGTTTCGATCTTGGTGACTTCTTGCTTGTCACCCTTGACCTTCTTGATTACGCGAGTGCGAATCTTCTTCTTCTTTGGCTTGCCATCTTCGGAAATTGTTTCGACGACGCGAACCTCCTCTGGAAGTTCCTTGATTTCTTCGGGCTGTTCTTCCTCCACCGGAACTTCTTCCACAGTGACTGTTGTTTCAGGTTGCTTGTCATCTTCCTCGACAGTTTCGATCTTGGTGACTTCTTGCTTGTCACCCTTGACCTTCTTGATTACGCGAGTGCGAATCTTCTTCTTCTTTGGCTTGCCATCTTCGGAAATTGTTTCGACGACGCGAACCTCCTCTGGAAGTTCCTTGATTTCTTCGGGCTGTTCTTCCTCCACCGGAACTTCTTCCACAGTGACTGTTGTTGTAGGTTGCTTGTCATCTTCCTCGACAGTTTCGATCTTGGTGACTTCTTGCTTGTCTCCCTTGACCTTCTTGATAACACGAGTGCGAATCTTCTTCTTCTTTGGCTTGCCATCTTCGGAAATTGTTTCGACAACGCGAACCTCCTCTGGAAGTTCTTTGATTTCTTCGGGCTGTTCTTCCTCCACCGGAACTTCTTCCACAGTGACTGTTGTTTCGGGTTGCTTATCGTCTTCCTCAACGGTTTCAATCTTAGTGACTTCTTGCTTGTCTCCCTTGACCTTCTTGATAACACGAGTGCGAATCTTCTTCTTCTTTGGCTTGCCATCTTCGGAAATTGTTTCGACAACGCGAACCTCCTCTGGAAGTTCTTTGATTTCTTCGGGCTGTTCTTCCTCCACCGGAACTTCTTCCACAGTGACTGTTGTTTCGGGTTGCTTATCGTCTTCCTCAACGGTTTCAATCTTAGTGACTTCTTGCTTGTCTCCCTTGACCTTCTTGATAACACGAGTGCGAATCTTCTTCTTCTTTGGCTTGCCATCTTCGGAAATGGTTTCGACGACGCGAACCTCCTCTGGAAGTTCCTTGATTTCTTCGGGCTGTTCTTCCTCCACCGGAACTTCTTTCACAGTGACTGTTGTTTCAGGTTGCTTGTCATCTTCCTCGACAGTTTCGATCTTGGTGACTTCTTGCTTGTCTCCCTTGACCTTCTTGATAACACGAGTGCGAATCTTCTTCTTCTTTGGCTTGCCATCTTCGGAAATTGTTTCGACAACGCGAACCTCCTCTGGAAGTTCTTTGATTTCTTCGGGCTGTTCTTCCTCCACCGGAACTTCTTCCACAGTGTCTGTTGTTTCAGGTTGCTTGTCATCTTCCTCGACTGTTTCGATCTTGGTGACTTCTTGCTTGTCACCCTTGACCTTCTTGATTACGCGAGTGCGAATCTTCTTCTTCTTTGGCTTGCCATCTTCGGAAATTGTTTCGACGACGCGAACCTCCTCTGGAAGTTCCTTGATTTCTTCGGGCTGTTCTTCCTCCACCGGAACTTCTTTCACAGTGACTGTTGTTTCAGGTTGCTTGTCATCTTCCTCGACAGTTTCGATCTTGGTGACTTCTTGCTTGTCTCCTTTGACCTTCTTGATAACACGAGTGCGAATCTTCTTCTTCTTTGGCTTGCCATCTTCGGAAATTGTTTCGACAACGCGAACCTCCTCTGGAAGTTCTTTGATTTCTTCGGGCTGTTCTTCCTCCACCGGAACTTCTTCCACAGTGACTGTTGTTTCGGGTTGCTTATCGTCTTCCTCAACGGTTTCAATCTTAGTGACTTCTTGCTTGTCTCCCTTGACCTTCTTGATAACACGAGTGCGAATCTTCTTCTTCTTTGGCTTGCCATCTTCGGAAATTGTTTCGACGACGCGAACCTCCTCTGGAAGTTCCTTGATTTCTTCGGGCTGTTCTCCATCCACCGGAACTTCTTCCACAGTGACTGTTGTTTCAGGTTGCTTGTCATCCTCCTCGACAGTTTCGATCTTGGTGACTTCTTGCTTGTCTCCCTTGACCTTCTTGATAACACGAGTGCGAATCTTCTTCTTCTTTGGTTTGCCATCTTCGGAAATTGTTTCGACGACGCGAACCTCCTCTGGAAGTTCCTTGATTTCTTCGGGCTGTTCTTCCTCCACCGGAACTTCTTCCACAGTGACTGTTGTTTCAGGTTGCTTGTCATCTTCCTCGACAGTTTCGATCTTGGTGACTTCTTGCTTGTCTCCCTTGACCTTCTTGATAACACGAGTGCGAATCTTCTTTTTCTTTGGCTTGCCATCTTCGGAAATTGTTTCGACGACGCGAACCTCCTCTGGAAGTTCCTTGATTTCTTTGGGCTGTTCTTCTTCCACCGGAACTTCTTCCACAGTGACTGTTGTTTCAGGTTGCTTGTCATCTTCCTCGACAGTTTCGATCTTGGTGACTTCTTGCTTGTCTCCCTTGACCTTCTTGATAACACGAGTGCGAATCTTCTTCTTCTTTGGCTTGCCATCTTCGGAAATTGTTTCGACGACGCGAACCTCCTCTGGAAGTTCTTTGATTTCTTCGGGCTGTTCTTCCTCCACCGGAACTTCTTCCACAGTGACTGTTGTTTCAGGTTGCTTGTCATCTTCCTCGACAGTTTCGATCTTGGTGACTTCTTGCTTGTCTCCCTTGACCTTCTTGATAACACGAGTGCGAATCTTCTTCTTCTTTGGCTTGCCATCTTCGGAAATTGTTTCGACGACGCGAACCTCCTCTGGAAGTTCCTTGATTTCTTCGGGCTGTTCTTCCTCCACCGGAACTTCTTCCACAGTGACTGTTGTTTCGGGTTGCTTGTCATCCTCCTCGACTGTTTCGATCTTGGTGACTTCTTGCTTGTCTCCCTTGACCTTCTTGATAACACGAGTGCGAATCTTCTTCTTTTTTGGCTTGCCATCTTCGGAAATTGTTTCGACGACGCGAACCTCCTCTGGAAGTTCCTTGATTTCTTCGGGCTGTTCTTCCTCCACCGGAACTTCTTCCACAGTGACTGTTGTTTCAGGTTGCTTGTCATCTTCCTCGACAGTTTCGATCTTGGTGACTTCTTGCTTGTCTCCCTTGACCTTCTTGATAACACGAGTGCGAATCTTCTTCTTCTTTGGCTTGCCATCTTCGGAAATTGTTTCGACTACGCGAACCTCCTCTGGAAGTTCCTTGATTTCTTCGGGCTGTTCTTCCTCCACCGGAACTTCTTCCACAGTGACTGTTGTTTCGGGTTGCTTATCGTCTTCCTCAACGGTTTCAATCTTGGTGACTTCTTGCTTGTCTCCCTTGACCTTCTTGATAACACGAGTGCGAATCTTCTTCTTCTTTGGCTTGCCATCTTCGGAAATTGTTTCGACTACGCGAACCTCCTCTGGAAGTTCCTTGATTTCTTCGGGCTGTTCTTCCTCCACCGGAACTTCTTCCACAGTGACTGTTGTTTCGGGTTGCTTATCGTCTTCCTCAACGGTTTCAATCTTAGTAACTTCTTGCTTGTCTCCCTTGACCTTCTTGATAACACGAGTGCGAATCTTCTTCTTCTTTGGCTTGCCATCTTCGGAAATTGTTTCTACTACGCGAACCTCCTCTGGAAGTTCCTTGATTTCTTCGGGCTGTTCTTCCTCCACCGGAACTTCTTCCACAGTGACTGTTGTTTCGGGTTGCTTATCGTCTTCCTCAACGGTTTCAATCTTAGTGACTTCTTGCTTGTCTCCCTTGACCTTCTTGATTACGCGAGTGCGGATCTTCTTCTTCTTTGGCTTGCCGTCTTCGGAAATGGTCTCGACTACGCGAACCTCCTCTGGAAGTTCCTTGATTTCTTCGGGCTGTTTTTCCTCCACCGGAACTTCTTCCACAGTGACTGTTGTTTCAGGTTGCTTGTCATCTTCCTCGACTGTTTCGATCTTGGTGACTTCTTGCTTGTCACCCTTGACCTTCTTGATAACACGAGTGCGAATCTTCTTCTTCTTTGGCTTGCCATCTTCGGAAATTGTTTCGACGACGCGAACCTCCTCTGGAAGTTCCTTGATTTCTTCGGGCTGTTCTTCCTCCACCGGAACTTCTTCCACAGTGACTGTTGTTTCAGGTTGCTTGTCATCTTCCTCGACAGTTTCGATCTTGGTGACTTCTTGCTTGTCTCCCTTGACCTTCTTGATAACACGAGTGCGAATCTTCTTCTTCTTTGGCTTGCCATCTTCGGAAATTGTTTCGACGACGCGAACCTCCTCTGGAAGTTCCTTGATTTCTTCGGGCTGTTCTTCCTCCACCGGAACTTCTTCCACAGTGACTGTTGTTTCAGGTTGCTTGTCATCCTCCTCGACAGTTTCGATCTTGGTGACTTCTTGCTTGTCTCCCTTGACCTTCTTGATAACACGAGTGCGAATCTTCTTCTTCTTTGGCTTGCCATCTTCGGAAATTGTTTCGACGACGCGAACCTCCTCTGGAAGTTCCTTGATTTCTTCGGGCTGTTCTTCCTCCACCGGAACTTCTTCCACAGTGACTGTTGTTTCAGGTTGCTTGTCATCCTCCTCGACTGTTTCGATCTTGGTGACTTCTTGCTTGTCACCCTTGACCTTCTTGATAACGCGAGTGCGAATCTTCTTCTTCTTTGGCTTGCCATCTTCGGAAATTGTTTCGACGACGCGAACCTCCTCTGGAAGTTCCTTGATTTCTTCGGGCTGTTCTTCCTCCACCGGAACTTTTTCCACAGTGACTGTTGTTTCAGGTTGCTTGTCATCTTCCTCGACAGTTTCGATCTTGGTGACTTCTTGCTTGTCTCCCTTGACCTTCTTGATAACACGAGTGCGAATCTTCTTCTTCTTTGGCTTGCCATCTTCGGAAATTGTTTCGACGACGCGAACCTCCTCTGGAAGTTCCTTGATTTCTTCGGGCTGTTCTTCCTCCAACGGAACTTCTTCCACAGTGATTGTTGTTTCAGGTTGCTTGTCATCTTCCTCGACAGTTTCGATCTTGGTGACTTCTTGCTTGTCTCCCTTGACCTTCTTGATAACACGAGTGCGAATCTTCTTTTTCTTTGGCTTGCCATCTTCGGAAATTGTTTCGACGACGCGAACCTCCTCTGGAAGTTCCTTGATTTCTTTGGGCTGTTCTTCTTCCACCGGAACTTCTTCCACAGTGACTGTTGTTTCAGGTTGCTTGTCATCTTCCTCGACAGTTTCGATCTTGGTGACTTCTTGCTTGTCTCCCTTGACCTTCTTGATAACACGAGTGCGAATCTTCTTCTTCTTTGGCTTGCCATCTTCGGAAATTGTTTCGACGACGCGAACCTCCTCTGGAAGTTCCTTGATTTCTTCGGGCTGTTCTTCCTCCACCGGAACTTCTTCCACAGTGACTATTGTTTCAGGTTGCTTGTCATCTTCCTCGACAGTTTCGATCTTGGTGACTTCTTGCTTGTCTCCCTTGACCTTCTTGATAACACGAGTGCGAATCTTCTTCTTCTTTGGCTTGCCATCTTCGGAAATTGTTTCGACGACGCGAACCTCCTCTGGAAGTTCCTTGATTTCTTCGGGCTGTTCTTCCGCCACCGGAACTTCTTCCACAGTGACTGTTGTTTCAGGTTGCTTGTCATCCTCCTCGACAGTTTCGATCTTGGTGACTTCTTGCTTGTCTCCCTTGACCTTCTTGATAACACGAGTGCGAATCTTCTTCTTCTTTGGCTTGCCATCTTCGGAAATTGTTTCGACGACGCGAACCTCCTCTGGAAGTTCCTTGATTTCTTCGGGCTGTTCTTCCTCCACCGGAACTTCTTCCACAGTGACTGTTGTTTGAGGTTGCTTGTCATCTTCCTCGACAGTTTCGATCTTGGTGACTTCTTGCGTGTCTCCCTTAACCTTCTTAATGACGCGAGTGCGAATCTTCTTCTTTTTTGGCTTGCCATCTTCGGAAATGGTCTCGACGACGCGAACTTCCTCTGGAAGTTCCTTGATTTCTTCGGGTTGTTCTATCTCCACTGGAACTTCTTCGACAGTGACTGTTGTTTCAGGTTGCTTGTCATCTTCCTCGACAGTTTCGATCTTGGTTACTTCCTGTTTTTCACCTTTAATTTTTTTGATTACGCGAGTTCGAATCTTTTTCTTTCGTAGTTTGCCGTCTTTAGAAACTTCTTCAATTATTTGCACGCTTTCTGGTTCTTCTGTGATTTCGGTTTCACGACTTTCTTGTTTTTGTGTTGGTGTTTTTTGTTTTGTGTGTATTGTGTCTGTGGTTTGTTCTGTATCTGTGTAAAGAATTGTGTTTTTAGTATATAGTTTCATGTGGATTTTGAAATATTACATTGTTCTGTGTAATATGTGTTTTGGGGTTGGTGGGTCGAGTGGTAGTGAAAGTAATACGCCTTTTTTTGTTGAACTTCTTAAGTTATACCTAATTTTATACTTACCCTTTTTACTGTTTACCGTTTTAACTAAACTCTTTGCAACATTTTCTAACCCAATAATAACCTCCTGTGTCTGATTATCATTGCCGTCTTTTGATATGTATGTTGCTGCTTGTGACTCAGTGATAGTGGAATGTTCTTCTTCGTGTGCGGTCGTTTCATAGTGTGCAGTTTCAAGCATCGCTTGTGGTAGGTCAGGCGAAGATTCTGATACAAATTGTGTAGTTTGTAAAGCATTTTTAAAGCTGCCTTCTACTAGCGCTGGTTGTAATGAGTCTTCAGTATCAGGATAACAATGACTTGCTGTCGTGCTGAATATGTCTAACTGTTCTGTTATTACTGTGGTGTTGGTTTCAAAATTTATGTTTGCCTTTTTCGGTGATATGTGTTCTTGATCTTTTAGTAAGGTAGCCTGCTCGTGTGCGATAATTTGTTCATTAAGATACGTACTCTGCGGTGTGATTGAAGGTAGCGCATGTTTTTCGTCAGCTGGAATCGCTTCAGATTCCTGAATAGTTCCTTTCTCATGCAGCTCGCTTATTAAAGGTACAACTCTCACTCCAGATGGTTGAACCTTGGCTTGCTCTGTAGATTGCCTTCTGGCGTCCAAAAACGTGCTAACAGCATCACAAGAAAGCTGCTCGCTGGAAACAACGTTCTTGTATAAAACAGTTTCTGGCATTGCATTGATCTGCTCGGGCATGTCGGTTGCAAGAGTACCCAAGGAAGGTATAACAGTCACCTCTTCTACCACCGAAACTTTGAACTCAGTGGGGACAGCTGCACCTGATGACAGTTTTGCAGTATTTGGCGTGAATTCACCATGACCCTCAACATTTTCGTAAATGTTTACTGTTGAAATTTCTGCTGGCTTTAGCATCATTTCGACATCGCTGGGTAATGTCTGGAACTCCTTATTCGGTTCGAATGCAATATGCGGAGTTTGTTCGTATGTTAATGGCTCGGACACACTTGCAGCTTCATGAAGAGATTGATGGGTTACATTAGCATTCCCCTCGACGGGTACTTGAAGCTCATATGTTTCTTGTATAGAACTAAAACCGACAACCTCTTCGGTGACTAAAGACTTCGATTCAACATTCGACATTTGAGCTGTATCTCCGAAAGTTTTTAATTCGGGAAGGGTATCCTCTTTCAGGAATGTCGATTGAATTGTTGTCAAATGAGCCCTGTTAATGTCATCATCCTTTGAGACATTTAACAAATGAGTATGATCTGGTACATCTGGCATTTCTTTAGTTTTTTCGTAGGCATTGACTTCAGTAACTGTTGTGTGAACGTTGAGTTCATCCGATTTCAATTTAGCTTGAGCAATATCACCCGGCTCAACTGGGGTTGCACTTTCCAGTTCAAGAGGTAATTGTGTTTCCACAATATGGGATTGCAACATTTTATTAGTGGGAGTTGAGCTAGCAAGGAATGTAGTAGGCTCTTGTGGTAAATCCAACCCAACAAGATTTTCAATGGGGAGCACTTCAGTTATGAGCGTTTCTCTCTGTGTGCCTACAATAAAAGGTTTTCCAAAATATTCCTTTTGTGTGTTTTTAAAATGCTCTTCTTTTTGCATTATAATATTATCCGTTTGAACCAGCACTTTATTAGACTCGGCTGCCACAACGAACTCGAGAAGGGCCTCCTGCGATGTAACCTGATCACCTTCAACGTTTTCCGAAGACTCTAAAGCCAGCACATCGGATATAGTGGTACCGTGGAGCAGATCTACTGTAGGTTTGGCTTTGGTTTCCATGGGGCTTGCTGGCAATATTAATGACTCCTTTTGGAAAATTCGTTCTTCATGAGACTCTGGAGTGGCTTTAAACATAACATCGATGGATTCGGCAGCAGAGATTGGAGAAACGTCTGATTTTATGAACTCTTCAGATTCCTCTATGCCGCACACTTCACTGATAGATACCTCATGTTTTCCTCCTTCAAATGATATTTGAGCAATCTTCTCGTCCCCTTGTAACGTGTCCAGTTCATGCAGTCCTTCTACAGTTTGCGTTTTTGTAGTTACGGGTAAACCAAGCCTTGAAGGTATTTCATCAGACGTGGCTACTGCGTAGGATTGTTCTGGACTTGTAAATTCCTTCTCTGTCTCAACAGTTTGCTGAAGTTCGGTTGTTTGAACCTGTCCGAGTTCATGAGTGAGTTCCGCTGTCTGTGCCAGATGCTTATCTGATTTTTGAGCCTCCTCTGCTGCCTCATAGGAGGTGACTTCATCAACGAGCTTTGCAAGCAGAGTTTGGGTATTGTCCAGTTGTTTCGCTGTTTGTTTGGGCGTAATATCCTCTACCAAAGTTATTTCCGACTCCAATATACTTTGATCCCTGGCAATTATCGAATGATTTAGATTATCCTGGGTTTTAGTTGCCGTTTTTAGGTTGACAGGCATGTCCTCAACGCGCTCAGCTGTATCAAAAACTATGTTTCCGGTGACCAATGCATGTTCGTAAGCTACTACAGACTGCTGTGGGACTACTGTATCTGGCTGATCCGAGTCTTGGGATTTTAAAACCGTGTCATATAATATCGTTTCTGATGATTTGGTTTCATTTAAAAGATCCATTTTCGGAGACGCAAAACTGTTTCTTGCTTTGAAATCTTGCAAGTCTCCGGTGGATAGGATTTCAGTCGTGTCTTCTGATACAGGCAAACGAAGAAGCTCTGAAGAAATAAGTCTGGCCTGTTCCGACTGAATAAAAGGTACCTTTAGACCCTGTTCCAGCTCAAAGGCATTTTCCTGTCGTGTCACTGCTATACTCGTAGTAGAGTCCAAGGCAACATTAATCAGTTGTTCACTTGGCTGCGCAACTCCTTCAAGGAGCTCCTCTCTTTCTAATACTTCAGTCTCGCTTACATTAATCTCATGGAAACTACTAATTGTAGGTTGACTAGTTGCCGATGGAATTTGAATGTCATGTAGGTCGGAAACATGATCCAGAACTCGTGCCTCCTCCGAGAGTGGAATTTTCTGTGTAAAATCATTTAATTTGGGTGTAACATTAACTTGCTGTGGAATATCAAGGTCTTTTAGATCCGATGTATTCTCGCTCGTAATGGTTGTACTTGTTTTCAAAGCTGTTGAAGTTTCAATTATCTGCACGTTGCTAACCGATGACAACTTGTACTCTGGTATTGTATAGTCCTTTAAGGCATCACAAATTATGTTTTCTTCGATCTTGGGTAACGTGATTTCTCCTATATTGAAATGTGCCTGCTGATTAGGCTGCTTCTGATGGTCTAGTTCATCCAGCGACTCCATATGTTGCGGTCTCGTAGTGTTGGCAACCTGCAAAGGTCCAGTTGTGCCAATAACAGCACTCTGCAAAGTATTTGGCTCTTCAGTCGCAAGAGTTGATTCGCCTTCTAGTGTTACGCATGATCTAGTTTCCAGTGACTGCATCAGACTAAAGTGGCTTTCTGTGGTCTGCAGGGCAGGATGCAAATCATCGGTGCGTCCCTCTATGCTTTCCAATGGCGCCTGCTCTCCAATATCTGTTCCATATTGCTGTGGCATGCTTACTTCGGCAATTACTAAACTTGGTTTGCTGTCTTCGGCTTTATTTTTTGTAGACTCCATGGGAATTATCTCAAGACCCTCGGCATAATTAAATATATCGGTGATAGGCTGGGCGTTGGTAAGTTTCTCCTTTGGCAGAATGTCAAGTAGTTCGGTGCTAGTCTCAGTTATTTGTACATTGGTAACCTCCAAAGGCTGTTGGTTGTCAATCAGTAACATGTTTCCTGTTTTAAGCTCAGGTTGTTGAGCTGGTTCCATGGGGCCAATGCTCTCCAATAGATCGGGCCTAGTTGCAACTCCAATTGGCATCGACTCAAATACTTTATTTGCCTCTGCCGACTTCGTGTTTTCAGTAATAATATCACTGGATGTATGGTCTGGTTGAACTTCAAATACGCTAGTTACCTTAAGCTCAGTGGTAGTTATCTTTTGTGTTGCCGTCTGTGAAGTCTGATCTGTATCAGGAGACAGGATTTGTTCCTTTTCCTCAGTTGAGTCTTGCTTGACCTCCAATGCAGCCTGTTCGACAAACTCCAATTTGGCATCCATGAACTGTGGAACCGGTGACAAAAATTCTCCTTCTGTATCTATCACATTCGTAGTCTGAATTTCTGCCACAACTTCCCCTTCAACGATATTCACCTTTCCGTGAGCTGTCTGGCGATCTTCATCTGGCACGAAACCCAATGAATCGAAAAGCTCCTCTTTACTACTCTCCGCTGTTCCATAAGGTTTCGTTATGGTGCCCTTTGCGGGTTTAGTGGATTCCACCAGAGGTTCAACTAGTTCCTGTGCCATTTCTGAAATAGTTGTCTCAAGCGTTTCGCCAATGGTCAAGGCTACAGTTTGCCCCACAGTTCCCTCTGACAGTTTTGGAATATTATTCAGTCCTAGGTCCTTTATGGCTTCTTCATGTGATATGGTTTCCTCGGTGGTGACATGAATTTGTGCCTGTATGTCCATAATGGCTTCCTTGGCATCAGTCTTAAAGATGGGTAAATTTTCTTCGATGGGACTCTGAGAATCTGCAGTAATATTTAGCAAGGCCTCAGCTAACACCAATTGTTCCATGGCTTTGATGTCATCAGTCCGTGTCTTAGGCACCTCGCTCTCGGGCAGACTGTCGAAGGGTTCAGTTTCTTGGACTAGAATTGGCACCTCCTCGGCCTTAACTGTGATATCCGCCACACTCTTGGTTGGTTGGGTCTCCAATGGCATCGGTTGTACGCTTTCCAAAACTTCAGGAGCACTTCCACTCGCTGCCTTGTGTTCCGTAACAGATGTTGTGGATGTCTCTGGACGAGTCTCAGCGTTTGGCTGCAGTTCTTCAACTGAGTCTTCCGGTTGACATTCGCTAATGGCTAGACTGATATTAGGGGTTACTTGTGGAGTGATCGTCTCGGTAGCTGGCTTTTCCTGGGTGACTTCCTTTCCAAACGATTCGCTGCTCATTACTTCTGTGATAATTACCTCTTCCTGATTTAGTAATTTTGGCTGCACTGTTTCCCCCATAGTTTCTATGGATTTCAGCTGCGTAAAGCTCTCCAGTGTAGATGGCTGCTCTTCGCTTAGCTCATGCGACAGCAAGATATCACCGTGAGCCTGTTGACTGGTGGTCTTTAATGGTACTAGATCATCGATGGCTTCTTCTACGCTGGTAGTTTCAACCAGCAGAGGACGTGATTCTTTTAACTTGCGCTGGGCCTTTACTGACTTCGGAATCTTGGATGGTTTTATTTCCTTGGGAGCCTCGGCTGTCTCGGCTTCAGAGACATCAGCAGCGTGCTTTTGCCTGATTTCAATCTCTTGACTTAGCTTACTTTCTTCAGGTCGTGGGAATTCTTTGCTGATGCTAACTTCATCGAGCGTTACTCTCTCCTCACTGACAGCCAATACCTTTTGGGGTAATATGTCGTCCTGCGCCTGAGCTGAAAATGGTTTCGGTGTAGAAAGTTCTGTGGTGACTGCAACCGCAACGGATTCGAGCGTGTCTTGTGGTTGATTTTGCGTGGATAGTGTCTCGTATGTGGGCTTAAGCTCTTCGATTTGCTCAAGAGTTTCTGCCTTTGGTGATCCTGTGCTTGTTTCATGGGCCAATGCCAGTGTTTCTCTTTGTTCGTATTCGATGGACTCGACAACCTCCTCTTCCTGTTTCTGTTCTTGTTCTGTGTGTTTTTTATGCTTTTTGGTGATTTTAGTTTTCGTTTTCTTCTGCACAATTTGTTCAGCCTGAGCCTGTATCTGCACTTGTTCTTGTTGTTCTTGTTGTTGTACTTGTATTTGCACATGTTCTTGTTGCTGTATGAACTGTTTTTCCACCTGAGTGGTTGCTGTTTCTGTGAATGTAATGTAATTAAACAATGACAATGTCGAGCTCTCTTTGTGTTGCTATTAAAAAACAATACACTAACAATGATGTCAACTAACAGCAGAAAGCCGTGCAAGCCTCAATCATTTAGTATCTGTGTTGCGAGCGGTAAAGCAAAATGAGTTGCACAGTAAACGAAAGGTGAATGATGGCATTTCGATCTATTTACAAATGGTGTAGGCAAACAGACCATAATTTGGAGATAGACCTTACCTCGTTAGACATCAGAAAGTCGTCCAGTTTGGCGGGCAAGGGAGTAAAGCTCTTCTACTCTTGAAATTGAATGCATATTGCAAAAGCATTAAAGTGGGCGAAAGTCAAATATAGTTAAAGCTTATATGGTATATAGCAGCGGCAGCAAGATATGGAACTCGTTAATCAAGTAGATAAAGCTTTTAGTGGCGGTGATTAGCGGTTAATGGGTAGCTAGATTATTCGGTGGCGTCTTTTTAGAATATACACATGATTTGTTTGTTTTGACTTAACAAGATTTAATTGTTATATTTGTATAGACAATATATATTATTGTTTTTGCAGTTGATTCTTTTTTAATAATATTAATTAGACTGTAGTTGAGTAGTTCGTGGGATGGTACATCGTTGTTACTGGTGGGATTTATATAACTGGTGGATTTTTTTTTTTTTTTGTTTTTGTTTACAGAACATCTGTGTTTATGTTCAAACCTTCTTGGACAATTATCGTTCGTTCCTCGACAAATGTTTCCTCTGTCGAATATGGTATGAGGTTTTATTGGCCGTGTTTTGGGAGTGGCACGAAAAGCGTAGGAAAGTTTTACAAGCAGAGTTACATAATAAAAAAAAAGAGATAAATATAAACTTTTTTAAGTATGCAAATTATAATATTTGTGTTATATTAATTTAGGCTAAGCATATTAACTACTTAAGCGGCTTGCTCACTGACACTCACCTATTTTCACATGTGTGATAGCCTCGTGACTTTCGATTATTTGCGATGTCTCTACTATTCTCTAGATTTCCGTAAATCAAAGTAGATAAAAATGTTTGAAACATGTAAATACTAAGTAGGTATATCTGCCCAATATATATTTTTTTCTGATTTCTTCAAGCTTATTTAACCCTAGTTGAAATGCAAAAATTTAACCCCAATTAGAGAAACAAAAATATAAATTTTAGAAATGTTTTTTTTCGGCATTTCAACTGTCTGCACAAAACATAGAAAGACAAACAAAATAAGAAACACATTGAACAAAATTCAAACCTCCTTTCCGCATATTTTCCAGTCCTGGGATATAAAGTCCTCCCTAACAAACTTTCGTATGACGATCTCAATGGTGATTTCGTACGTCTGAATCATTCGGATGAAGGCCTTGAATCCAACAGTAGCCGCCAGGATGGTCTCATCCTCGTTCGAAGACTCGCTCAGTATTTGGGAGATCAGCTCTTCGTGGCCCTCCCGCTCAACGAGCTGCACCAGGGCCGATTGTGATTCGGGCTTCTTCAAGGATATGAATATGTTCTGTTCATACATATATGTGATCTCGTAGTGATTGCAACCGTAGCGCAAGAGCAGGCCTATTGTGGCCAAGTCTCGCAGAGCGGATTCGCCAATCTTGCCAAAGGACTCGGCCTCGATTGACTCGAGCAGCCATTGGACCTCCTCGTGATGGGATATTACTTGAATATCCTCGATGGTAATGGTCTTTTGGGTGATTTTGCTGCGAATTATTTCCACAGTTTTCGTTATCTCTATTTTCTTAGTGGATGTGTAAGTTTCTTTCTTTTCTTCCTTCACTTCAACTTCCGCCTCCTCCTCTTCCGTGTCATTTTTCTTCACTTTTTCGTCGAACTCTTCAACCTCTTCGACTTCTTCGATTATCTGACTGGTGCGCTGCTCGGCATCGGCAACCTTTCGATCTTTTACCTCCATTACCTCCGAGACCTCGCTCTTTTCCACGAGTATGGATACGGGTTGCCTCACCTTGATCACATTCATGGTGGTTTCTGTGGTGGCAGCTGGAACAATTCTGATCTCTGTCTTTTGCACTGACTGAGATTCTGAAGTCCCGGCGGATCTTCTCACCACTGTCTTCTTTCCAGCCTTCTTCTTAAAGGTCTTGGTCTTGCTTTTCTCAACAATCTCGTCCATGGCGCTGGTTGAGGATATTTCAAACTTGCCTCGCGTCATGGTCATGCCAATCTCGTTGATCAGCTTGCAGTTGTAGTAACCGCAGTCTTCGTTTGTAATTTTCAGTATTTCTAGCGTTGCTTCGTGTTCCTGCACTACCATGCGATACTTTTCGGATGCCCTAAGCTGAACGTTGTTGAAATACCATTGAATATCTATATCAGAGGGTTAGAAACCAAGCAGCATATTCAGCCCCGAAAAGAAAACTCTATCTAATACTCGTACAATACCTGGTATCGGGTTGCCAGCAAACTGTATCGAGAACTTTGCTGTTTCGCCTAAGGCAGCACGGCAGTCACGCATTTCGTTTAGTAGTGATGGCGAGCATTTAGCAGCTATAAGCACAGAGATGCATAATATCTATGGATTAGAGTCTACCCGTAAAATCTAAAAGCGTTGGGGTTGAGATGGGTGCGTGTTCTTTACGTTTACTTACACAGAGTGACTGTTCTTGTGGAAGTTGTGTTGCATACATACATATATAATTGTCTGTTTGATTTTGAGGTTAATGTGAGTATAAGAGCTATGAATATAGTGAACAGAAATACTTGAACAAGTTCTTAGTACATTCAAAATCGGATTATTTGATAATATGAAGAGTTCAGCAAGCAGCGTTCTGGGAATGTTATATAATTTCCTTGGATTGAATTGAACACTTTTTCTTTTTGTATAACATGGGGTTAGTTGAAATTTTGAATAATTGCGAATCGAATACAACCAATTACTTGCAGATGAGATACTGATATTGATACTGTAAGAGATACATTTGATACACGTACGATATATAATTTTAAATGTATACTAAAAGTTCTATTATATTGGCGTTTACTTTTTGGATAAATTTACTTAATAAGGGTGGGGGTTTTTTGGGGGGTAGGGGTCAAGCCTTAGAGCTGTAGGGGACCAAGACAATCACAAAGCCACAGTTTTTTTTTTTTTTTTTCAAGGGAAGGGTACTTCACAGGTTGTTTGTTTTTGTTGTTGTTTGTACGATACAAAGTACTATACATGGACAAATACAAAATAGAGACAGACAGTAGAAGAAGAAGACGGGAGACAGAGGACAGAGAGACTTTGTGAATTGTTTTACTTAGTTTTGTGGTTTAAGACAATGGCACAGAAGACATTTGTGTGTTGGTAACACGAAATTAAAACACATATACACATAACAGTGGTAAAACAGAGCTGGCATTAGTGAGGATACATACCTTTGAGAGCCACCTGCATTTCCTCCATGTGAGTCACCCATTCCGGCTTGCGGTAATCCTTCGATCCAACGATGCCTTTACATATACGGATGGGAAGTAATAATTTAAATCATTATTATATTTGATTACGCAATAATAAGACCAAAAATTTCTGTAAAATTCAATTAGTTTTCCTTAACCTAATAACGTGTGTGGCCTTCTGTAATTTATCGTGTAGAGTTCTGCGAGTGTTTAAAAGTAAAGTGTAAGTGGAATTTTGATTGGAATCGTTACAATAAATTGTAATTGGGTTCGGGTAGGGGTTGGGGAAAGGGAGGGATTTATTATTATTTTTTAAAGGCAGCTGCAAAACCTGAAAAAGAGTTTCACTAACAAAGCCAAATAACAGTGAATTTATATTAAAGAGTGGACTATATGAGGGATAAACCATAATAGTACCTTCGACCGCAAAGAGTGCCGTGGTCACAGCCACACCCAGTGGATTGTACGCCTCAAAACTAATTGTACCCAAATCATCGGGATAGACGTGATTAATGACCAACACTGAGGTGCCGTCGTCGAAATTTTCGATTTGATATTCCTCGGAAGCGAATATCTGCTCGTCGTCGCGCAGCCATTTGACCTTTGGTTTTGGTTTTCCAATGACCTTAACCTCCAGCTTCGCTTGCTCACCCTCTTTGGGCTCGATTTTCTCTGGTAGCTTTTTAATAATTTTCGGTGCTTGTTCGTCGATTGAGAGGGTCTAGAATGGTTTGCGTTATAACATTTTGAATTAGCATGATAAAACCTTGAGTTGAGAACACATTTACAACAATTAGGCTTACTCTATCAAGTAGATCCTCCTCAGATCCTGTGAGTCCAGTGATTTCAGAATCGGGGATATATTCAAATGCTAAAAAATACACATTCGAAAGCATTATCAATATAAACGTGTCTCCTCACCGAAATGCAACGAATTCAAAAAGAACGGAAAATTATGTACAAAAAGAATTGGTCAATGAGGTGACCGGAAAAGTGGAAGGAAAAAATTTTTAATGGACTTGATAGACAGGTAAGACTTTCAAAAAGGTAGAATCACATGCAGGCTATCTCTAAGCCAGTTAGTACAAACTCAGTTGTCAGAGAGGGGATAGTGTAGTTATTGGAAAACCTATCTATCTAGGTGTGGGATGCATGTAGTGTGTAGAGTGGCACTACTTCCATCTGGTTAACTATTTAACTACCGATAGATACCATCACAAGTACCTTGAATTTTAACGTTTGTCTTGGACACGCTCTTGCCAATCTTGTTCGTGGCCACGCACTCGTATTGGCCCTCGTTTTCGGGGAACACTTCCGTAATCTGCAGCTGGCAATTGCCTTGCAAGTCTTGCGATATCGTAGTTTCCTTGTTCTCGACGATCTTCTCCTCATTATGGTACCACTCCACTTTGGGCGTGGGCTTGCCGGTAACTTGGCAGGTCAGCAGCAAAGCCTCGCCATCCATTACCTCTACGGGCTTAATAAGTTCTTCGATGAATCGCGGAGATTCAAATTCTACCGCCTCCTCCTCGGGCAGGGACTCAATTAGGTTGACTGTGGCAGTTGAAGTCACCGAACCACCGACGTTCTCGGCCCGGCAAGTAAAGGGTCCGGTGAATTTCTTCTGGAAATCCTCAATCAGCAATGTTGACTTGTTTGCCTGGCTCACGATGCGCACTTCGTTGGAGCTTTTGATGGGCTCATTGTGCACAAACCACTGGAAGGACGATAATGGCTCAGACTCCACAACAGCCTCGATAATGGCCACTTCATGTTCGCCAAAGTATTTGGGTTCCAAGGGCTGAATGAATCTTGGCGGTTTAATTTGCTCATCGGGCTTATGATCTGAGACGACCACAGATCCAGATGACTTGGCCTCACCCACCTTGTTCTTGGCCCAGACCTCATATTTGCCAGTGCGCTTGCGCGTCATATTGATAACCTTAATTGTGGTTGTCGTCTCAGTGGTCTCTATGATGATCTCCTCGTTCTCGACAACTTCACGGCCATTTCGCATCCATTTGACTTCTGGCCTAGGCAGGCCATCGTACTTGGCCTCAAAGAACAGAGTACCTCCAGTAGGTACAACAACTGCATTTAATGGAGTTACCGTGGGTGCCTTCAGTATTTCCTTGACCACTTCATCAACGCGACTCATGATATTGGCGTTGCCGATAGCACGACCAAATTGATTCTGGGCCTGCACGGAGTAGACAACAGCCTCGTTGGGAGTGGGATTTATCACTTCCAGAGCCACATCACCAGTCTTTTCATCGTAGAACATTTGTACGGTCTCGCTGGGAATGACCTCCTCTATACCTCTGTACCATTTAACCTGAGGGTTTGGTTTGCCTGTCACCTGACAGGTTACCGTAACCTTGAGCCGCTCGGGCTGCTTCTCCTCAGTGAACTCTATCTTAAGTGGTTTGGTAAACTGTGGGGCAACTCCTTGTTCTTTTTCTGTATTCAATGTGAATAAGGGATATTTAAGAATATTGTGTGTTCTGGTGTTTTGGAAGGGAAATTATATATACAAAAGGTCTGGGAGGACGGGGAAAATTAAGTTAAGAGACTTCATTTTTTTTAGTCTCCAGATACATCGCAAAAAATACGAAGAGATTTGATTGGATCGAACCTAATATTAAACATATATTGCACTTACCTAAAATAATGTTGGTACGACTTGTTGCCACTCCAGCCTCGTTCTTGGCCTCACATGTGTAGACGCCCACATCGCTGGGTGTGACCTTGGCAATCTTTAGCTGGGCCACCTGCTCGACGACGGTGATCTCGTACTTCTCCGAGGCGAATAGCAGGATGTCGTTGAAGTACCAGTTGATTTCGGGGAAGGGGACGCCTTCCACCTTGCACTCGAGAACAGTCGGTTCCTCGGGAACACATTGGCGGGGACGAAGCTTTTCGGTAATCCTTGGAGGCTTGATCTCCTTCTTCTTCTTCTTGACCAACTTGCGTTCCTGACCAATCACCTCGGAAGTGGTCGTCTCCTGCTGGTTTTGCGTGAGCTGCTGGTCCTCGATGAGCTCCTCATCAGCCACCTTATCGATGCCCTCCTGGACACGCTTCTGCGTAATCAGTTCCAGCTCAGGCAGCGGTTGGCTGTCGTCCAGCACCACACGACGCTTTTCCTTCTTGATGATATTCGAGGTGACCTTCATCTCGAGATCACGTCGGACGTCCTCCACATCCAGCTCGATGAGCTGCTCAGTTGTGATGAATTGAGGTCTTGTGTCTTCAGTCTTTTTGAGTAGGGTAATAGTCTTTTGTGAGATCTCCTGGGATATTTCATCCACTTTTTCGATTTCAGCAATTGCAGCTTCCAGAAGCTGAGGCTGTCCTTCGATAGACGCCTGCTTAAGGCGTTTCGTGCGCTTCTTGTGCGCCTTCTGTTTAGCCTCAGGCGTCTCCTCGGTGGTCACAACTTCTTCCTCCGGCAGCACATCTTCCGAAACTGCCACCACCTTATCGTCTTCGACAGGCAACTCTTCAACTTCATCTTCCTCCGCAATGGGCTCATCGAATGGCTCGGCCACTTCTTCTGATACCTCATCCACAGAGGGTGTGGCCTTCTTTAGCTTAGGCTTCTTCTTCTTCTCCTTCTTGGCCTTGGGCTCCTTTAGCTGTTTGTCCTCGGGCAGCTTAAGAGGTTCAAGTTCAAGCTCCTCCTCTTCGCTTTCTGGCTTTTCTTCGGGCACAAGTTGTGGGCCGGGTATTGCCTTTTCAGGCTTCTGCGGTTCTTCTACCGGTTTTGATGGAATCGGCTTAAGCTGGACTTCCTCAGGCTGTTCTGCGGCCAATGGACGACGTTTGCCTGTTGGCCATTTCTTTTCCTCCAAAACTTCCTCTTCCGGCTTCTTCTTTTCTCCTCGTTTCCACGGCACTTGTGGTTGCTCTTCCTCTGGCTTTGGCTCCTTAACGATATCGATGTGCTCTGCCTCTTCCAGCTGGGTGGGCTCAGCATCGGGAATTTCGGCCAAGTCTTCGTGTTTTGGCTTCTTCACCTTCTTGGTCTTACGCTTCTCCTCTTGCACGATTTCTTGCTCCGTTTTCTCGACGTGCTGCAAGTCGACAGCCTCCAGCGTTACCTCCTCGGGCTTGATGGAGGTTCGTTGAGTTGGCTTCAAGCGCACTTCCTCGATAGTCGCCTCTTCGGGGAGCTGCTTCTTTGGCCTAGTAACCCGCTTGAGGGCAACCTCTTCAACCTTTTCAATGATTTCCTGTTTCTGCGGCTTTGGCTTAGAAGCAATTTTTTGTACGGGTGCCACTTCCTCTTCAGGTTGTTCTTCTACAGGTTCTTCGATAGGTTGCTCCTCTTCCGGCTGTATTTCTTCCTCTTCTTCGACTCCCTCGACTGGCTCTTCGATAGCCTCATCCGTGTCAGTCTTTGCCTTGGGCTTCTTCTTTTTAACACGTTTCTTTGTCACGTCGACTATTTGGTCCACAGTGGTAATAACTTGCTCCTTGACCTCAAATTCAGTTTCTGGTGTTTCAGGCTGAGTTGTTTCCGAGACAAGGGCAGTCTTTTTCAATGGCTTCAAGGAGACCTCCTCCAGTTGTTCCTTCTCGGGCAGAGGTCGTTGTTTCCTGGGAGCAGGCTTGAGCGTAACCTTTTCGACTTGCTCAACCTCCTGGGCCTGTGGAGCAGGCTTGGGCTTCTTCGGTTGTTCGGGGACGGATTCTTGAATTTCTTCAACTTCCTCGAGTTGCGGCTCCTCGATCTCTTCGGGCTGCTCTTCAGTGTCATCTTCAACCTTTTTCTTAGGTTTCTTTACCTTCTTCACCGTGCGCTTCTCCTCAACAACCTCTTCCTGTTCCTCGATGACTTCCTCTTCTTGTGGAACCTCCTCTTCCGGCTGGCCTTCCTCCACAATCTTCTTGGGCTTTTTTACCTTTTTCACCTTGCGCTTTTCTTCAACGACTTCTTCTTGTTCTTCAGTAATCTCTACCTGCTCTTCTGGGACCTCCTCTTCAGGCTGTTCCAGTTCCTCGACATCAGTCTTTTCAACGGTTGGTTTGGGCTTTTTAACCTTCTTGACCTTTTTCTTCTCCTCAATAACTTCTTGTTGCTCTTCAACAATCGTTTCCAGCTCTTCAACAACCTCTTCTTCAGGAGTTTCCTCTTCTGGCTGCTCTTCCTCAGATTCGGTCTTTTCCACAATGGCCTTTGGCTTCTTAACCTTTTTAACCTTGCGTTTTTCTTCAACAATTTCCTGCTGTTCTTGGACTATTTCTTCTTGCTCTTCAATCACCTCTTCCTCTGGTTGTTCTTCCTCTGGTTGTTCTTCCTCGGTTACCTGCTTAGTTGGCTTTGGCTTCTTTGTCTTCTTAACCTTACGCTTTTCCTCAACGATTTCAACCTGTTCCTCGACAATTTCTTCCTGAGGAACTTCCTCTTCTTCGGGAATGTCTTCTTCTGGTTGCTCTTCAACCACCTCCTCGGAAGCAGTTTTCGTTGGTTTCGGTTTCTTAGTCTTCTTGATTCTGCGCTTTTCTTCGACAATGACCTGCTCTTCTTCCACGACTCTCTCGATTTGGGCATCGACTTCATCGGGATGTACTTCTTCTACGGGTTCTGGTTTTTGAGGCTTCTTTTTGCCACGTTGCCATAAGACCGGCTCTGGCTTCTCATCCACCTTAGGCTCATCGGGTAACACATCGACCGCTTCTTCGTAAGACTTTGTGGGCGCCTCTTCGATCTTTTCTTCGACAACTTGTTGTGGCTGCGGCTTCTTCTTCTTTCCGCGTTCCCACATAACAGGCTGAGGTTGAGGTTCGACTGGCTTGGCTACCTCCTCCTCCAAAGTGTCCTGAGCAATCTCAAGGGTCTTGGGCACTTCCTCGACGACTTGCTGTTCTGGCTTCTTCTTCTTGCCACGCTCCCACAAAACAGGTTGCGGTTGTGGCTCAGCTGTTTTAGGTACCTCCTCTTCCAAGGTGTCAACAGCAACCTCGAGCGTCTTGGGTATTTCAGGAACTTGTTGCTCAGGTTGTTGAGGCTTCTTCTTGCCGCGTTCCCACAGGACAGGCTGCGGTTGTTCCTGCACTTGAGGTACAGTTTCTTCAGCCAGTTCATCGGTAGCCTCCTCGTAAGTTTTCAAGGCCGTCTGCTCAACGGCTTCCTGAACGGTTCTGGTGGTCTTCAGTGGCTTCAGTTGGAACTCCTCAGCCTTTTGCACTTCCTTGGGTCGTTGTCGGGGCGTTGGCTTCAAGGAAACTTGCTCTACCTTTTGCTCCGGCTCCCTTGGGGGAATCACCCGGCGAACAGCTGTCTTCTTTGTCTCCTCAACGACTTGTTCCTTAAGGACCTGAGAAGTTTGCACCACTTCCTGTGATGTAATTGACTGCTCCTGTACCACATTCTTCTTGCCGCGTTCCCACATGACAGGCACCTGTTCGGGTTGTTGAACAGGAGAGGGTTCCACCAGCTCGTCGTGTGCCTCTTCGTAGGTCTGGGGCTGAGACTGTGGCTTCTTCTTTCCCCTCTCCCACATGACGGGCACCTGTTGGGGCTGTTGTACCGGCACGGGCTCCACCAGCTCGTCGTGCATTTCCTCGTATGTCCTTGGCTTATCCACATATTCTTCATGGGCAGGCGCCTGCTGGGGCTGGAAGGCTTGAGGCTGCTCCGGCTTTTTCCTACCGCGCTCCCACATGACAGCTTCCTGCTGTAGCAGCTGCTGCTGTTGCGTGTCCTGACGCTCCTGCAGGTGAAGCAAAGAGGAGTCTTCAACCTGAACGAACTTCTGAGGCTCTCGCGGCTGGCGCCAGTTAAAGGCTTCGTGCTGGGTGCGCTGGTTGATCATCTTTTGGTGCTCGTACTGCTCCAGACTCATCATCTGTGAGTCTTCGACCTGGACAAACTGCTGGCGCTGAGCTTCCTCGATGAGACTCTGCTGTTGGATTAATTTCTGTCTCTCTGTGGTCTGTGAGATAACCGTATCCTCAACTGAGGTAAGAGGCTGCAGCTGTGGTCGCTGTTGCTGTTGACGCCAGTTGACCGCCTGCTGTTCACGTAGCAGTCTCTGGGCCTCCAGTTTTTCGCGTTCCGAGACATGCATAATATTTACATCCTCGGTGGTGATGAACTGCTGCTTATAGATATTGGATTGATCCTCGTACTGCTGCAGCTCATCGCGTCGCATCACCTTGGAGATCGAACCCTTCGAGCTCTCATCAATAGTCATGATGACGGTCTCATCAGCAGTTCCCATTTGGAACTCTTCGGCGATGGCCTGCTGGGCCTGCAAGTGACGCAGCTCAACTTCTTCGATCTTGAACTTGTCAATTTGCTTGGTCACTCTCTGCACACTCTTTAGCTGCTGGCGCATCTCCTTCCAAGGTATGAGATCCTTGTTGTTTTGCTGCTGTGTAATGAGCTTATCGATCTGATCGGTCATCTCCATGATCTCAACACTCTCCATGCTCTTCAGCCGTTGGATCTCCTTGGTGCGCTGCACTTGCTCCACTTGGGCCTGTTGCGGCAACTGCTCGTCCGTCTCAATTTGACCTTCGAGCGGACGCAAGTAGACCTCGTCTAAATCGAATTTGTTCAGTTGTTCCTGCACACTCTCCACGGCCTTAAGCTTTTCACGCATTGTGATCCAAGGAACCGCCTCCTTTTCGGTCTTGCCAGCAATGATTTGCTCTAGAGTAGCTCCCAAACTCATAATACCTTGATCGCGTTCGGTTTTAATGGATTTAAGGACAACCGTAGCTGCCTCTAGCTTCGGAGTGGGCTTCTTCTTCTCAATGGGTGTAGCCTTCAAGCTGATGGTCTCCTCGGTCCAAGATTTGACTGGCTCTGGCTTGAAGCCTGGCAGGAACACACCCTTGTCCAGGGAGCGTCCACGATTGGGACGTGAAGATTTACGCCATGGTATGACATTGGTTGGTGGCTGCAAAGACTTGCTGCGTACTTTGGGTTTTTTATTGCGTGACCTTCCCTGATGCTGGACCTGCCCGTTGACGCCCAGGAATTGGCCAAACTGCTGGCCGGGTTGCTGGCCAGGTTGGAAAGCATGGGGCGATTCGGGGGCACTGTCTTCCCGGCCAGATGAAGAGGACTCATCCTCGGCGGAATCAATCGTTCTCAATTGAAAGGCCGAGATGCGTCGTTCTACAAAAAGTAGATTCCATTTAGTACAACCATCAAATGGGAGATAGCTAAATACAACCAGAGTTCGAAAGGGGGGATTTTAAATTATTGATCCTGAGTTTACTTACCCTTGTTAACATACTAACCTTGATTTCCTTTCTTTGAATACTTTCTCTTGTATATGTATTATTTTTTTGTTTTTTTATTACGAACTTTTAAGAACAAATAATAGTTATATGGCTTGGGCAAACAATGAGCATGAAAATGTAAATATTTAATGGTTAACAAAGGCAAAATTTCATGGCAATGCATAAGAAATCAAACTTAAACTGATGAAGTTTTCGTTTGGAGTTGGAAAGTCATAGGTCATAGTTTTCAGTAAAAAATTTAATTCTTTTAAATAAGGAAATATTGGAAAAAGCAAGGGACATTTCTCTCAGATCTCAAACCATAATTAAATAACAATTGACTCATTCTTGCTGATTTATGTGGCCACTTACCTGCTCGCCCACCCAGCCAAGCAAATCATAATTTGTGCCTGTACAAGAATTAAAAATACTTCCCAAATCTTTGGCATATGCGAACAATGAACTTGAATATTTAAATTTAGTTTCAATTTATGGCCGAACATGATAAATAAATAAGACTTGCTTTGGATTATAGGAGGTGGAAACCCAAAACCTTCCAATTCATAGCTAGCTGTGCGTTTAAATTATAAATTTTTGCTTGACAGCTCATCGGCGTTGACCGTGAAAAAAACATAAATGGGATCGGGCCCTAGGTCAGTACATATTTTTGATAATTGGCTTTGATAAAAATAGGTGCGTATAGTCAGTGGTCTGAGGTGGCGGTTTATCTACGATTCGTGATTCACTAATCGGGTGTGACGAGTCCACTTTGCTGATGATTTAAATTGCATTAACCTGCACCTAAATCTGGCACATTGACATGACAGCAATTGAGCAAGTCGCGGTGACATTCGTTTGACTTCAGATCATCATCATTATCATCGTCATCGCGGCTGAGGGGAAGGGTGGGATTGCGGCCAGGCAAGTGTACAATTGAGAGCGAAACAATTCAAATGCCTGTGTATACATTAAGGCCGAAAATAGATATCTGATTAGTGGCGGCTACGTCACCAGGTGGGGCTGAGCAGCAGGCGGCATCAGCAACAGCAGCAGCACAGCCCCCGACAGATTTATGGGCGGGGTGTGTCTGCGCCGATATTTTCGGTGCCCATACAGGCAGCGCAGAGCGCAGTGAGGCGCACTCCAACGGCCTCAGTCAGATGTAGAGAACAGAACAGATCAGGAGGTAGACCGAGCCACTTCCTCGGTTGGTAGACGGGGCGTATACTCAATGCTCTGTCAAGTGCATCAACATAACATCACCTACCTGTACCTGTGTTCCTGTACCAGCAGCTGTGGCTGAGTTTCTGATGACATTCGGATGACGGGTAGCAAGCAACAGCGGTGCAGTGACAGCGGTAGCGGCAACAAGGAGCGTTTGGCAGTTATCAAAAACAAATTTCCAATTGTTATGCACTTTGCTTGGATTTATTTATAGACGCGATATTGGTTTTAAGTATTAAATACATGAGAGATACAATTAAACAACAAAAGAAAAAGAGAGTGTTCGCGAGTGTGTGTGTATAAATGGAAACAAATCAATCAAAGTTCAAAGTAATCGTAAATGTAATCGAACACTAAAAACACACAGATCAATCGGGATATTGAGTAAACATAAACATAAATCAAAAGACTGGCAAATATATATAGTCGGAAATCTAGATACAGTAGATAAAACTTAAAACGAAAGTCGCATGAGTTTTTATGATTAATTTTTTAGTAAAGCTTCTTCTCGTCAATGAAGAGGAAAAAACATGAATTTAAGGCGGCAAAAGCGGCAAAAACTTTAATCGATTTCGACAAAATTTAGATTCGTTTTGTTTGTTTTTCTTTTGTACACAAAATGGATGATTGGTAGTGGACGAGAAAGAGATAGTGTGTGTGACAAACATAATAGTAACGAAACGAATTAGTAAAAAGCAGTAATAAAAAATGAATAATAAAATCTCATGCAACATCACTATAAAATAAATAAAGTTTTGATTAAATTAAATTCAATATAAATAAACAATACAAGTTCTTCATCGTCATCATCATCATCATATCATCGTCGCTATCATCAACATCATCGATGGACTGAAGGGTCATCCGGGACAAGATTCGGTTCTGAGTTATTGGTAAAAGTCTGATTACAAGGTACAGTAAGTAGTATCTTAAAGCCATCCTATCGAACCCTTTCTAACATGGATTTCTATTTCAGGCCGAAACGAGGACTACAAAGGCTAAAGCATCGCTTGGAAACAACAACCTGACTCTGACATCTATAAATATAAAACTATGGGAAAACATGAATCATCATTCGAGACCCGCGGCTCAATGACTGAACAGCCGTAACTGATTAATCTAATTAAATTCGTTTCTGCACCATAAACAGAATCATCAATTCATGTTCTTGCCGTCTAATGACCAAGCGTATGAGTTGGCCTCGACTAAGATCGGTATATATCTCTCATCTCTGATCCTGATCCACCTTATAGACAGTCGCAGCAAGAATAACAACAACATCTAGCAGGTAATTTATCATTGTATTTTTTTTTTCTAAAACTAGAAAAATCCCCGTAATAAACCTAAGCAAAATATATATATATTATTTTTTTCGGTTCTGGTGTTTTCGTTTTATTGAAAAGAAAAGAAAAATTGAAATAAATTTCAAGATTTACTTGAGAAAAATACATAAATGCTTTTCATTGTAGCTGAAAGAACCAGAAATCCAGACAGCCCCGCCTGACTAAAAATAGCGAAACGGATTTTTTAAACGCTAATCTATTGGAAATTAGTTCTCGAAAGCAAAACATTCTCCAAAAAAGAAATTGAAAATAGAACACACATATGTCTCTACTCTATCTATATATCCCTGGGTAGGGTGGCGGCAGTGCGCGAACAAGATTTGGCTGGCAGCTGAAAGCCCATGGCTGAATGGCTTTCGATATTTTCAGTTCGTGCTGTGGTCTCTACGGGCTGCTCTAGTTTTTGCGCACGTTCTATCTTTCATATTGGATGTGTGTGTGTGTATCTGGCAGATACAAGACACTAGATACGCGCACCGTGCTGCTGCTGCTGCGCTAGATGTGTCATCCATAATATTTTATGCTAATATTCAAATGAAAAATAAAACTTTCACGCTCGAGCGGAGGCGGGACAAATGTGCGTTTTGCACACGGCCCCAAAACTATCCTACTCATTTATATATCTGCCTATATACCTATATAGTATTTGCGGACGGGTACTGAAAATTATTATGTATTCCTAAAGTGGCCTGCTTAGCGTGCTCGTTTTCGAAAAATACATAGGCTGCTGGCTCTGCCTATTCCTTATTTATAACTCAACTCAATGGGCTAAAAGATCTCTCTATATTTATTTCTATATCTTTGAGTCATATCCACACTTTCACTCAACTCGCTGCGGATTTTTTGAAAAATTTCTACTAGCACTTGTTGTTGTTGCTCTTGCTGCTGTCTTGGCCATGCCAGAAGAAGAAAAATGGTCTATAAATATTTATGTTGCAAAATACTTGTAATTGTTTTTATTATTTTTCAATTAAAATTGCTTTAATTTTTTTGGTTTGTTTTTTTTTTTTCTGGTTACGTTTTTCGTGTTAGACATCTTTAAATTAAATAGTTTTGGGTTGCATTTCCTTTGCTGTTGCTCACATTTTGCAATATATGGTTAGTAGAAAATAACTCGTTCGTTTGATTGTTTAGAAAAAAATCCTTGTTGAAAGTTTCGACAGGTTCGCTTTAAAATATTCCTCTCTCACTCAAACTTTTACGACTAGTTGATCATATATATTAAAGGTAGGTAGTTGGGGCTAGTAGTAGTAACTGTTTGTAATACGTCAGTAACTCGGGGATTCGTTGCGTCAGTATTGGTATTCTTAACGGTCGTTGTTCTTGATTTAGTTTTCTTTTTTTTTTTGTATATTTTTTTTTTTGTTTTTTGTTCTTTTGAGCATTCTTTGGAGTTGTTGATGTTGGTTGGTTGGTTGGTTTGTTTGAACACGGTTCGCTTACGTTTGGTTTTGCTTAGTTTTTCGAACTCTGGGTTTCGGTTTTGGCTTAGCTTTTAGTTTAATCCTTACTTTTAACAGTCAGTTTGGCTGAGGACTCAACCTGGCCGGTGGACGACGTCACGCGTACAGTAAAGATGCCCGAATCCTCCTCGTAGGTGGTGCCAATCAGAAGCACTGCGCTGTTGCCATCGAAGATCATCTGCAAGGATTATCAAAAATAATTATAGTTAATTTTCTTGCTAGAAAAAAATCTAAAATTTAAGGTCTCTATCTACTTCATCTTGATTCCCATCTACCCTCAATTAACTTTTAACCCACCTGGAAATCGGGTGTCTCGGGGATCAGCTGACCCTCGCGGAACCACTGCACGCTGGTGGCCTTCACCTTGCCGGTCACCGTCGTCTTGAACTGGGCAGGCATGCCCTCGGTAACGGAGACATCCTTGAGGGCGGTGATGGTGGGCGGGGCGTCCAGGTTCTCAATGGGACGGACCTTCAGCTGGGCGCTAGTCTGAATGCTGCCCAGCTTGTTCTCGGCAACGCACTTGTAGGTGCCTTCGTCCTCGGGGAAGGCCTCTGAGATGATCAGCTGATAGTACTCGCCTTGGCGACTCATCTGGAAGTACCGCGATGGCTTCACAAAGTTCTCACCGCGCATCCAGCGGGCGGTGGGAGTGGGCTTGCCGTCCACGCGGCAACGGAAGATGACTTTGCTTCCCTCCTCCACCGATTGGCTCTTCAGCTGCTCCACAATATGGGGGGCCTTCTCACTGCCCGGAGTGGTGGGCTTATCCGGCTTGCTGGGCGATTGAACAATGCAATCGCCATCGCAGCGAGCCTCGCCAGCGGCATTGACAGCCACGCATTCGTAACGACCAGAATCCTCAGCGAAGGGCTCGATAATGAGCAGCGTGTGCACGCCATCCTCTTCCAGCATCTTGAATTTGATGCTCGGCTGGATCTTCATGCCGTTCTTCAGCCAGTACACGTCGAAGGGACGGGTGCCCGTGACCTTGGCATCGAAGCGGGCCAACTGTCCCGTGGCCACGGTGGTGCTCTGGATGGTGCTCACAAAGCTAGGGGGCTGAATGCCTCCCTTGCCGGCGCGACGACGTTCCTCGACCACCAGATTGGCACTGCACTTGGCGGTGCCTCCACGGTTCTCGGCCACGCAGGAGAACACGGCCGAATCTTCGACGAACACCTGGCGGATGATCAGAATCGATTTGCCACTGAAGGTGTGGATTTGCAGATCCGGCGAGTTCTGAATGGGGAAGCTCTCGCGGTACCACTTGACCGTGGGATTGGGCTCTCCATCGAATTCCACTTCGAACTTGGCCTGCTCGTTTTCAAAGACGCGGCAAGGCTGGATCTTTTTGGTAAAGACCGGAGCCTTGGCAGGCTTGACAGGTCCCTTCACTACGCGCTCTTGAATGGTGCCCTTGTGCTCCACTTCGGTGGTCTCGGTAGCGGTGATCTTGCGGGTGATCTCAAGGTCACCCTGGATCTCCTTCTGCACCTGCTGTTGCTTATTCATGTGGACTTCGCGGCCATGGACGGACGACTCTGAAGGTTCGGCTGTACCCTTTGGCGGGGCAGGCTTCACCTGAGTGGTGCTGGTCTTCTCTTGACTAAAGAGAAAAGAAGGGAAAAAAATATTTAAGAGGGAAATATTTGGGAGGGGAATAATTATAGGCTTCCAAGAAAACTCTGATACTTACAGATTCTCTTCGTAAGATTGGGCCATGCCCTTGGACTGGGAGCTGCTCACAACCTTCTCGCCGGGAATGGCGTACTGGTGATTGTCCTTGCGCAGGTTGGTCTCCTTCAGCAGTTGCTCGGTCTCCAGAACCTGCAGCTTGTTGTAGTAGTCCTCGCTCTTCTTGGCCTTGACATTCTGCTGCCAGTCTGGCGTCGGCGGCTTATAATGCTTTGGCTTCAGATGCTCGACACCCTTCAGGGTGTGGGTGCCCTGTTCAGACTGCACCTGCTTACGCTCGTCGAATACCTTTTCCAGTTCGTTCTCCTGACGCTCCTTCTGATAGGCGGCTAGTTCGTAGTCGTACCAGGCTAAACATGGAGTAGTTGAGGTGTTATTCATTGTTGAAACTTGTATAGCTAGACAGTTAGATTCAATCACATGCAATTTCAGGATGATATTTTAGAGTTAAATAAGAAATAATTGTGCCATAAGATCTAAAAGTTTAGTTACAAGTAGTCGAATTAATGGAAATTATGATTAAAGGGTTTAGATTTCGGGTATTTCCACAGAGAGGTTCACTGGCTCCTTTGGTATCTATTTTCTGGGGACGGATAGCAAATGAGTATAGACAGAGAGAGGGGATCAATGATCAGCTGGATGATAACCACAGTTTAGAACAGACGGAGGGTGCACACGCAAAACTACGGTTTAACCATATTACCCCAGGTCCGGCCATACTTATGGAGTCCCTCTCCTCGGCTTCCTCTGCACGATTTCCTCTTCTGAAGTCTCTCGCGCTGACTGAAGTACTATAATTGTTTTTTTTTTTTTTGGGACTTTTGAGGACTTGGGAAGCATTTTTGTTTTTTGGGAATTTTGGGTAACTTTGTGCTTTGTTTTATATTACTTGGAATGTAAACTTGGGTGCTACTGCTACGTAAACTTTTGTGGCATGTTGTATGTTGGTATGTTTATATTTACAATGAGTTTCTTTATGTGATATAGCATGTGGTGTCCTTATTTAGTTTGGTCAGCTCTACATTTGCATTTAAAAATTGTTAACGTTCTAATAGCTGTTGTTATATCAGTAGAAAATTCCAGAGTTGCTGGACTGTGTTTGAGTTAAACTTACGACGTGGAGAGTTCTTTAGAACATTACGGTAGTCATCGGAACGGGCAACCACCTTCAGCTCGGTGGTGGCAATAGATTCACCCACGGAATTGCGAGCAATCACTTCCACCTTGCCGGTATCATACTGACGTGTCTTCGGTACATCCAGATGGAACATGCCATCGTTGGTTAGCTTGTAGCGAGAGCCCTAAAACATGTTTTTCTTAGATGATAGATCTTCAATAATAAACTTTTAATTAACTTACATGCACAACAGTGTGGCCATTAATCAACCACATCACCCTGGGCCGTGGGTGTCCAGTAACACGGACACAGAAGCGGGCTGGATCGCCCTCCTCCACAACCTGTGGCTCCAGTTTGCTTACAAAGACTGGCTTGGTTCTGGGCTTTGCATCGGGATCAACCTCCTCAGGCACCCTGAAAGAAAAAAGATACAAATAAAATCAAACTAAACAAATTTTAAATTAGCAATACTTACACTTGCCATGAGGCTTCCATTTCGCGAATGCGATCAATGCTCTGCATATGAGCGGGCAGCTGCGAATCGTAGACAATACCGGGCTTTCCAGAAACCTTGATAATGGCACGAGTCTCATCCATGCCATACAAGTTGGTGGCACGGCAGACATACTCTCCACTGTCCTCGGGATAAACCCAACCAAAGTTCATGGCCACATAACCGAAATCGTAAATAGGCTGGAAACGGTTCTCTGCAGAAATAGAAAATCGTTAAAGAACTTGTATTGCCTAAATTATCTAGTTAATAAACTTACTGTACAGTAGAGGCTTGCCATTGAAGAACCACTCGACCTTCATGTTGGGATCACCCACAGGCGCCAGCTGGCACTCAAACTTGGTCACTGCCATCTCAGTAAGAGTGAGCTGTTCCTTAATCTGGGTGACAAAGCGAGGAGGCTGCTTGCGATCGGGATCAAACAGATCGTCCTCGGTCAAATGGACCTCGGAGGTGTACTTCTTGATGGTAGCCTCCATTTGGGTCAGAGTCTCCGAACGCTTCATGCCGCGAGGCACTTGGTTCTGCAGCAAGATGGTGGGGAGTTCTAAAAAAAAAGAACAAATTAGAAAACATCAGACTAGAATTTATAAATCCAACTTACTCTTGCACGATACAGTGGCCTTGGTGCGATCCTCGCCGTGGTTGTTGATAGCTCGGCAAACGTATTCACCAGAGTCCTCTCCATACACATAGAGAATATCCAGAGAGACAAAGCCCATATCGAAAATATTCCTGTAACGATGTCCAGAAGGCAAAGGCTTGCCATTGCGGTACCATTCGACGCGCAGGCTGGGATCCGTCTTGGGTTCAACCTGGCACTCGAATCGTACAGCCTCAGCTTCATCAACAGTGACTGAAGTGATTTGCGTGGTGAATTTCGGTGGTCCGAACTCCTGTTCAACCACCTTGGGGGCCTCTGGGATGCGTCCGCGTTCTAGTTCCTTCAACTTTTCAGAGGTCATGCCCTCGGGCAGTTGAGATTCGTACACAATATTGTGCTTGCCCTTGCAGGTAACCTTGGCGGTTGTGGTGGCAGTGCCCCACTTGTTTGTCGCCCGACAAGTGTACTCTCCCGAATCCCTGGCGTAAATGTAATCCACATCCAAGGCAATAAAGCCAAAGTCGTTGAGCTGGTGAACCCTGGAGCCAGTGGCCATAACGCGACCATTGTAGAACCATTCAATACGCATGCTCGGATCGCCAACAGGCTCGACACGGCAATCAAAGTGAATTGGACCACCCTCGGGCACATCCAAATTGTCCTTGATGTCCTCGGTGAACTTGGGCGGGTTGGGCTGCTCCTCATCGATCACAATCTCCTCGCGCTTGTGCATGCTCTCCTCCAGCTTCTGCAGGCTTTCAGTGCCAGTGCGGAAGTTGGAGGGCAGCTGGGGCTCCATAACGATGCCCTGGCGACCCTTAACCTGCAACTTGCAGGAGACCGTGGCCTCGCCGTGCTTGTTCGTAGCCTTGCAAGTGTACAGACCCGTGTCGCGCTGATAGCAACCGGCGATCTCAAGGATTACGAAACCGAAATCGTTGATGGTCTTGATGCGGGAGCCAGCCCACAAGGCCTTGCCATTGTGGAACCAATCCACACGCATCGATGGGTCGTTGATAGGCTGCAGGCGGCACTCGAAGTGGGCCAGCGAGTTCTCAGTGATGACCATGTCGAAGGGTGTAGTGATGAACTCTGGCGGCTTTCCTGTATCATCGTCAGGCACGAACTCGGTGCTGCGGGAGCCCAATCCCTCCAGTTCTGCGATGCGATCGATGGTTCCCTCCATGCCCTTTGGCAGTTGCGATTCCATAATGATGCTGCGCTTGCCCTGGATCTTCATGGTGGCAGTTGTGACAGCCTCGCCGTACTCGTTGATAGCACGGCAAGAGTATTCGCCAGAATCCTCGGGATACACAGGGGAAATCTCCAGAATAACAAATCCAAAGTCGCAGAAAGTGCGGAACCGAGAGCCGGCCTTCAATGGTCGTCCGTTCCAGTACCACTCGACCTTCAGCTTGGGATCATCAGTCGGCGTAATTCTAGCCTCGAAGTGGGCATTCTCGCCCTCGCGCAGATTCTCGATGTTCTCCAGCGGTACAGTGAAGACGGGAGCCTTGCCCTTGGTCTCCTCGGTGGTTTCGTCGCGAGTGCGCACCATGCTGTACTCCAGATTAGCGATCTTTTCCAGACCACCCTCCATGCCTCGCGGCAGCTGGGAGTCCAGAATGAGGCTAGCCTTGGAGGCGCACTTGAGCGAAGCTCGGGTCACATCCTCACCATATTTATTATAAGCCCTGCACTCGTACACTCCAGAGTTCTCCTCGTAACAATAAAGGATGTCCAGGATGACAATGCCAAAGTCGTGGAAGGTGCGGAAACGGTGACCATGTGGCAGTTTCTTACCATTAAAGTACCACTCTACAACCAAGTCTGGATCGGTGATGGGCGTCAAGCGAGCCTCAAAGTGAGCCGACTGGCCCTCCACCAGCTTGGTGACATCGCTGATCTGGGTGATGAACTTGGGTGGTTCAGCAACCACGGGAGCGGAAGTGTCGGCCTGCTGTCCTTGTGGGCACTCCAATTCCCTGATCCTCTGCAGCGAATCCGGCTGCAAGCTGTCGTAGAAAACTCCACCGCGACCTCCGCAGTTGAGGGTGGTGCGGGTGAAGTCCTCTCCGTACTTGTTCCATGCCCTGCACACGTACTCTCCGCTGTCGTGATCCTGCAGATAGGCAATGTCCAACACGACATAGCCAAAGTCGGACACGGTCTTAATGCGGTTGGAGTGACGCAGGAGCTTGCCGTTGTGATACCATTCTACCTTCAGTTCGGGATCATTGACAGGGATCAGGGTGCACTCAAAGTGAGCGGACTGACCGTCCTTCAGGCCCTGCAGCGGCTGGATATGGGAAGTGAAGCGCGGCTTCTGGCCCCTCGGCTTGTCCACGCACTCCAGGTTGCAGCTGATCTCGGCAGTTCCATGCTTGTTGGTGGCACGGCAAGTGTAGGTGCCGGTGTCCTCGATCTTCGTTCCAAGGACCTCAAGAGCCACAGTGCCAAAGGCGTAGATGGTGCGCACACGATGGCTGGCTTCCAGGACTTTTCCGTTATAGAACCACTCGATGACCATGCTCTGATCACCCACTGGGATGAGATTGGCCTCAAAGTGGGCCAGTTCACCCTCCCCAATGTCGGCGATGTTAACGAATTCGGTGGTGAAGCGCGGTGGGATACCCAGATCCGGTTGCTCCGGCTTCGAGCCGTCCTTGCGGAGAGAATCTTCCAGGTCCTGGATCTGTTCCAGGCCCTCAGCTCCCTTCGGATGCTGTGTGGAGTCAATGATGTTCGACTTGTCCGAACAGAAGATGGTGGTGGAGGTAAAGGCTTCACCAGCCTTATTGTAAGCCTTGCACGTGTAAATTCCCTGGTCGCGGGCATACACCTCGATCATATCCATGGTCACAAATCCAAACTCGCTGGTCATCTTGAAGCGAGAACCATGCTGCAGCATCTTGCCGTTGAAGTACCACTCGATGAACAAGTTTGGATCCTCCTTCGGCTCCACATTGGCCTCCAAGTGGATCGGTTGAGCCTCCGACAGATGGAACTCAGCCTGCAGGGGCTTGGTCCACACTGGTGGTGGGTACTGCGTTTCCGGCTTGGCTGATTTGTTGGCATATCGGTTGGCCAGAGCCTCCTCGGTTTCTTGAACGGCCTCCAGGCCAGTCTCACCCTGCGGATGCTGGGTGTCCAGGAACATGGTCTTGCCACCAGTGCACTTGAGAGTACCCGAGGTTGTAGCCGAACCCTTGCTGTTGGTGGCCTTGCAGGTGTAAACACCGCTGTTCTCAGCATACGAGTTGGTCAGATCCAGAGCGCAATAGCCGAAGTCGTAGATAGACTTGAACTTGGCAGCGGCTTGCAGGGGCTGTCCATTGTAGAACCATTCGATGGACATGGTCGGATCACGGGCCGGTTCGACGTTGCATTCGAAACGCACGTTATCGCCCTCCTTGCACTCGATGTTGTTAAGATGAGTGATGAACACCGGGGTCTCGTAGGTCGGCTCTGGAGCCTCAGGACGTCCCTCCTTGGGTGCCTCCAGTTCTCCGATGCGAGGAAGCGAATCCGGGTGCAGGGACTCGGCCTGAAGCCAGTGACGATCCTCGATCTTGAGGGAGGAGGTCGAAACAGCTTCGCCCACCTGGTTGGTGGCCTTGCAGGTGTAAATAGCCGAGTCATCCGCACGCAATCCATTGATGGACAGCGTAACTAAACCGAAATCGAAGGTGCTGCGGATGCGGGAGCCAGTGGTCAGGGAAATACCATTCTTGAACCACTCGATGCGAAGGTTGGGATCCGCACGCGGCTCCACCTGAGCCTCCAAGAGCACATGTTGACCCTCATGGAGCTTGTCGTAGCTCTGCAGGTGGGTGGTGAAGACTGGGGCCTGTTGTGGAGTCGAGTCCACAAACATCTCGGGAACACGGTTCATGGCAGCCTCCTTCAGGCGAATAGCCTCCCATGACTCTGGGATCAATGGTTGACCATCGATGTTCGCCCTCGTCTTCACCTTCATGGCAGTTGAGGACACAGCCTCACCAGCGGCGTTATAGGCACGGCACATGTAAACGCCAGCATCCTCTGGCACCACTGCAGCAATGTCCAAGGTAACGAATCCAAAGTCGTGGGTGGTACGCAGACGGGAGCCCATCTGCAGCTCCACGCCGTTGATGAACCATTCAAACTTGAGTGTCGGATCTCCCACAGGCACCACACGGGCCTCGAAGTGGGCGTGAGCGCCCTCCCAAAGCTCCGAAGGTCCAGTGAGCAGTTGAGTGAAGATGGGCTTCTCAAACAGACGCTCGGGTTCGCTAGGACGTGGAGCCACTGGCTTCTCCAGCTGGTGGATGCGACTGATGCTGTCCGGATGCTGGGTATCCATTTGGATGCTAGCCTCAGACACCACGCGCATGGAGGCGGTGGTTACAGCCTCACCCAAAGGATTTACAGCGCGGCACATGTACACGCCCTCATCCTCCTTGCGGATGTGCGAGATATCTAGCGAGACATAGCCAAAGTCGTGCTGCTTGGTGATACGGGAACTGTCTTCGATGAGCTTCTCGTTGCGGTACCACTCAACCTTGAGGTTGGGATCTCCCACGGGAATCAGACGGGCTTCGAAGTGGGCCGTCTGGTGCTCGTTGATCCTATCGATGTTCTGCAGAGGCTGAGTAAACACCGGACGCTGGCGAGTGCCTGGGGTCTCGGGTTCCTGGCGCTGATGCGGCGCCGTAGACTCCAGCTTGCGGATCTTCTCCAGACCCTCTGGATGTTGGGTGTCCGAAATGATGGTACCACGAGGAATAACCCTCAAGCTGGTGGAAGACACAGCCTGGCCCAAGGCGTTCACAGCACGGACGGAGTATTCACCGGCATCCTCGGCCACGGCATGGGTAATATCCAAGGACACGTAACCAAAGTCAAAGGTGATGTGGAAACGAGAGGCCGAGGGCAAAGGCTTGCCATTATGGTAGAACTCGATGCGCAAGTTAGGATCGTGAACCGGAGCCACTTGAGCCTCAAAGTGAGCCGTCTGGCCCTCGTAGATCTCAGTGGAGCCGCGCAGCTCTGCGGTGAAGTGAGGCGGACTGATCGGGTGCTCTCCGACCTCAGTGCGAGCATTCACCACCTTGGACTCCAGCTTCTGGATCTTCTCCAGAGCATCAGGATGCTGGGTATCCAGAATCATGCTGCGACGGTTCAACACGCGCACATTGCACGTATTCACAGCCTCCCCCAGCTGGTTGGTGGCCTTGCAGATGTAGGTGCCAGTATCCTCGCCATAGACGTACAGGATATCCAGGGCGACGTAGCCAAAGTCGTGGGTCGTGCGGAACCGATGACCAGTGGGCAGCTGCTTACCGTTGCAGAACCACTCGATCTTCAGGTTAGGATCGTTAATAGGTTCCACTCTGCACTCCAAGTGGGCATGTTCGCCCTCCTTCAAGTGCTCCAGGTTGCTCAGCGGGGTAAGGAAGATGGGCTTCTGGCCCTTCTCCTCCACCACGGCCTTAGTGGGTGGAGCATAGCTCTCCAACTGGCGAATCTTCTCCAATCGCTGAGCATCCAAGGTGTCCAGGTCGAGTGTCTTATTTGCTGTTAATAAAAAAGGTTTTAGAACAGAATTTAGATAAAGTAAATTAAGCAATTACCTGTTACGTTTACAGCACAAGTCGTGACAGCTTCTCCAACGGCGTTCTTGGCCTTGCACATGTAGGTGCCGGTGTCCTCGGCATGGGCGTACAGAATATCCAAAGCCACAAAGCCAAAGTCGTAGGTGGTCTTGAAGCGGTGACCCGTTTGGATGGGCCTGCCGTTGCAGTACCACTCCACCTTCATGGTGGGATCATTCACTGGGATCAACGTGGCCTCCAGATGGACGGGAGTTCCCTCGTTGACCTTGGCATTACGCAGCGGGCGTCCGAACTGGGGACGCTCGGCATGGAACTGCTCCTCGTCGGTCTTCCTCTGGAAGCGCGAAGCATCCTCCAAATGCTGGATCTTGGTCAGAGCCTCCTCGTGCTGGGTCTCATGGATAATGCCCGAGCGGGAGGTTACATTCAGGACAATCGAGTTGACGGCCTGGCCCAGGTTGTTGGTCACGCGGCAAGTGTACTCGCCGCTGTCCTCCGCATAGACAGTCAGGATGTCCAAGGCGGCGAATCCAAAGTCATAGGTGGTACGGAAGCGATGACCAGTGCTCAGGGGCTTGCCGTTGTGGAACCACTCCACCTTGAGGTTGGGATCTGGGTAGGGTTCAATGCGGCACTCGTAGTGAGCGCTCTGGCCCTCCACCAGATTGGTGGGTCCAATCAACTTGGTAACAAACACGGGTGCGGTGGTAACCGTGTATTCCTCCTCCTCCCTGCGCTGGTACTTGCTATGATCCTCCAACTGGTGAATCTTGTGCATGGCTGCCTCGTGCTGGGTCTCCAGCTGAATGGCAGTCTTTGATTGCACAATCAGTGAAGCGGAGGTGACCGCCTGGCCCAGCTCGTTGACAGCACGGCAGGTGTAAGTGCCAGAGTCCTCCGGGTTCACATACTTCATGTTGAGGGCGACGTAGCCAAAGTCATGCATGGTGGTGGTGCGGTTAGAGGCCTCGATGGGCTGGCCGTTGCGCAGCCACTCCACCTTCAGGTTCGGATCTCCCACCGGGATCAGGCGAGCCTCAAAGTGCACGGCCTGGTTCTCGGCCACACGGACATCTCTCACCGGCATGGTGAAGACGGGAGCCTGGGACACAAACTCATCCTGGACGCTGATGCGCTGGCGCTTGGAGCCATCCTCCAGGTGCTGTAGGCGTGGCAGAGCGGTCTCATGCTGCGACTCCAGGTAGATGGATTTCTTGGTGTGCACAACGGCCACGGCAGAGGTGATGGCTTCACCGACGGCATTGAAGGCACGGCAGGTGTAGGTGCCGGCATCTTCCGGCAACGTGGACATAATGTCCAAAGCCACAAAGCCAAAGTTGTTGGTCTCGGTGAAACGGGAACCAGACTTCAGAGGCAGATTATTGTGGTACCACTCCACGCGCATCGAAGGATCGGAGACGGGAATCAGGCGGCACTCGAAATGAGCCCTCTGGTTCTCCTTGATCTCAATGTTCTTCAGGGAAGTGGTGAACACTGGAGCCTGCTTGGTGCTCTCGTCGATCTCCTCGCGGCGGCTGTAGCGCGATCGATCCTCCAGGTAGTGGATCTGCTCCAAGCCAGCCTCGTTCTGGGTGACGGTGACAATCTGCTCACCGCTGCGGCACTGCAGCTCCACCTGGGTTTCATCGGAACCGATCAGGTTGACAGCCCTGCAGGTGTAGACACCAGAATCCTCGGCAATCAGCTGGACAATGTCCAGGGCCACATAGCCAAAGTCATGGATAGGACGGAAGCGATGGCCCACAGTGATGGGGCGACCGTTCTTGAACCACTCCACCTTCAGATTGGGATCCGTCACGGGCTCAATCTTGCACTCAAAGTGGGCGTGACCACCCTCGCGGGTGTTGGTCAGGCTCTTGGGGTGGGTGAGGAAACGCGGACGAATGTTGACCACCTCGTCAACGAACTCGTTGCGGCGATAGCGCGAAGAGTCCTCCAGATACTGAATCTTCTGCAATCCAGACTCGTTTTGCGTCTCCAGGATCAGATCGTTCTTGGCAATAATGCGTACGGAACACGAGGTGACAGCCTCGCCCAGCTGGTTCCTGGCCTGGCAGGTGTAGACACCCGAGTCGATGGCATAGCAGCCAAGCAGATCCAGGGCCACATAATCGAACTCATAGGCGGGACGGAAACGATGACCTGTCTTCACTGGTTTGCCGTTAACGAACCACTCGATGCGCATGCTGGGATCACCCACGGGCTGTAGGCGGCACTCCAGGTGAACATTGGTGCCCTCAACCGTCTCAATGTTGTGCAGAGCCCTGGTGAACTGGGGTGCCTGCATAACGGTGATATCCTCCTCCTGATGATGACGACGACGCGAATCCTCTAGCAGCTGGATCTGCTCCAGCGATTGCTCGTTCTGGGTCTCGGTGACCACATCCGTGTGGTCAATCACACGCACACAGGCCGAGGTGTGGGCAGAGCCCAGGTGGTTGGTGGCCCTCACCGTGTACTCGCCGGAATCGGCGGCCGTGGCCTTGATGATGTCCAGAGCCACAAAACCGAAGTCGTAGTAGGTGCGGAAACGGGAGCCCACAGTGACGGGGCGACCGTTATGGAACCACTCGACGCGCATGGTAGGATCACCCATTGGCTCCAGGCGGCACTCCAGATGGATGTTCTTGCCATCATGGATGGGCTTTGGATCGGTCAGAGGCTGGACAAATACCGGCTTGGACTTGGAGATCTCCTCAATGTCATATTGCGGCTCAACGAACTGCTTATTCTCCAGGTTCTGGGTCTTCTCGTACAGACCGCGGTGCATGCTAGATGTGTCGATACTGGAACGAGCTGTAAGAGAATAATGCGGGAGTAGTCAGTGCTGGAATAAAAGGTTGTTCCCCCCGCTTTTACTTACTTTCCACTATCATCGTTGCTTGCTGCTGAGCTTCACCTAGCTTGTTCCTGGCCACTACAAGGTAGACGCCAGCATCCTCGGCGCGCACCTGCGAAATATCGAGGGCGACGTAGCCAAAGTCGTAGTAGGTCTGGATGCGATTGGCGGCGGTGATGGAGCGACCGTTGTGGTACCACTCGATCTGCAGGCCCAGATCGCTCTGGGGCTCCACGCGGGCCTCGAAGTGAGCACGCTGACCCTCGAGGATCTTGGTGGTGCCCTTCAGGGGACCCAGGAAGCGTGGAGCCTGAGTGACATAGGTCTCCTCCTCCTCGCGACGTCCGTAGCGGGATGAGTCTTCCAGATGTTGGATCTTCTGGAGACCACCTGGGTGCTGCGACTCGGACACAATCTCGTTCTTGGAGATCACCGTCAGCTGGGCCACGGTGGTGTCTTGTCCCATGGCATTGTAGGCACGGCAAGTGTAGGTGCCGGCATCGTAGATGGTCAGCTGCTTGATTGTCAGCGCCACATAGCCAAAGTTGTGGTACGTGGTGATCCTGGAGCTGGCCTCCAGGGGCTGTCCGTCCTTCAGCCACTCGACGCGCATGGTGGAATCACCGATGGGTTCGAGACGCGCCTCGAAGTGCGCATGCGCGTGCTCTCGCAGGTCCAATTGGTTCTGGATCGGTGTCTTGAACTGAGGCGGAGCAATGGCCTCGGGCGCCTCCTGGACATGACGACGCTGCTGGGACTTACGGTAGTCCTCCAGCTCCTCCACCTTCTCAATATACCGCTGCTGCTCGGGAATACCCAGGTCAGCAGTGACCTGGGAACGCGAGTGAACACGGATCGACGATTGGCTGATGGCCTCGCCAATGCGGTTTACCGCCCGCACGGTATAAGTACCAGCATCCTCGGCCCTTAGGTGCAGGATGTTAAGGGAGACGTAGCCAAAGTTAAAGATGGCGGTGATGCGGGAACTGGCCGTTATGGGTAGTCCATCCTTGTACCACTCCACGCGCATAGAGGGATCATTAACGGGTGTAACCTGTGCCTCAAAGTGCACGTTCTTGCCCTCCTCGAACTCCCCGAGATCGCGGAGCGGGCGAATGAACTGCGGCGCCTGGTTGATCTGCTCCTCGGAGCTCTCCTGGCGCTGGTAGCGCGAGTAGTCTTCCACCTGGTTAATGTACTGCAGGCTATTAGGATTCTGCGATGCCTGCTCGATGGAGGGGCGCTGGACCACGGAAAGAATGGCACGAGACTCGGCCACTCCGCTGGCGTTGCTTACGCGGCACATGTACTCGCCGGAATCGTGGCCCATGATGCTCAGCAGATCCAGGGCGATGAAGCCGAACTTGAAGACGGACGTGGCGCGGGCACCTGGGTGAATAGATGGAAGAATATAAAATATCCCTTCTCTGAAAAGATCCTAAGTGACTTACTGGCTGCCAGCGGGCGTCCGTTAAGGAACCACTCGACGACCATGGTGGGGTCGCCGACGGGCTCAATGCGTGCCTCCATGTGGACGCGTCCACCCTCGGTCTGCTGCACATTCTGCAGCGGGATGATGAACTGCGGGGGCGGATAGACGCGATCCTCCTCTCCTGGACGGAGATGGGGCTTGGCGCGCTCTACATGACGCAGATAGATGATTTCAGGGCCAGGAATTGGTCTTAAGTAAACAACAAATTATAAAAATGAGAAACATAATTATTTAATTTACAAAAAAAAACTCACTCTGGCTCGATGACTTTCGTTGGTCTCGGGAGATTGAGACGCCGCTGCTCGTAGCTTGGCTCCTCCCTGGGAACCTCGACATAAAGTCGGGCCCTATTGGCCGTCGATCCGGCAATGTTCTGGGCGGTGCACTGATACCAACCCGCGTCGGTGGCCTTGACGCGCGGAATCTCCAGGCAGGTGGCGCCGCCGTCGATGCCCACGAAGCGCTCGGCGGTAGACGAGATCTGGACGCCGTCTTTCTGCCAGGTGATGCGTGGCTGAGGTGTGCCGATAGCGTTGGCACTCATCGTGATGGGCTCACCCTCGCGCACAGTCATGGTGCTGAAGCGTTGAACAAATTGTGGTGCGACAACCTGCTCCTTCTCCAGCACATTCAAATGCGCCTCGATGGCCACTTCGCCGGCCTTGTTGCGGGCCAGACATTGGACAGCGCCAGCATCCAGACGAGTCACGTTGGTGATCATCAGCGAATGGCTGCCGGACTCGTTGACCAGAATCTTATGGGAGGCATCGTCACGAACCTGGCGTCCGTTGATCAGCCAGAAGACTTCGGGGTAGGGATTGCCAGTCACACGGCAATCGAACCTGGTCATGCGACCCTCGGTCACCTCGCGGTCTCCAAAGGCTTTCACGAAGGCGGGAGGCAACGCCTTGCCCGCCTCCAATTGCTCGGCCATCATGTCCACGGGCTTGGGCTCGTAGGCAGACTCTGCGGCTGGTTCCACGGCCAACACGGCGGATGAAACCACACAGCCCTGCAAATTCTCGGCGAGCAGGGTGTAATGACCGCCGTCGCGAGCCGTGGCGTTCTTCACGCGCAGAGTGGCCACTCCGCTGGAGTAAGAGATCTCGTACTTCTGCGAGGCCACCAGGCGCTGACCATTGTGGAACCAGGTGAGCCGGGGCTTCGGGTTGGAACCGACGCGAGCCGTAAAGACGGCGTCGGAGCCTTCGATCAGCTTAGAGCTGCGCGGCTTCTGCGAGATCTGCGGTGCCTGCGCCGGACCCTGGTTACGGTCCAGCTCCTGCGAGAGCTGGGAGTCCTGCTCATATCCGGATCGACGGGTAATGGCCTCACGGAAGGAAACCTCACGCAGCAGCCGGTACTCGAAGGTGTCCACACGGAACTCCTCCTCGATGGACGTGTACGAATACCCGTTCGAGTAGATGTTCTTCTCCAGATTCTGGATGGGCTGCAGGGCGGGCATTGGGGCGCCCTCCGGCTGGATGTAGACGCTGCAGATGGCCTCGCCGTACTGGTTGCGCGCCGTGCACGTGTACTCGCCCTCGTCCCCGGGTCCGATCTGGTTGATCAGCAGGGACACGTCGCCGGTGGCCTCGTTGTAGCTCATCCGGAACTTCTGCGACTCGAGAAGGGGTGCGCCTTTCCGGGTCCAGGTCACGAATGGCTTTGGGTTGCCACGCAGGCGTCCCTCGAACAAAGCATTGCCGCCCTGGGCAAAGCGAGCGTTCTTGAAGATCTGCTCGAACACAGGTGGCGATATGTCGCCCTGAGCGTACACATGTGTCAGCGCCGGGGGCACATAGGCGCCTCCGATGTTGCCACCATGGAGTTGTTGCACTGTAAAATCAAATGGGTTGAACGTAATCGTTAGGATCATTAAGTTGTGAATGCGGTGAATGCGGGAATGAAGGCGGTTGTGGCAAAAATAATTCATTTTAATAATTAGGAAAGTAATAATTTGAATTAATTCTTTTATTTACTTTCCTTGACTTTCCTTTTATAATTTTGAAAATTGTTTAATAATTGAAATATTAAAATATTGAAATACTTAATTGTTTTCTCAGGTTTATTACTTCTTACTTACTGACTTTGGGAGTCAAGAGAGAAATTCATTTAATTGTTAAACTATTATTTAAATAAACTCATTTTTGAAAAATAGTAAAGGTGTTCTAAAAACACCTGAGCTTATATTTTTTTATTATATCCTTTTTATAAAATAATACCATTTACAATTTTATTCGCAAGCATCACTTTTGACAGGTTTATCTAGGTGACTAGTGAATCTGCAATAATCTTAGTTAAAGCTCCTTAATTTCCTTATTCAACCCCTTTACTTTAATTTATTTTTTATTGTCACTAATACCTCCTCCCCCAAGCATCAATATGTTATTTGTTTACTTTTTCTGTCTCACTTTAATTTCCCATTTATATTCATCTAAATTTAATTAAACTTAAAAAAGAATACCTGAAAACCTTGCAAGTCTACCCTTGAACCTTAACTAAAAATTGATTTAACATTGATTAGTATTTTTAGTTGGCACGCGTACCAAACTATTTTTAGTTTGTAATCTTCTAAGAGTAAACACCTCTAGAGATCTATATCTATATTCGTATTTGTATACCTGCGTATACGTTCAATAGGCGTTTGTTTATCAATTGAAAAGCAAGAAGTGTGTCATTAACGTGACGTAGATATAGGTTGTCGACTTTTGAGATACAGCTGATCGAAACATAAACAAATATGCAAATCAGCTGATTGCTCTCTTCTCATTGCTTTCTTTTCTTCTCTGCCCCGTTCTTTCTTCGCTCTCTTTTTAAGTTTTCTCTCACGCATGCCCATTAACTTCGTGTGTTTATCTTCGGGTGATCGTCTTCGGGTCTTGGGTATAAGAGAATGATCACCTCTTTCTCTCATCTCTTAGCCAGGAGAAATGTAAACAAAGTGCAGGGTACCAGAACTCTTATACGGATTATATATAGTACGTTCTACGTATAAGTATGTCAGTGCAGTCGTGGGAGATGAATAGATAAACTTATAAATAGACCAACTTTTTGGCTGTGCTCATCAATTAAGATTTAAATGATGAAACATAAGTTGACACATGAATATATATAGTATTTGTATGTTGCTGCTGCGCGACGGATTTATTTTTGATTTTTGAATTTTTAATGGTGACACATGTGCGCCGACACATCATCATCATCAGCCAGAAAATAATAAAAACTAATATGTATAATCCTCTTTTGATATTTAATTATCCGCCATATTTATATCTATATATTAGTTCGGATGTTTTTGATATATTTATTAAGAGATATAAACCAGATTTTTTGTGATTTATGATCCGGGAGCTATAATCATGTTTAGGCTATATTTCATTCGCAACAAAGGATTTTTGTTTATTTCAACACTTCTGTTCCTGTTATTGCTTAAAAACTGATTTCTGTATAGCTCAATGTCAAATTGGACAAAGTTTATTTATCTTTTTATTTATTGATGTGAATTCTTTAATTGTTGAAAAGACATGAAAGGTCGGATAAATCGTATTGTTTCATTAAAGGAAATTAATTAATATATTTCCGTTAAGTGGGAAATATGTCCAAGGTTAGAATAAGTTGCAACATGTATACATTATTGACTTGAATACATTTGCTTTGGGGAATTATAAAGAAACGAATGTGAATAGAAAGAAAGGAAGTAAATTATTCCTTGGAAAAAAGTAATCATATTTGTTTACCTAAACAACTTTGTAAACGTAAAGGGGTTCAATATACCCACAATGGGTAGATTCATCAAAAGGCAACTTAATCAATCAAGGGAGTATTTAATTACTGTAAATATGGGAGAGCCATGAATTGCAGTTCCTAATAATATTATTGATATGTGTTCCACCTAATAAATCAGGCAGGAAAGTGAAATAAACATGATTTCGAAATTCGGCCTGCTAATTGCTAACTTAAAATAAAAATGAATGGTCTAAAAATATGAATTAATATATATTTTAATTTATAAGGACTCCTTATTACTGCTTTTTAAAGAACTTAATTTTTTAGGTCATTTTTTTAGCCAAGACACACATTTTGCTTTTTATGTTTTGAACTCCAAAAGATTATCCAATTAATTTATTATTATTTTTTATTAAACTTTTAGCTATTAATTTGTATAGTCTACATAAATATCCTGACATTTTTAACCACCAACTAATTAATTGTCTTTTAAACTTATAACAACTGATAATATTTAGGCTACAAGAAGTCTAGCTTGTTAGATAAATCTTTCTTTACAGAAAACAATAGAGTTAGGAATTTTTCTAAGCAAACACTTCTGAACAAGTTAAATATCAGACACTATCTCATGTTTTTTTGTATGATAATACAAAATACCTTATACGTTTTTTTTTGTAGTCATTCATTTGACTTTATCTGAAGTAATTTTTGGTGCAGATAATGCAAGCCTCTGAAATCAAGTATTCACTTTAATCTTTCCTGTTTGTTAAGTGAACAAATTTTCCATTCAATACTTTACTGATAATAAATTCTGTGTTTTTATGCCAGTAAGTCTTGAATAAACTTTCATAATCCACGGGAAAATGGAAAGGTTAAGAAAAAGTCTGAGTTGTTGCCTTTATTAAATTTCCAAGGCTAAAAAATTCTCTTAAATTTCCCAACTATCATTCAGGCAAATAATGATTTCAAGGCCATTTTTTTTATGAAACGACAAGCAGCGGAATGATGAAATGCTTTATCCTGCATCCTTCGGCAATTCAGCGGGAATTGCTTGGGGACAGTGGGGATTCTTAATCCACGGTGTGAATCCCACCGAGCCCCGGGCAAACTTCCCCTGAGATTCGACGAGGAAGCAAATGACAAGGACGTGGACGTGGGTGTGGCCGAGAACGAGGACGATGACTGACCTTGCCGTTGGGTGGTGATTTGGCTGCGCTGGACGTGCTGCTCGGTGCGGCTAATCCTCTGCTGCTGGTGCTGCTCCTGGCTAGAGTGCGAGTACTCCTGCGTGGAGTACTGCTGCACCTGCTGCTGCTGTTGTTGCTGCTGCTGCTGCTGCTGCTGGTACGGGTTCGGATTTTGTCGTTGCATTTTGATGCGTTATATATCACTATATATCATTTAAAATGACAACCAAATCGCTGCAGAATGAACTGCACTGTAGAATTGAACACCTCGCGATCACTCTTTCTTTGATTTGCTTCTTCACTTGATATACTTCTATATATATTTATATCTCTCTCTCTTTGGTCGCTTCTTTAAATCGCTGAAATTAAATACACAGGGGCAAAGGCAGGGGACAGAAGATACGAGAATTTGCATTAATTTTTATGAATTTTTCACTATTTGATGAGGCAATAAGGATCACACACGCACAGAGTTCGGTTTAATTTATTACTACGATTTTTTGGCAAACATTTGTGGTTTTTCTTTGACGTTTTTAGTGATATCTTTCGCTTGATTTACTTTCATGTTTGGCTGTCACACATTTTGTTTTATCGCTCACTGGCTGCGCTGACACACTTTAAATTTTCTTTTTCGATGCTACGGTTTTAGATATAAATCAGATGAGATCGGTGATCTGAGCTGATGATCATTATCAGCCATCCTTCTTCATATATTCATTTTCATATTCTTTGCCTGCGAGAGGGGCATTTTCCAACTATTTTTAGCCTCGAAAAAATATATTTCACTGCGACACACGCACTCACACCACATACTCTCCTCATACACACTCTCACACACACACAGACACACTCTGGCACACACAGTCGGTGGTAGCTTCTTATTTTTCACGGGGCTATTAATAAACATTTCTTTCTGGTTTTCTCCTATAGGAAAACCCTCTTGCAGCCAAACCCAACGATATTCACACTTTTCGGGTCACTGCTTGAGCTTTTTCAGCGTGTAATCCTTGCCAGGATCAGCGGCAGCCAGGATAATGCACATTCACTAGATATATGCAGGCTTTCGCATATATATCTCGCTATATATATATAGATTGCTCGATCGATATCTGTTTGCACACGATTTCACAGTCTATTCGGTGAATTGGGTGCGGACCCACGAAGAACCGATACGATCCGAATCCGAATCCGAGTCCGAAACGAAGCACCCGATCGGTTGGTATATTTTTAGATATTTAGCGCACTGAAAAATTCTTTCGGCATTTTTTCTCAAAGTGGTTTCGTAACCAGAGAAAATTTTCATGAACACTATTTGTCGCCTTTCTTTAGGACTTTTGCATATATTTTCCACACTTTTTCATTAGATCCTTACTCGAAATTGCGTTATCCTTTCGACGTTCTATATATATACTTTCGTGTGCGGGACTCTAGGCGAACGAAATGGTTGCAGACGTATACATATATCTGTATCGTATGGTGCTTTAGATATAGATATATGTATATTCTTTTAAAAAATATCTATTTTCAAACTGTTTCAAGTCATAATCCCCGAGACTGAAACCAAGACGTCGATCGTTTGTGAGGTGCGAGCGAAGAATGACAAAATCTCGCAGAGAATGCGATCAAGTAGCAGTGCCTGCACACACGATTTTAGCCGATCGACAACGATTTCCATCCGAATCCATACGATCTCCTGCCGAGAGAGCCGAGGAGCACCAAATGATCTTCGGTGTGCGCTCCACATGAGATATTTTTGCATTTTCCTCGGACCCAATCTGGTTGTTGTTGTTGTGGGAAAATACTCTGGGAGCGGTGGATGCACTACACACGCCAGTGTGGGGTACTTAAGTTCGCGAAGATGGGTTTATAATTGTGATTAATTATTGGGATTTTACTGGGAAATTTTTTATTTTTTTTTATTTTATTATCAGTTGAGTTGAGAAAATGTTTTAAACCTTTCATTTTGTATGCTGGTTAATCCGTATGATCCTTATGGGAGGGGATATCTTACATTTCTTTCTTAGGAAACACTTTTTATTTATTTTATTGTTTTAATTTATTTAAAAGCTTAATCAATCTTTATATCCAGTTCCCAATTAATTTAATTCCATTTTTTTTTGTCACTTGTTAAACATTCGTCCCCAGGAGACACACCAATTTGCCTTGGCTTGCCAAAGAGAAAAAAGCTGTGATCGGTGGAGATCTCTATGGGGAGTATATCTTGGGAATCTCTCCGTGCCCCTCCTCTCAGATACTCTCAATTGGATTTCGGAAAGTGTTCGTTCGGGTTTTTTGAGTAAGTTGGCTAAAAATATATGGGGATTTATTTTTGACACGTATTTTTCAACATTGTGTGCACAAAATCGAAAACTAAGAAAGAAAGAACGAAGCACGAAGTCTTCCCAGAGAAATTCTAGATACCGTTAGAGTCAATGCATATGCATACACACGGCACAGATCCGTGTATCTATCGATTCCAGCTATCCGTGCACCAATAGATCCGCTCCTTATGTCGGCCTTCTGTTCCGATATAAATAATAGGATGTGTCCATCACAGTTTATCTTGCACAAATAAATACGTGAATACAGGCTGCAACCGATTCATGGAATTAAACTTTGCACAATATAATTAAAGGCTTAAGGGGGATTGTGGACCGTGTGGTCCGCCTCGATTTTTTTTCACATTTTCCACATAATTTATTTTGTTTGTCTAAAATTAAAACCACATAGATGTGGAGAGATATGTATAAAATTTGGCTCGTCCGCCCGCCGTTTGATACATATAACTTGATTATTCATTTGGTGTCTTAATCATCAGCACCACCATTGGCATCGGCATCAACATCAGAGATGTGGTTTTTTCAGTGACCAATTGGCAGGGAAAAATGTCGCAACTTTCTATTTCATTTTTAGCCATTTCAGAAAAATGCTCAAATACAAATTGCACCTAAAAAGCCAGTTGGCTTTGGCCTTTTAAGGCGAGGAGTCGCAGCCGCCCCAAGGCAGCCATCACTACTATGCTGTATACGGCAACCCGGTTTGCAATGGTCATGCAATATTTTTTTTTATTGTGTGCACAAATTGTTAATTGTTAACATGGACCGGCGACTGCAACACAGTTACAGAATCACTCATTAAATTACAAACACGGCGAAGTTGATTCTTGGCAGTTGAAAATGCGAGGCAGCCAGGCGCAGCGACGGCAAAGTTTCGACTGTCACCGTCGAGATACAAATGTATCTACAACAACCATTAAAGTGGCTGGGACAGAGATAAGCCGCTGCTGGCTGGTAAGAGGAGCAAAAGCCAGGCAGCACGCATCTCAACTAGCTTTCTTCGAAGCTAAAACGTGGCTAAAAGAGCCACTAAAACAACAACAGGAGTAACAGTTAGCCGGTTCTGCAAGGCAGATTGCAAAGAGTTTGTGTTTGTTGTTAGCGATGCGCTATGAAAATTAATATTACACTGGGGAAAATTTATAGGATATTTATTTTATTTTTAAAAAGGGACGCTGGTATTCCCAAGTGGTTACAGCCGTGCAAGAGTTAAAAATCATTGGATCTCTTCTAAAATCAACTAAACACACAAAAATTCGCAAATGGTTTTAGCGATGATTATACACTCAGTGCATTTTACTTTTGGTGTTGTCTATTGTCTTTTCTTAATAAACTAGTCGCTCAAAAAATCGGCTATTGAAACTATAATTCCCAACTGTTTCTAGCTTTGGCTTTATGAAATAATTCTTTAATAGCCCATAAAGTCAGCTGTTAAAGCTTTCCATCCTTTTCTCTGACAATGATAATAGCATTATATATTTCTGGTTCTTAAAATTAATTTTCACACCTTAAAATAAAGCATTTATTATGTAAAAATGCTCACATTTATCTCTAAGATATAAACTTGATTTTTAATAATTTTTCTCCATGCACATCTCTCCGCTTGGCAGCTGCTCTCTGAAAGATTAACAGCACTTATCTGTCTGTCCAGGTTGAGTCTGTATCTATATCTTATCGGAGATGCTCTGTGCAAAAATATTCGCCCAATTATGTCACGGCCAGAGAATGTGCCAGCAAACACAGCAACACAAGACGTACACGCATTTCACTTCTCTTTAATTAGTATGATTAATTGTTTAGTACAAATACATATATATATATATAGTAATAAGGCAACTGTGCTTAGGTTTAGTTGGATTTAGTTTAGCTCAAAAATTAGTTTGGCTTTTCTCCCAGCTCGAACTCGGGCGATGCCTTCAATTTACTGCGAACGAGATAAGAATTCGGGTTCAATTAACGATCGTTGGGAACACACAACATCGAAGGATGGTTGGAACAGATGCTGGATGAGAGTTGACACTTGAGTGTGTGTTGGAAGCAGGCAACATGCAACAGGCAGCGAGAATGATGGATATAAATACTTATGTTTATATAGTGAATGCAGCAGCCCCCCAAGTCGGCAATCGACCCCAAGCAAAGCCAATCCCATGTCCCTTCGGTGCGGCAGCCCCAGATGTAATGAGTCGCATAAGCAGATCTCAGGGCGGTGCACCAGAGGCTGCACTTCTGCCGCATAGTCTCGTTTTGGCATCGAATTTCGCTCTCAATCCCCAAGACTTTTCAAGACTCCCCAGTCCCGGTCTTGGGCCAGCAGCAGCCATTCAGCAAAACCATAAAACCGAAACGAAACGAAACGAAACGTCGACGGCGATGTTGCGGCGACTGCGCCCCAAGAGCACTGCATGCCAAGCGGCAATTTAGGTATAAAATGTCCAAATGTGGTTGACTTAATCCCTCCAAACGGGTGTCATTACTATCTTATTTTGTTGTCTTTATTTACTTGAAAATTCCCAAGACAAATCTGACACTAAAACAAGTTTATCTTATTTAAAACTAAAGATAATTTGTTGTAACTTTTAAATTTTTACAATCTTCTGCGAGATTAATTTGCATAATTTAAAGAGCATTCCCAGTTCGATCTTTTACTAGTTTCTTAGCTATTTCTTCTTCTGCGTTTTTCCTATCAATTGTTTATACAATTAGACACACGAGTCGCAGTCAAAGCCGCCCGTCAATCCCTCCCTCCCCCTTTTGCTGGCAAATGAAAGTTGCAATGCGGTGCAGAGCGAGCGCGGTGGCTGTAATCTATATTTAGTGATTTTACATGCGGTACCTCAAAGATATTCGAAATATGTCTGTATGGATTGCGTGACATGCAAGAGATGGCGATTGAGATTGAGAGATCGGGACTGCCCGTTTTGTAGCTAGCAATTTTCCAGATCGCTTGAGGATCAAAATGATGCATTTAGCCGAATGATTAATTATATGGATTCATTGCTCATGTGAATGGAAACAACACATTTGGCTTGGATGTGATGTAAACCAAACAAAAGAAAATGCCAATAAATTTAGTTAGTGATATTTGTGATTTGTGTTTACAATTACCTGTTTGCTCGCGTAGCTGCGGCTCCTGGTTGAAATCGGAGATGGAAACGGTTTTGGTGCTCACGTAGCTGATGGATTCAATAGTGGTCTCCCACTTCTGGAACGTGTTGATCGTGTCACTTCGGAGAGCGCGACTCGAATGGGAATGATTGCTCCTTAGGGGCGTTGAGGAGCGCAGCGACATGGTCGATGTGGCCGATCCCAATGAGGAACTGGCCGGCGAACTGGTCGACGAGGAGGAGAATGAGGCTGATTTACGCAAAGGCGTTTTATTGACGCCATTATCCAGGAGGTGGTGTTCATTTGTCCGGGCCTCGGTTGGCGTTGGTTCCTCTTCGGTTATTAGCAAACAATCCGTTTGAGTGCCTTGATCTAAGCACAGAGACAGAAAAGAGAAAAGGAAATTTATTAATTCAGTATTAAAAAGTGGAGACAGGAATTTTTTTTTTAAATAGTTCACATAATTTTCTCATAGAAAGATTGTTTAAGTATTTACTTTTTTATATTTAGTTAGGAATTGTATTTATAAATAATATTACTAACCATTGCTAAACTATTTACCTTATTTTGGGATTTTTTGTTTTATTTATTTCCTTTTATTTTTTACCGTGTATCAAAAAGAGAGTTTTTAGCAAATTAGAAACGCGGAAATGATTGGGATCTGTGGTTTTTATAGCTGCACTTGCTGCGTTTTTATATCCCTGCTCAATTAGCTGAAAACAATTAAATTCTTGCGCCTTTCTGGCAATTAGCGGAATTCGTGTTTATGCTAAAATCTTGGCCCCGATTTTCAGCAGAACCCGATGGCTGCACTCACCACGTTCCCTATTGTCTGCGTTTTGTTCGCTATTTTGTTCGCTAATTTACAGCGTGCGTGTATAAATATATAAATAAATAAATGTGCTGCTGCTGATGCTGCCGCTGTGCCTCTAGAGAGTGACTGACTTGTGGCAGGGTCAACAACGCGTGGCAGCACGGATGCTCGCATCCCATTCCCATGCCATTCCTCAGTATTTTCGGTTGAGGATGAGGCTGCCTGTCATCGGGGATTATGCAACTGAATTTGCGTGGCTCGCGGTTTGGTTTTGGGTATTTGCTTCATGATTCTTCGTTCTTGGTTATTCGGCGCCACAGTCCCTGTTTGTTGCGCCCAATTAAATGAAATCTATGCCATATTATATAGACATTAGAAAATATTTTCATGTTTGCTGGGCGAAACTGAAGTGCTAAATGCTTCTTAGCGAACGAACATCTGCGCAGTTCTAGGCCAATTCCCTCGGATTTCGAACTGCTGCTGGTTTATTACCCTTCGTCGTCGTGGGTGTGAGGAAAACAATTTTACGAGGCAACCAACTACTTTATAGTATCCGATTCGAATACTGTTGGCTCTTATCCAGTTTATAGAGATATATGTATTCGGTTAATATGTAGTACCTCTATAGATTGTCGTCGCAGCCGCCCAGATATTATAATACCGAAGAACCAAAGCGGAAATAGTATTATTAAAATTTATATGTGGCAAGTGCTCGCCCGGCCAAGCAAAAATTATTTGCCAGAATTAATATAGAAATTATTTGAAGCAAATAATGGTGTCTATATATCCTGGGCTGCAACGTAGTTGCTTCAGGGGAAATGTACAGTAAATCGTAGCACTTTTGGCTAATAAAATGATCCATTTATTTTGAAAATTAATTAAAAATTATTGAAAGTGTGACCACGCCTTAGCCATGTTGACCAATCTGATTCGGCATAATAAACCACTCAACTTGGATCCCACAGAAATGCCCATCTAATGGATCACAAAAGCGTTTCCTCATCCCCACGCATCGCCCAAAACTCTCTGTGAACAAAACAAAGAAAGCCAAAAGGAAGGAAAACCCAACAGAATTTAGGAAAATATTAACGAAATATTTAAAGTGGCAAGGAAATATTGTATGTGTGTGTTTTGTGACTTGCTGCGGCGCTGAGTTCATTTGGTATTTTTAGAAAATTACCCAATTAATTTAGAAAAACACCGACAGAGAGAGGGAGAATAGGGAAAAGAAACCATAATGCGAATGTTTGCGTTGCTGCGGAAAAGACTCATCGCAGAAAAATTTACGAAATCCTCTTTTGCAGAGGGGGACATATTTTTTGGCACAAACTCTTGGCCAAAAAATCCAGGCAGCTTCAAATTCGAAACCAATAATATTTGCCATTCGCGTATTGGAATCTGTTGGACTAACATTTGCCATAACGCACTGAGAAAACATTTGCTGGCACTCGATATAGTGAGTGAAATTTTGCAAATGTGCAAAAATATATACATATATATACTAAAGAATAAAAGCAAAAAACGGACAAGGCCGGACACAGCTCGAATATTTTAGTTTTGTGTTGAAAAAACGACACACGCGAAATGTTTTTCATGTTTCTCACGCCATTTTCTTTTCGTTTCGTTACGTTTTAGAATTTTATTTTGACAAAAAGTTTCATAATATTAATGACAGCGTTTTATTGGCTGCGAGAAAACAATTTTATGAATCATTAAGGTGCAAGGATCGGGCCTTATGCTCCCATTCAAAATGTGATTTCAATGAAATGATTGTAAACGCTGCACTGACCACTGCAAATGACTCAGAGTGTTTTGCATTTGGACGCTGTGAGTAGCGTCTAATTTGTTTCTTGGACCGCTGCCTAATGACTCGAACGAACACTTTGGCCAGCCACTAAGCACGCAATTAGAATTGGCAGATTGGCAGGCGGGTGGTGGGGCGGCCTTGGCTATAAAAGCAGCCAACGGGATGGGCCACCCACCCAGCAACGAGGGCCTAATCATCGGCAGAAGTGTGTCATATGTCCCAAAGTAGGACATAGTCAGGGAAGTAGTGGTGTTGAGTTTGTTAATGATGGTTTAGCTATACTCTGGTGTTATTTAGAGTTTTGTTAGGGATAGGAAATATTGGAAAATTATTAAACAAATATTACATACGATCGTCCTTGGCACAATTAAAATAATTAATAATTTAGAATGAAAATGCACTTGATAATGAAAAGGATCAATGTAAGAGTGACATCGATCACTCTCTTTCTCTAAGCAATCTAAATGTAATTGCGGAAGTGACACAAAAAAGTTACAAAGAGGCAGAATTTCTACAAAATTTAAATTAACTTGTCTTTTGGTATGTAAAAAATAATATAAAGAGAATAATTTAAAGTAAGTTGCATAGAAAGATAAAATAGCTAATTAATAAAAGTAAAGAAATACCAGATGTATATATTTTCAGGTAGAATGTCGACTATCTTTAGCTGGCAATCTGTGAGTTGTTCCAGAGTCTATTTATTTTTAAATTTTTAGTTAAACCCCCTGTAACTACCATCTGATCTTTTCTTAAAGAACCCACGTTTTCTAATCTAATAAAGATCAGCATAACTTTTCTTATAAAAAAAATATAAGAAATATTTTTCAATTTTGTATATATACATAATTTTTTATTTTAAATATTTTGATTGTTTATAGGAATATTAAGGGCTTTATTTTCATTATTTCAACCCACATTTTCTTAATCCATTAACTGTCAACCCTTAGCGACTATTTTAGCCCATTCTAGCTACTTGTGGTGATTTATAGTTTGGCAACACTGACTGCCGCCTGCCTTCTTGCCTTCCTCTGTTTTGACTTTTGTGGGGTTCGGTGTCAGTGTCAAGGACTTTCAAAGGCCTACATACTGCTGGGCCCCTGTGTGTACTCAATGCCTTGACAGCGGAGAGTGTTTATGTCTGGCATCATGTCCGTTCGAATTTCCTCCCTCCCAGCCCTCCTTCCTCCTCCCTGTCATTGCTGAAAATTGCTAGCATTTTCGCTAACGATTCGCTCGCTGGCGGTTCAAAATCTTGGCAAGCGATCGCGACAAAAAGAAAAGGCCAAGAGAAAATTAGATAAATAAACATTGCCGAAAAAACGCAAATAAATCATTTATGAGCAGCAAAGCGAATCTTAGTCGGACCGTCAGCCGCCCACACCCAGGGCATTTCTTCATTCCACACACAAATCCAAACATTTGTTTAGCGGATGGCTCTAGATTTTTTCGAATTATCTTCTGACCCGATTTTGAATGTAGTTTTTGGCCCAGTTTAAATATTTGTTCAATACGTATGTAGCAATGAGTAATGGAAAGCGAATTGACAAGCGAAACGGCATTTTAAAGTTCTGTAATTCATTCAGTTTATTTGAAATTAAAAACTTTTCTCAAGGCGGCCCCGAAAATATGCGTTGAAAGAATAATTAATCATGAGAGGCAAAGATCAAAGTACAGACCAAAATTAATGTCCAAATTTATTTGGTAGATAATTTTTCAAAGATCTGAGGGATCTGTGTACTTAATGTAAACATTTGTATGACGCTGATGGATACACACAGGGGATTATTAATCAAGTTGCATCAAAAATTATTAATATTTTTCAAGTATCTCAAGATTTCTGAGATCACTGATCACTTGGCGCCACCTAACGCCAAGATATACCAAAAGCTTTTTCGAACGAAAGAGATTTTCAGCTTTTTCGAACAGAATGCTTGATTTTTCCTCTAGAGAGCGCCACCCATAAAGCTTTTCACGATCGGAAAAATCGGAAAATTTAATCACAAGACAAATATTTTCTTTCAATTTCTTAAAACACCGTTCAAGATTATTCGTTTTCATGTTATTTTATTTGACTTTCGACAAAAACACAAGTAATACTATATTCCTTTGTTGTATGCATGTAAAATAGGGGACTTTTAACCGCAAAAAAACAATGGGGACAAAATGAGTGACATAGTGAATACATACACACAATAAGGCAAAACTTTGGCATTGAACAAATCATAAAATAAATAATAATAGTTATAATAATAATAGTTGCATTTAAACAACGGGCTTAGTATCTAAATCCGCGGTTTGTGCTCGAAACATTCAAATTTCCGCTAGTGCTGGCGGCTCCGAGCCGATTCATGGCGGTGCAGGCATAGCTGCCGTTGTCATCTGTCGGAATTCGAGACCATTTCATTCCATTCGGTTGCCAAAGGATGCCAAAGGATGAAGCCAGGAGGAAACAGCGAGAGAATTGGAGAATAGGAAGGTAAAACGATTAATGAGCTAGCCTAGTTGATTTGATTATACACAGAACAAAATATAAAAGGTTTAAGTAAAAGCTTGAATCATTTATTAAATTCCCAAATTAATAAGTTAACTTTACTTATAATTTGGGTTCTTGTATCAATTCAATTCAATTTAAATTTAAAATATTTATTCTAAAAGTTCGTTTGAAATTAATTTAACTCTTTAAAATCAACCTTTATTATAATTTTGTTCCGTGTAAATGTTTTGGTTGACCTGCCTGGCCGCAGAACCGTTCAGTTACTCACCCGGATAGGCCTGCGGCAGTGTTAGCCGGCACACGCCGTTCCGGTACTCGATGCAATGCCGACTGCCGGACTCCAGATGGCCGCCATTGTGCGTCCAGTTGACCTGCGGCTGCGGATGGGCCTGCACAATGCACTCGAAGCGCGCTGTTCCGCCCACGCCCACCGCGATGTCTTTTAGCGGCTGTCTCCGGCGAGGAGATTAGTGGTTGAGAGAGTGGAGGAGAGACAGAGAGATTTACGGGTTTCAGTTGCCGTGGTTTGGGGGTTAATGACTCGGCTTACCGTTATGAATAATGGCTGCCTTTGTGCCAGCTCATCGCGATTCAAATGCGCATTGACGGGTTCCGTATTGGGCAGTTCCGGCACTGAGTGGGCGCATTTCGGAGTTTTGGAGTGTGGATTGTAGAGGAGGTGTGGGAAACCATTAGAATCTCTGGCTCAGCGTTTTCAAAAGCGCTTCCATTAGTGGGATTAGCACGCGGCAAGCAGCACAAAACACAAACACTTATGTATATACGGATACGGGGATTCACTTTAAAGTTTAAACACACAAAAAACGCAAACAAACTTTTCATGCAAAAAATAACGAGCAAGGCAACAGCGAGCAGGGATTTCTTTTAGATAACATCTATATCTATATGTATAGTAGATTATCATGCTTTTTTGACTGGGGATTAAACTAGAGCCTGCTTTTATATATACACTTAATATAATGCCGATGAGGTTTTTTTGGGGGGGGTTAATCACAAGGATACAAAGCCACGGTTGCCACAAGAGATATAAACAGGATAAGCCGAGAATGTTTTAAAATAAAAATAGTTCTTGTCTTAAATTCTAAACGAAAAGGAATTTTTTTAGTCAAGAACCTTGAAGAGCTTCTCAGTTCATATCACTTGACGCATTCAATGGCAGGCGCACAATAGCAAAATGTCCTAGACTAATTGACAACATCGATATAGCGATTGAGAGATTGCGTGTTAAGCCGTTGTGATTGATGGCTTTCATCTGGTGACGACAGCCTTCGTGTCTTGTTTTTTTTTAGCTACTGTGCTTCAGTACCTGTGCGGACCATCTGATCCGGCGGCAGGCGTGGTGCCTGGGCATGGAGTCGGTCCAGGTGGATGTCGAGGTTGTGACAGCTAGGCAGGCTGTATCGCTTCTGCTGGCTGTTGATAGAGCTACGCGGGGCCATCGGCCTGCCACTTGACCAGTTTCTGGATGCCTGACTCCTGCGTTGGATCTCGTTATCGGAACTGTAGCCGTGCGAGGATCTCTCGTGCTGGACGGGTATGACCAGCTCATTGTTGCCCGGCGCCAGTTTCAGGGGATATGGGGAGTGGCGTCCGTTTTGGATGGGTTTAGAGGCATTACTGCCGCTGCTATTACTGTTCCACTGGCTACTGACGAACTTGTGACCCTCACCGGGAAACAGGATGCCAAATTCGTAGCCGAAATCGTATTTGAAATAGATTAAACCGGTATTGGGATCGACGCATTTGGTGCCTGATTGCAGTTTACAGATAAACATATAGACGATATAGGGGTTTTATCTTTGATGTAGTTGGTCGATTAGTGGGTTCTTAAAATAATTTCTGATAATTTAGTTACAAACTCGGGATGATAATGAATTAATTTCTTATCATAAAGACTTTGATATATGTACAACTAAATATAAACTTAATTGATAAACATAAAAAATAAATAAATCATCTTAAGCATCCAATAAAAACATATGAAAATAACTTTATATCTTATGAAATGCAAATAATAAATAATATTTGTATGAATATTCATGAATTTGGGAATTAATCAACCCAATAAACATTAAAAATTAGTAAATTTCTCGATATTTCAAATAATTTCAACCTGATAAACACAAAGGAGTGATTTCAAAATGATAAACGGATTAGTAAGAGGTCCGGTGGTATGTCAAAAGAATGCAAATTTCTCATAAACCAATTCAATCGAATTTCATCATCATAATTTTCCAATTTTCAAATCTCAAAATAATAATAATACCAATTCAAATGAGAAAAGGGAGCTGGCTCCAAATATATATCTACTGCAGGGTTAAATCCTTTTGTTGTTAATACAAAAAAGTGATCACTTACCGTATTGAGAGACCCGCGACTCATCCCGGAAGGCTTGAGGCTGCTGGTTGCTGCCTTCGCTGGGCGCCCTCTTGAAACCCGGTCGAATGCCATTCGAGGCATTGCTGCTCCTCACATCCCTGCTCACATCCTCCACAAATTGATGGGACTTTTGGAGAAAGGTGGAACCCATTCGCCTTCCCTGATTCTCTGCCTGCTGCTGCAGCGAGTTGTAACCATATCGGGGCAGAGTTCCGGCCCTGTCTATCTGATCCATGGACTGCTGTTGCTGTTGCTGCTGCCTCATGGTGGAGTTCCTATTTAAGGACTGAGTGCGATGCTGGGTGGTCACGGTACTGCCACCGCGCTGCTCTTTCCGCAGTGTGTTTATGTCCACATGGATCTTACTGGGCATCTCGGGGCCCCGATCGAATTCCATGGGCGACAAAACCCTTTCATAAGTTCGCGGCAAGCTGCAAGATCTTCCTGCTCCCTGGGGTGGTGCCACACGTCGATAGCCCTTGGTCAAACCATCGCCATACGGTGACCACAAGGGTTGGATGCGTGCTCCCTCCACTTCGCTCTCATAGTCACTCTCCCGGAACTCTCCAGGCACGAATTTGGTGGGCGTGGCCGGCGGTGGGAGATGGGATTGCCTGGAGGGTGTACGACTCGTGGCCGGACTGTAGGGGAAGGGCTCCAGCACGATCTGCTGATCCCTCTGCTCCTGCGGTCCATCAAAGTGAATAACCCGCTTGGTCTGCTGCATATTCACCACTCGCTGCGAACTCTCCGTAGACTCGTGCATCTGCATCACGTTCTTGGTCTCCGTGGCCACCTTGGCCAGGTGCATCGGAGCTCCAGCAACAGCATTGTAGTACATGGTCGGACGGGCATTGGCCTGTGGCTGATGCTGCTGCTGCTGAGTGGCAGCTATAAACTTGGCCGCCACAGGTTTGGGCTTATAAACCGGCTGACTTTGCTGCTGGTTTTGCGTAAACTTTGACTGCTGCTGTTTGGAGCTGCTGCTCTCCCTCTTGATCTCATGGCGTATCTCCTTGCCAATTGGCTCAAACTTGGGCCTGGCATAGCTGCTGCCCACCTCGGGTGGCGTTGGCTCGAATTCCATGGGTGAGGGGGTAACTACCACCACAGGGGATTTGTGGCCATTGGCGGCAATATTTGTACGCGGAGTGGGTGTGGGAGGGAATACCACACGATAGCCCTTGATCTCCGCATCCGATTCATTGGCACGCGACACCGAACGGAAGCGTTCATCAATCTCGCTGCTATAGTCACTGAACTCTGCTGCCGGTGTCTTCCGCTGGGCGGGAATGGGACTGGGATAGGTAACCACTGGTGGCGGTGCTACTCCAGCCGTCGTTGAAGAGAACTTGGTCTCATGATGGGAAGAGCTGCTCTGCATGTTATGTGAGTAATTGCTGGTCAAACTAGAAGAGGTGTAGTAGTCCTAGGGGATAAATGTTATAAAAATCATGATTAGCAAAGGATAATAATTGGAATATAAACAGACACTGAGAGGTAAATGAGAGTTAGCAAACAGGATTGTTTAGAGATCAGGCAAGTAACTAGATTAGGTCAATAGTTGAGGTTAGAGTTGAGTAAATGAACAGCAGCAAGCGAACGATAGGATAAGGCTCTTGAACTAGAAGTATTGAAAGTTCAAAAACCCTAAAGTCACTTAATGTTTATGATTATCAAGGAGCTTAGTGATTAATTGGTGTGTTTCTGGTAGGTAGTTGGGTGTTAGCTGGCCAAGAGCTACAATGGCACAGAGGCATTTTGCTTTTATTTATGTTTTGGGAGCGAGCTTTCCGCTTCCAGTGCTTGCTAAAACAACGACAATAAACGAGGAACAACAACAACACAGAGATAGTACACAGACACTGAGAAAAAATCGATTGCGAACCTTTGCCTCCTGGCTGCTGAAATTCGCTTGTGGCGGCACCTGCGTTTGGGGCTTCGGTGTAAAGTAAACCGGTGCCGGTGGTTCAGGGTGCAGCTTGGGAATCTGTCCCGGTTGTGTCGAGGACGAAGATTTAGTCTCGTAGAAACTAGTTTCCGATTTCCTATAGCTCGAGTGCTCCTCAGTATCTGCTGTATAGCCACTGGACTTGAACGAAGTCTCCGTGGTGGCCTGTTGATGTTGCTGATTGCGATTTCCCGGCTCCACATCCGACTCACTGCCACTGTACTTGTAGCGATCGCTCTCGTAGTCGCTCTCATAGAGTCCCAGTCGGTTTGGCAGAACTGGAGGTGGTGGGCGATAGGTAGAGCTGCTCAGGATTGGCTTTGATTGTGGAGGAGGTGCTGTAGCTGGTGTCAATGTTGGCACCGAATGGGGCAGGACTTTACTGGGTCCTTGGATCAGATTCTGTTCCAGTTTTTGCTCCATACTCTCCACAAGGGAACGACGACGCGACGTTGTGTCTTCCACTTTGGGTGCAAAGCAGATCTCTGGCGGGGTTCCAGGTTCCAGTTGTACGTTGACGACATGAGTCACCGGAGCCGATGTTGTGGTCGGTGGGGGTATGCTCTTCACTATTTGATTTACCAGGAAAGGTGCATTCAGCTCCTTGGTTGGTGTAGGTGTAGCCAGCGTTGAGGAGATCACTGTCTTCTCGGACTTGTGCTCGACATCACTGGAGTAACCAGTGACACCACTTGGTGTCCAAAGTCGGGACATGGCCACACCTTCGGCGGAGGGCTTGGGCGAGGGTGAACGAGGATTCTGCTGGGCAGGAGTGGCCAAGACAGCAGCAGGTCTCACTATAGGTTGTCCATACTCCACTTTGACCTCTTTGGTGGTGGTGGTTTCGTGTTGAACGGTCTGAAGTGGTGGTGGGAAGACTGGCACCCCACCCTGTGGTGGTGGCTCCTTTGGCTGAACTTCGGATAGGATCTTAATCTTCTCATTGATCAGGGGTACCTTGGGCTCCATCCTCTCTGGCTTGGGGGAATAGCAGAACTCGGGGGCATCTCCTGGTATCAAGTTCAAGCTCCTTAGCTCTTCTGCCAGAGTTTGTGCTTGTGGCTGTCGCACCACCGTCTCCAGGGGCTTAAAAGCCAAAGGTTTGGGTCGCTGGCTAATAGTCTCCTCGTCGATCTTCTTGAAATAGTCAAAGGAGGAGGTAGAGGTGCTGGACTTGTGCTCGCTCTGCTCGTATCTGGTGCTGGTTAGCGTCTGCATCTGCGGTGGCTGTTGCTGTTGCTGTAGGCCAAAAGTGGTGGCCACTACTGGCGTGCAGGGTTTTGGCGGCACCGCCGGCGGTGGGGCTTTGACTGTTGTGGGTTGGCTCTGATCGGTCTGATCCTGGCCGGCAGTGTTCGTTGTGATGGTGATTGTGTCGTTTGTGGTCGGTGTCTTGGGACGGGGCGTCAGCTCGGGCAGGTCCAGGTAGTTCGACTTGTGCTCTAGACGCATGGTTGCCTCTGTGGTGCAACGATGCTCAGTGATCACTTTCGACTCGGACAGGCCGTGCAGGTCATTTGCACTGGTCACATCCGTTTGACTGTTTTCGAACGACGGCTGTGGCTCGCTCTGAGTCTGAGTCGGAGTCTGAATCTGTTTACAGTTTCGATTTTGGTTTCAGTGTATGTTTTTGGATGGTGTGGTGGTGGTGGTGGTGTGGAAAACCCATGTGGAATGAGCAAAGCGAAACGAAAGAACGAACGACGTTGACATCATGAGAGGAGAGAATTCACAAAAGATTTGGTTTATTATATTGATCGAATTAAAAGTAAGTTAACAGAGTCAAAGAAGAGAGTAAAATAGAACAGAATAGTTCGGAGTAGATTGAGGTGATCGAGGAGGATAATGCATATAGAAGTCGTAGTAGGTGGTTAGATATTGAGCACATGCACACTTACTTCGGTTTTGAAATCGCTAGAAGGTATCTGGACGGGACCCGTCTCATAGACAATGGTCTTTACCACCTCCTGCATGCGTTCCGGCGAGGGCTCCAGGATGGCACAGTCGGCAATGCTTTTGGCCTCACCACCAGCATTCGTAGCGCGGACCATGTACTTGCCAGAGTCTGAAGTTTGTGCTGTGAAAAAATAAAAAAAAAAATAATTAGATAAATATAAAAATTAAACAAGCAATTAAATCTAAAATAAACTTGTTTTGATAAACAAGAATGTTTATAAGAACACGAAATTTGCTAATGTTCGATTAATTCAAGGCTTTTGAAATTTGGGTTAAGTAAACAACAAACTCTCGTTGTTATTTGCAAAATTTAAAAGGAAATGCTCTGCCAGTCAGCTGTCATTTCTTTTAATTTGTAAACTCTAGTTTAAAATACAATTTAGCTAGTACCTTTCTCGATGATAAGTCTGTAGGAGTTGCCCTGGGCAAGCAGGCGATGCTGTGAGATGCCGGCATCCTTTAGAGGCTTGTCGTCCTTCAGCCAAGTCACAGTGGGATCGGGTAGTCCTGTTACCTCCACCTCCATGACCAGCTTCTCGCCCTTCTTGCTGACTTGGGCCTGCAGGCGTCTTCCAAACACAGGCGGAAAAATGGTCTCTAAAATAATTTAAAAAAGTATTAGATAAAAACATAAAAAAGAATGAGTATTAACATATGGATAGTGCAAATAAATAACAGCCTTTGTGTGTCATTGCAACAGATATGTTGTTGTTCTCTTTGGTACTGAATAATTTACTTGAACAGCCGTCCCAATAATTGGCCATAATGAATAATTCGTTTAGACAGCGGCAGACAGCCAGTAAAAATAATCTCAAAGCGAACACATTGCACACTGGCAGCGGGCGACAATTCTGCAAACATTTCGAGTAAATAAACGATCTCACTCTTCAACGCGATTTACATAATAATAATTGCTAGCATTAGCCCCAACCCCAATCCTATCCCACCCCCACTGGCTGCCGCAAAGAATATTTATAAATTTGTGTAAGAAAATCTTTTGCATTGGCCAAGATTTTCATTCTTCCCTCACCCGGCGGTCGGGGGCCGAGGCCAGCTAACAAATAAGATTGAAATATAAACAACAACAATCGCACAGAGAATCATCATCCTCCTCCAAGCCTGTCGACCACTAAAAACTCATCAATATTCCTAGTCGAGCGGCGTCCGAGCCATTGACGTTTGAAGATCCATCCATTGACGGTCGTCCCAGCCATCATTCCCCCCACAATGACACTTTAATGCTCTGCGCTGATTGATGTGGTACACACAACATATGATATAGGGTCTATCGCAGGGAAAACATGTGTACGCGCTTTTGAACACGTTTTGCCAGCTTTTTTCCTTTCCTCTTTTTTACTTCATTTGAGTTCTGGGAAATTAATTTCGAAAGCAAGCGCCTCGTGGTCGTCGAAATTTGATAGCTTAAATTAGGTCGTGGGAGGTGCGGACAGTCGGACGACGGTGAGCTCATAAAATAAATGTATATTTTATAGATTAGGAAAAAAAATATTCCATGGATTTTGTGCCTAGGAAAATGTCTTTCTTGCGGTTTGGGAAATTATTATTTTGACAAATTAGTACTAATAGGATTTTTAAAACCACTTTAACCTTGAAAAATTGTACTTTTTTTAAATTATTTTATTTGAAACTCATGACACCCTTACTTTCTGCATATTATCTTTAGTTTTTCCACTCCTAAAATCTCTTAAAAACACAAACTACCCTCGCAATTTATTTGATTTCAATAAATCCCATATCAATACTCACTCTTAACAACCAAATCCGCAGTGCTGGTAGACTGTCCCACTGCATTGGAGGCTGTCACTGCATATCGTCCCGCATCCGCCACGTTCACCTGCTTCAGTTCGATGGTGACGCGATTGCACTTGTTGGAGATCTTGGTATGGGCGTCGTCAAACAGCTGACCACCATTCTTCTCCACCTTGATCTCGGGCGAGGGGAAGCCATCATAAATGGCCTCCATGCTGACATCGCTGCCTTGATCCACGATCTTACCGCTGAGAGGAGTGGTGAACCTAGGGGCAATCTCTCTCCTCAGGCGAGTTGGAGAATCCGGAATGGCAACGGCGGACTGACCATTGGGAGCACTTGATTGTATTAGGGTGAAGGATTTTTGCTGCACACTGGGACTGCTCATCTCCTTGCTCTTGTGCAGCTCCTGGTAGTGATGGCTCTCCACAATCTCGGGCCTCTGCTGGCCCAATTGCTTCAGCGACTGATCGATGTGGGCAGAGGAGTGATGAACCTCGGTTTGTGGAGCGTTACCCTCATAGGAGTTCACCTGCGAGGTGGAGGTTGTGGTAAAGGTTTGCTTCTTGATCGTCACTCGCGATGATTCGGTGTTGTGTTCCTGGGTCATGGTTTGGACATCACTAGAGGCGGGCAGACCGCTGCCAATAATGTTCAAAAAGGCCACACAGGTGGCCTTGCCCGCCTCATTTTCGGCCACACAGCTGATTTTGCCGACGGCATCGTGGGTCAGCTTCTGAATGGTCAAGACCTGGCGATCGCCGCTGGTGGACACCAGGAAGTTGTGACCATGCACGGGCTGATCGTTGAAGAACCAGTGAACTTTCGGCGTGGGCTTGCCCTTGACAATGCACTCGAACTTGATCACATCATCGATTTGACCCTGTTTGTCGCTGAAGAGCTCCCTGAATTCGGGGCACTGATGGCGATCCACAATCTCCACGGATGACTGGCTGCTGCGGCGATTTTCGGGAGCATTCACGGACTTTACAATGAGATGCGAGAAGCACTTGGCATCGCCCGCGCGATTGGACACTTTCACGGTATACACACCCTTGTCATCGGCACTCACATTGTTCAGGATGAGCTTGAAGATGCCCGATTCGGAGTCCGCTTTGGTGGTTACCCTGTCGCTCAGTTGGACATCCTTGTTGGTGAGGAACCACTGAGCCGTCAGCGGTTGATCTCCACTGGCCTGAACCTCCAAAATCACCTGCTCTCCTTCATCGGCCAGGACATCGGAAAGAAGTCGCTCGAACTTGGGCTGCGTATCCTTAGGCATGGATTGTCGCTCCGCCTGAGCCCTCGTCGCGGGTTCCGCCTGATTCAGAGGAGTCACCTTAAGCTCACAACTGCTAGAAGTTTCGCCCGCTGAATTGATGGCCACCACCTTGTAATGACCAGCATCCTCCTGGTAGACCTCTTGGATAATTAGCGAACAGCGATCGCCCTGGAACAGTAGCTGAACATCGGCGGATTCCTTGACGGGACGCTCGTTGTGATACCAGATAACCTCCGGCTCCGGCTGACCCACAATGACGCAGTCCAGCCGCACAGGTTTGCCCTCGAAAATGGAGACATCCTTGAGGGGCAGATGTACTGCCGGCTTAATGGGCTCAATATCGCTGGCCATCTCGGAATCGGAGGTTTCGTTGGGCAGGCGACCCTTCACTATCACGTTGCAACTGGTGTAAGCCTCGCCAGCTAAGTTCTTGGCGCTCAGGACGTAGGATCCGGCGTCGTTGGGATAAGCCTGCGGGATTAGCAGCGTTACGCGGCCGTATTCATACTGAAAGTACAGGGAGAAAAGCACGAAAAGTCGAGTCAGCAGAGATTGTGTTTTGAGTTCTCGGCGGAAGAATTCACCACACCCAGAAAAACCGAATGTGGTGGGTTAGGCTTTTCGATACCGAAATGCTTTTTCGTTCTAGTTTTTGTGTGTTTTTTTTTTGCAATTAAATTTTCCTTCTTTTTTACACCGATTTAAATCTTATTTACGAGTGTCTGTCCGGGTGCGTGTGTGTGTTTTGGCGGATGAGGCGCATCCGGCGGCTTGAAGAGGGGCGGCAGCAAAAACTCTTGTGTTTATTTTCCCGCAACAAATGATCTTTGTTTTGCCCCAAATTGCAGGAAGCACCTGAGAGTTCAGGTGTTCGACAACGCTTCAGTGGAGAAGAATCGAATACGCTTTTGAACAAGTGCCAATTACACGAGAATTGTTTAATCAATTTGATCCGAAAAGTGAGATCATGTTTTTCGGGACTCGGGACATTATTTTGTCAAACAAGCAAATGCGTCGACAGCGGCAATTAAAAAGTGCGGCCAATGAAATCATTTCTCAATTTCTATAGCACAAATGAAAATTTGCAAAAATCTTTCTACATATTTGCATATTTTTGTATATACAATGTTGGCGTCGGCGCCCACAATAAACAAATTGCCTGCCTGCCTGCCTGGCCAGGCACCGAATTTGCTGCCTGTGGTGAATTGGATTCGCTTTGGTCGCATGCCTCGTTGCAAGGAGGAGAGCTCTGCCAAAAATTGCAGCTATTAGATATTATATTATAGGCATAAGATCATTATATGGCTTAGCCTAGACTTGTGCATCGCACTATCTGCCCGCAAAAGTGCGTTGGCGTTGGCGTATTTTCAAAACGATTGCCTTGAATTTTCGACGATCATCAAGAGATTTGTGGAAAAATAAGGGGGGAGGGGAAAATGCGTGACTGACGTCAGAGCCGCTAGTATGATATCTTTTCAACATAATTTTTTTTTCGAATTATGTAGAGTCCAAACCGCACATGCACAACGCCCACCAAGCCAACACAGCACACCGCAAAAAATATAGAATTATCTTTGGTTTTTCTTTCCTTTCCAGCCAAAAGATTTTCTTTGGTATATAGAGAAGATACAATGTGTTTGTATATAGCCAGACAGACAGACAGACAGTTGGGGGAATTGTACTAGGTGGCATTACTCTATTTGTTTATTCTTTTGCTTTCATCCCAAGGCATGCAAACACTCGGGAGAAAGTCGAAAGGAAATCTCTGAGGGGTTTCCTTCTCTACAAACGAAATTAAATTGGCATATTTATAGCGATTTTTATAGAAGAAATTTTTTATCTGGTTTTATATTTAAACTTGTTCAAACAATTTACATTTTGAAGCAACAGATTTCTGTATAATTCATTAAAAGTTAATGTCTCAACACATTGTCCTTTATTATAATTTATACATCCCAAAAGGGGACCAAAATGATGTCAAACTTGCAAATGCGCAAAAAAGTACTAGAAATGTATGGAAATACATTTCTTACATTATTATCTTTTTGGATTTTTCCGTTAAGATATTTCCAGCCGGAAAATTCTAGACTTTACGAGATTATTACCCCGTATATAATGGCATTCAGCCAACTCACCTTGGAATCGCGCGGCTGGAAGGGTTTTCCGTTGTGCAGCCAATAGATTTCTGGCCTGGGAATGCCACTCACTATGGCCTCCAGCTTGATCTTCTGGCCCACACGGGCCATGGCATTAGACAGGGGCACCTTGAAACTGGGTAACTCTGTGGGCTCCAAAGCTATAGGAAATCAGAGATAAATTAAAAAGAAATATTATTATATTTGTTATTACTATTTTTAAAAATCATTAAACTTACGTTCCACAATCAAAGAAGCTGAACAATGCTCGATACCCGCTGGATTTGAGGCACTGCAAGTGTACACAGCATCGTCCTCCAGGAATACCTCCTCAAATCTCAGCGTAGCCTCACCATTATTATAGCTAATCACATAATCCGGTGAGTCATCGATGCACTTGTCATTCTTGAACCACTGAACCGTGGGCAGTGGAACTCCAGCCACCACACAGGCAAACTGGAAGGAACTACCCTCGGTGGCCTTGCCGCTCTCAAGGAATCTTAAGATCCTGGGCGGCACCAACTGCACCTCAGCGGCATTTTCCCGCACGGATAAGGTGGCATTGGTATCGCATGTGCCCACCAAATTCGAGGCACGACAACTGAAACGCGCCGAGTCGGCCGTAAAGGTTTCCTCGATCACTAACCGGCAGATGCCCTTGTCAAAGGTGGTCTTGTAGTCCGAGTTGTTTTGGATACTGATGCCATCCTTGAACCACTCCACTGTGGGTTCTGGAGTGCCCGTTACCTCGCACTCGAAGGTGAAGCGATCACCCTCACGGGTCACGGCATCCTTCAGGGGACGAATGAAGAGCGGCGAGGCGTAGCGCAGCTCCGTGAAAATGGAGTTCACCTGGATGTCCTTCCGTATGTTTTCGGTCACTATGCGCTGCTGGTCCACCTGATCGCGAAGGGTTTGCAGCCTGGTGATCTCCTCGCGTTGGATGCGTGCCTCCTCTTCGCGCTTCGAGCGAGCTTCGTTGTCCCGCCGGATTCTATCCTCTTCCTCTCTGCGGATACGGGTCTCCTCCTCCCTTTTGCTCTGTAGACGCACCTCCTCCTCTCGCTTGGCTATTTCCCGGAGAGTTTGAATTCGCAACTCTTCCTCCCTGGCCGCCTGCTCTCTGGCCAATTGCTCGCGGGAAGCCTGTTCCCGGATAGCCTTCAGTTTGGCCTCCTCTTCCCGAACAGCCTGCTCTCGGAGAGCCAATTCCCTGGCGGCCAGCTCCCTCTGTGCCTGCTCAATCGCCGCTTGCTGACGTTGACTTTCCAGGCGGGATTGCTCCTCCCGGAAGAGTCGCTCCTTGGCCTCCGCCTCCCTCTGTGCCTTCTCCCTTTCGGCCTGGTCGCGGGCATCTCGCTCTCGTTGCTCTTTTTGGCGCTGCTCCTGCTTTAGTCTCTCCGCCACCACATTGATGTCCATCTTGAGCTTGATGAACGACTGGAAGATGTTCATCACATCGTTGTACAGGGTCGAGACCTTGCTCATATCGTGGGCACACTGCGAGGCACTGTCCAGCTTGGCGCGGAGGGCAGCCTCCCGACTGGTCACATACTTTTCGATATCGTTGACCAGATTGGCGGCCTCGATGGGGTCACGCAGATAGGGAACCTTGTTGGAGACGCTACTGTAAAAGTAGCTAATTTCACGGTACTCCGCGTCGATCTGGATAATAGGGGGAAAATATTAGATTTATGGAAAACGAATTAAATGTTTAAATAATTGTAAACTATTTCATTCCAATCTTTTGGAAAGAAACAAAGGAAAAAATGAGCTTCATTTACAAACAATAAAACATTAATAGCACATCGTAAATGTCAACGAAATATAAAAACGAGAGCACGCGTGTCATTACAATAATTTATGGTGCTTGCTACAGATTAATTTATAGACTTTTTATTACACTTACCTTTTCGACCACCTCGAAGAACTCGGTTGCCTGGTTAAGGCTCTTTCGTTTCTGCTTCACCTGATCCTTGAAGCTCTGCCACTTGTCGTTGAGCTTGCGCAGTTCGTCCTTGACATAACGCTCGCTCTCGGGATTGCTAATCAAAAGTTGTTGGCTCGTGGACTCCGTAAACTTCTCGATCCGCTTCTCGAGCAGCTATATATTTATATATATATATATATATGAGTGTAGGAGGGAAGAGTGAAGATATTATCATTAGAGACAGCCAAAAATATACGTATATATTGCCAGCAAATTAACCCATTAGGCAGCAGCTAAAACGCAATGTCTAGGCAGAGTGCAGCCAAGCGGGATAAAATTCTTTTACACTGTAGAAAATGTATATATTTTGTATGATAATAAATATATAAATAAAATATTATTCTACAGATCTTATTGTTATGACGAAAATGTTAAAAATTGTTTATTTATATTCAAGAGGCATTGAATGATATAATATAAGAAAAAAATCTTTAAAATATTAATTAAAACCATTTTAACATTTTTTGAAAACTTATGAACCTTGAACCTTGTTTTTATATAAAATTAAATCTTTACGACATTTATTTACACGTAAATGTAAGTTTTAAGAAAGACCCTTGTTTTTTTCTGTGCACCGTTTGCTCACATCCGCTCTATAGCTTAGCTGGTCATAAAAATCGGAACGTCGAAAGCAATTTATAACAGCAAAAGGCCCAACAGCAAATATATATAAGTGCATTAAAAAGTGGTCTGAATGTGTGTGTTCTGGTCTCTGTTTCTGCTTCTGTTTCTGTTTCTCATCGGTTTGTATCTGTATCTTCTGGCGTATCCCTATCTCTGAGATGTATTTCATGTATTCGGCGCAGAGTTTTTAATTACAAACTAACGACAGCTGCCGCTGTCTGTCTAAAGCCCATCGCCCATCGCTGACAGCGACAACATTTTGAAAGTTGCGATATTTTCGAAATGCGTCTTCTATTTGGAAATTTGATGAATGTTGTGGGGCTGTCCCGACCGATCTTTCTTTCTAGTTTGGTGACCACCCAAAAAAGGGTAAGGAGCGGAAGGGAAGCAGCGCGTGCTGATGCTGATGCAAAAATAAAGGCGTGCAGGGATCGATCTGGTACATATCTGTATATCTATATCTATATATTCGAAAGCTATATCTATGGCTACCTCGAGGGTGTGGGCTGTTTGGCCCCATCGTCGCTGATGGCGCGTTGATTTCAATTGCTTGGGCATTGAACACTAGAATGGGATTAGATCATTCAATCATTTTTAAAGCCCATTCAATCTAGCCGGAAATTTGTTTAGCTACGTGTGGTGTCTCTTAATTACAGAAAATATGTAAAATATTGTTTAAATTTGGACAAGCTGATGTTTTTAAATTTTTAATTTATTTTAAGAGATTCGTTATAATATTTTCATATCTAATGCAGTCCAAGAGTTCCTTTTCTTTTGTTGTGTTATTTTTTTTAAAGCCATCTAATATCTCTCTCTTTCTCTTCACACTTCCCGTTCAAAACTCTTAAATAAACTCCACAATTTCCTCTGGGAAAAGACTAACAATATACAGAACCCCTGCCGCTGAATGCAATCTCTGTGGCTAAATGTTTATCCAATACAAACAGTTTAGTTTCGCACACACACACCGCGATCCACCGATCACCGATCCCATGTACCGATCCTAACCCACCTCAATGAACCGCTCGAATCGCTCGAAGTTCACTCACCTCTATGGTCCGTTCAAAATATTCAAACGCCAGCGACGTGGTCTTGGCCGCCGCTAAACTATCCACACTCTGGTTGTTGATCTCGTGCAGCTGCTGGCTAACACTGTCCAGACTACGATCGATGTCCTCGAGATCGCCGCGGAACTGCTCAATCTTCTCCTGCCGCTCCAGCGTCGACATCCTGGCACTGCTGTTCGACTCGAAGTGCAGTCGCAGATTCTCGAGCAACTTCAGTATGCGATCGGTGTCGATTTCGCGGGCTCCCGGCGGTTCCAGTACGCGCACCCGATCGATCAGCAGCTCGGATTGTGTGATTAACGATCTAAATTTATCCATGCACTGATCGCGGAATTTCTCGTGCTCTGCAATACTCCGATCAGCGCCAGAAGATGGCTGCTGCTGCTGCTGACGAGCGAAGTACTCGTCGATTTCGCGACGCAGCTGCACCGTGTTCTCCAGAAACTGAAGGATGCTCTCCACCAGCGTGCGATAGTCATACTTGATGCCATCCAACTTGGCCTTCAGCATGCGCAGGTTGTTGATCACCTGCTCGATCTTGGCCAGCGAGGGCTGGTCCTTTGTTTGGATGCTGAGTGTGGTCTGGATGCGCTGCTGGATCTCATCCTGAGCCCTCTCAATGTCCTGGCTGACGTGGGTGAGCTTCTCGCGGGTGCTGACCAGCAGCTGTTTGGCATCCACGCTGGTCGAGGTGAAGACGGGATACAACTGGGTGTCCACCTGTGTGCTCTTGGCCACAGTCTGCAAAAAGGGGGTGTTAATTAAAAGGAGTTTTTAAAGGGATTTTAGTAAGGGATAAGAGTAGAAACTAAATTGAGCAATCAAAGAGTCAATTCGTGTTTTTTAAAAATAAGCAAAACCAAAAGATATACTCCACTTTTAATTAGATTTCTTAGACTACCAAAATTAGGATTTATTCCAGCTAAAACTCCTCAAAGGAGTTCAGAAATAGTCTCTTGAAATAAATCCTATATATTTGCAATTAAGTTCTAATAACTCCAACACTCACCTCCTCGTTGTCGCTCATGACTTTCTCGAGTAGGTATTCCACTTGGCGCTTCTCCTCGATGCTGGTCGTCCAATTCTCCAAACTGCTCGTCACGTCGACCTGCCGCTTACTGAAGCCGTTCAGCGTCTCTTGCACCGCCTGTGCCGAGGATTTGGTCTCGAGATATGGATCCACAATCTGCGCAGCGACGCGTCGTTAAAAATAGCATAGAAAATAGATGATTTTTATTTTTATTTCTATTTGATTTTGGTTTTCGTATTATTTTTCTGTTTTTATTTTGTGTTGTATATTTCTTGTGCCTTGTGTCTTCGTCAAGTGTCGCGAGCAGACGCGTGCAGAGAGGGAATTTTTCCGAGTAAAAAAGCGGCGCGTGGCGCACGCATCTAACTGTGGCCAGGGTCTGCTGCCTTCTGCCATCCCGAGTCCAGGCCAGATCCGACCCAGCTCTCGCGACCAGACCCCGTATAGTACAACCTATCTATAGCCGGCAGCGCAAATTGCTTTCTTTATTTATGGACTCGACTTGACTCGATTCAACACACAACTTGCGGCGGAGCAGCAAAATTTCTAATTTCAAAAAATCGTCTGCTGCTGCTGGGCCGCCGCTTCTTCCCGGTTTTATGTGCACGTATGGGGCAAAATGACGTTGTCGTTTTGAATACATGTTTATGGCTAACCAAATCATATTGTTTATAATTTATGAACCCAGCACGGCGGACTGGCGAAAAGTTGAGGAAGACAGGGAGTTGAAAACAGGAACACTCTAGCCGATATGCTTGAGATTTATCTCTTTGGCTGGGAGGATCCATTAGAAAAAGTCTCAGGTTTAATTAAAAAATTATCTTTTGATCTAAGGAATTTTTTTTTTAAATTATACTGTCTTTAGGGGACATCAGATACAATGATATATTCGATACTATAGCTTTTAGTGTAAGGTAAAACTTTTAAATAATATTTTTACCAAGTTCCTTCTTAAAAAAGAAAAATATATGCCTATGGACCTCTCTCTTTAGATTTTATATATTAATAAAATTTTTTAATAATTTAAAAATTTCCCTAAGTAATTCCCTCAAGTGTAGCCGCTTGAATACCCTTTCCTTGCCCCAACTTTTCGCGATTCTTTGTGCAACGTCAGCAAGCCGCTTCTGGGAGCTGATGGACAGCGTGTGCAAAATGCGCCAGCTGTCAGCAGTTAGTTGGCGAAAGAGCAAAGTTTGCGGGCATAGATGAAGCATAAACAGAGTGCAGCATGCATAACGAACCAGCCCTGACATTAGAGAATTCCGCAAAACTTAGATTAAATAACTTATCCATATGAAAGTAGGAGAAGGAGAAGGAGGAGGAGGTGTAGTTTGAGAGCGGATGTGGAGTGCATTGACTCCCCTTAGCCCTATACCCACTTTTAAGTTGATGAATCTCTGACCGCGTGACTTGAGCTCGCTGTAGGTGGCTGCAATTCCCGTCCAGGTGGCCTGGAGGAACTGCAGCTTGTGCTCATCGGATGGTGTTTGCTGCAGCTGCCGCTCTAGGTTATCCAGCTGGCTGGAGAGCTCGTTGGCCAGCTCGAAGAAATCAATCAGCAGGGAGACACAGTCCACACGCTTCAGCACCAAATCCTTTAGCTCGATCCAGTGTTTGTGCAGTGACTCTGCCTTGGAGTCCACATCGTAGCGCTGCTGGGGACTTAGAGACTCCAGATGGATCTTGATGGACTCCAGTAGCATGTTGATTAGCTCTCCCTTGATCTGGCGATAGATAATTGAGGTTTTAGTTATAAATTTACAATTTAATGGCGAGTTTTTAAGATATTTACGGGGTGGGAACTCGGTGGAAAAGTATAAAACTTAAAAATATGCCGAAAAGCCATTATAAAAATATAGTTTTATGAAAAAATGCCACTTGAAATTAATTAAAAAGGTTACTGCTTTAATAACTTTACACTTTTTCAAGCAGTTTAATGAACATTATTTAAATAATGGAAAAAAATATTTAAAAATTAAAAAAGGCTCTGGTCAAGTGGAAATATTAAAATTGTATCTCTAAGAAGAACTCCAAGACCAACCCACCTCTAGATCCTGCATGAGTTCATGGTGCTGCAGGAGAAACTGCTTGGCTTGGTGGAGATTCCTTCCCATATCCACGTTCTGCTGAAGATGCATCTGACCCGAGGCCCTTAGCCAGGCCAAGAGCTCGTTGTGTTGAGTCAGGAACTCACTCAAGGCCCTCTGCACCTTCTGCTGATCCTCGCTGCTGTGGGCGCAGATACCCTCGATATAGGCTTTGCGGTTTTCCAGCTCATCGAGCACCCTCTTTACGCCATGCGTCTCCGGCTGCGTGCGTCCCACCTCGTCCAGGATGCCATAACCGATGCGGATTGGCTCCTCGGTGAAGTTTCGAACATCACGCTCCACTTTGGAGAACATGGCATAGCTCTCGGGGGAATTGGGCGGCAGTTTCACACTGGCCAGCTCCAGTTCGAGTTTCTCAAGGACACTCAGAGTGTGCTCGGCCTTGGCAAAGAACTCTCGGGATTGGTGCAGCCAGTGTTCCCGTTGATCCACCAGATCCAAGTGCTCGGTGCAGCCACTAAGGACGGCATAGGCCCGAGCACAGGCCTCATCGGAGGTGAAATGACCAGCGGACTGGACCTTCTCCTTGGCTCTGGTTATCTTAAGAGCTCGATCTCGGAGCAACAGAGCCTGTTGCTTCCAATCCCTGTATTTGGCGAGCATTTCATTGGCCGTGTGCTCGCACTCTCCCAGGCTGTACATGGTGTTTAGTTCGATGCGAGCCTTTTGCAGAGCCGCCTCTAGATCCACCAATTCCCGTCCCAGTAGGGCCAAGGCTAGGCACTGCTCCATTTGGGTCTTTCTCGTCTGCCAGGCGAGTTCCAGATCGTTTCTTCGATCGTGCAGGGCCTCCAGCCACTGTTGAACCTGGTGCACAGCCCTCGTGGCATCGCGCTTTATGTGCTCCGGTCTCGTATCAAGTGTCTCCAGCTTCTCCAGTTCCTCCAACTGGGCCAGCAGTTCGTTGCCATCCTTTAGAGCGGCCATCACGCCGGTGAGCATGTCAATTCTCAGTTGCTTGAATCTGTTGAGGAACTCTTGGATACGGGGGACATCTAGGGGCTGCAGGATTTCCTCGCAGGCCAATTCTAGCTGATCCATCTTTCGGAAGCACTGCGTCATCTTGTCATGGAACTGTGTGCAAAGTATAAGAATGTGTTGACGGTCCTGCAGGAGATTTAGAATGTCCTGCCAGATGATGTTTAGGGTATCGGCCATGGCATTGACGAGCTCCGAACTGATTCGCTTGCTGGCCAGCAGTTTGTCTGCCTTCTGCACGAACTCATCCATGGGTCCAGGCAGGCTCTGGAAGGGGATTTACAGGGTATTTAATATACAGTTTTTATATGAGGTTTGACCTCACTCACCTGTAGGTTTCGGAGAGTCTCATCGTGCTCCCTTTGCATACGCAACGATTCGTCTAGATTATCGCCCAAGGCTGTGATCTTTGGCTCCAGTTCTACCACCTTTATGTAGATCTTTTCGGGACTCTGAAATAAGTTAAGGGTATTTAATAAACATATATATAGATGATTTTGGGGTTAGAGTTATGAATGAATGTGGTGTCCTAAGATGGGAAAGAGATTTCAAAGCAAAAGAACTCCCTTCTACATTTTTTTCCAGAGAAACCTTATTAAAAACTAAATCTTTCTATCCCATTACATATTATCCTGTGTTAGCTTAGTCATAGGAATCTTGTTCTCTTTAAAATCCTACATTCCAACACATTATTATAAAATTTCCCAGAGATACCCCTTCCATAAGAATCCTCGCACTAGTTGCTACTATTTTAAGCAGCTATTCTCCCACAAGGGTCTGCGTCATTCCTGCTACCCAATTCCGAACCCAAAAACCATGACAGTCACGTTCCTGTGATCCCAGCAGCTGGATCTCTGGCTGCCTGGCCATTCATGAAACTCGTAGTTGACATCGGGCCAGGAAACGACGATGATCTCGTGCAGGAAAAACTGGGGAAAACCTGCTCCGGCTGCGACAATGCTGCACAGCAGCTTCTAATTTTGGTAGCACCGCCAGAAGCCAGAAGACAGACAAAAGCCAGAAGCCACAATCTTGGCTGGTATCCCAAGTGCAGAAGTGGCACCACAACCTCAGCTCTGTTTGATTGCAATGAAGGTCAGCATTGGCTGTTTATGGTAATGGCATCCGTTAGTTTTTCCTGTTGGGATGAGCATGTGTCGATGGAGTCGAGGGGGAAAAAGTGCCACATGCCACATGAACCGCCACGAAACCATGGAGAGCAGACAGAGCTTGGCTGATGGTTTTGAAACTGCTTCTGGTTGGGTTTTTATTGGGTTTTAGGGAAAGCTGCGTGGGCGTTAATTTCTACAAGTTTTTCTACAACTTTTTTTGGGAGTTACAGTGAAGCTTCAGAGAAAATTTAGTTTAGAAAAGGAAAGAAATTTAATAATAAAAATTTATTTAAATAAATGTTGTTATTAATAAAATATTTACTATATTTTAAATAGATTTGATGACAAGGTAGTTAGAATAGTTTTCCAATTTGCTTTTCTATTAATACTGCAAAGTCAAAATGGTTTTCTTTCAAGGAGTTGACCTGTAGTTTTCCAATTTAGCACCCAAAAGGTTTTCAGTTTATTTTATCTGTGACTGTCATTAATCAATTACTATACAAATTAATAACCCTGCTATTAAATTAAATTGTGTGTGTGCCCCACTAGCTGCGCGATGTAAAGCGATAAAGAAAACCAGTCAAAGTCAGTGACTCAATGCGACGTGAATTGATTTCCAATATATACATGCACACAAATAATTCTCGAAAATCGGAATAAATTTGAAGTGTAACGGACAGGGAGCGAGAGCAAGAGATGGGGGGGATGGATAATCACGTAGTCTAACTGAAATATGAACCATAAATGGCATGACATCACTATAAACAGGCCGACCATAACTAACCATACGTACGACGTATAAAGCATAAAGTAAACCATTATGCATATGGCCGGGCGCCTCGTACTCGACACAGGCCCCCCTGCACATGAAGAAAACTTGAAGTTGAATTTAATATAAATTATTTAGAATAAAGAAGATTTTCTATAATTTGGATAATCGTAGATTCGAAATTTTCAATGTGTTCAACATTTTTTTAATTGAAATATATTGTTTTAAACATTGGTTTTTGCCTAAATTAAGGTTTAACTCAAAGATTGACACTAGCATTTGACTGAGAAAAACGTAAGCAAAGTTTTCTTTTTTTATAGTATATAAAAAAAATATAAAAATGTCTTTAAAAACTTATTTCTTGATAAATTATTATTCAATTTTCTTACAAAAGGTCAGTCTGAATCCACCCAATTTATTATATATTAATAATTCACCATATCATTATCACTAACATTTTGCCCAGTGTACTCTATACGTCACTCATTGCGAAATTGAATCGTATTTCAAGTGGCGCACAGACACGCACCGAGCCGTTAAGATCCGTAATATGCATTTGGACATTTAGAAGCGCGTCTTCTTTGGCCGGCACTTGGGGCAGTCAGTCGCCAGCCGCGCGTTGCCAGTTGCCAAGGCGGAAGTGCTCCACGATCGTGGCCGGGTGGGAGGATTCATTTCGCTATACCATTTCCCTCCATCTATTCCCCACCCATCAAGGCGATGATATAATGCCAAAAGCACCGGCGGCGGTTCAAAAACAATAAGACCCAGAAAGGAATGCCAGGGTTCGGGAATCGAACAATGGAATACCCTTGTCGATCAATTAGGTCATTGACAGGCTGTATAATTATTTGGGTTTTTGATCAAATTTAACAGTTTGATCTATAATCGCATTATACGGAAGGGTGTCAGAGTTAATTAGGTAATCTTTATAAATAATAAAAGTATACTCGTTTTTAATAATGATAATAAAGGGGTATTGTAATATAACGTACAAATTTACAAGTAAATTTAATAACTGGAAAAATTAAATTATATGTACTTGGTACTAGCTCAAAATATGTTAGAAAATCAAGAGATTTATTTTCATAAGACAAGCAGATCCAGATTTATAACAGCAATAAAAATAAAGGCATCATTCGTGATCTCATATCTTACTTATAAATATGCAATTTAAGCTTTGAAAAGTGATTAATAAACTGGTTTAAAATGGTGCTATAAATTTGATTAATAGAAAAGTGAATGTCAAGATATTTATTTGTAAATAGCTTCAAAATAATTTCCAATCATTATTTATATCACAAAATATTCTCAACTAGGGTACAATAAGATCTACCAAAGTTGGCAAAGAACGTTTCAAGGAAAAAAGAATGAGACATGAGACTTGAGAGGGGTCCAAACACAATCGTCCACTTTGAGGCGCTTAGCGTGAAACACGTTTTTGGCTTTTAAATTAATACTTTGTGGCAGCGGATAGAACACGATTTCGATATAAAATTACCTCGATGCTGTTGTGTTGTTTTTGCTGTTATCGTTTTGTGTGAAATCATTGCGCATTTTTATAGAGCGCCGGCCTGTTCTGCTCTTTCATTAAAGCTGCGGCCATTGGCTATGTACCGTATGTACGTGTAATCCCGAATGCCGATCTCTGATTTAATTGGGAATAGCAATTTGCGGAGGCGTTGGCTTGTTTTACCTGATTTATTTTACTTTATCAGAATCCTTTTCAAGGAAATTGTAATGGAAATAATGGAGAAACATTGGGAAGATGTTAGACAAAATAACTTAATAACTTAATAGCATATGGCTATAATGTCTAGGTAGCAAATTTCTGGAAATACTTTATTACACTCGGTTTATTTTCCTGTTCTAATAATATTTATGTTCTTCATTGTAAAGCATTTTTAATTTTTTGTAATGCTTTTCTGCTCACTGATATTTACGATTTCGACAAACGATCAATTAAAATTAATGAACATTTTTCCACCTAACAATTTGGCAACGTTTACATCTTGTCTTTGAGAACGCCATATTTCGAAACATTTTTCTTATTTATCTGGTAAAGAAACACATGATTCACAATTTACACTAATGAATGAATATTCTCTTTCATTATGATTTTATTTATTTCACACATTTTCAAACATTTTAAATTGTGAATATATTTTTTTTCCTAAAGTTCACTAACCAGCCTTAACCTAAACAAAAAGACAAAGTACAGAAATACCACACATTCGCCCATTAATATGCAATTTTGCCACATTTCCATATCACATGTTTTGTTGGCCTTTTTGCGACAATTTCATTTTGTGGCTGTGCGACTGCTCTAATAAAGGTAAGCTAATTGAATACAAATTGAAAATGGCTCATTATAGCGACATAAATCAAACGGGAATGTGTGTGTGTTGCTCCTGATCAAACATAAGCCCGAATGTTGTATTTGAGGGTCATAAAAAGTTTGTACAAACACAGACCAATAAAAAAAACCACATTAACATACGTTGATGTGTGTGTGCGACTTGATAGAGAGCAAACAGCATTAATGTATTGTACAAATAGGCATATGCAAATGTATTTACTTTACCTATACACTAAGAAAAATTAGGACACCTGTAGAAAGGTAAAAACCAAATTAAAAACTTATATATTTCATTTCATTTCTAATTTATTGCTTTATTATTTAATATGAAAAGGAATCATATTTAAAAGAGTTATGGAATTATAGCCATAATTTGTTTTAAACTAGTTGGGAATTATAAGATAAATATGTGCAACATTCCTATGAATTAAATGTAATATTTAAGGTTTTTGGTTTGCATAAAAAAGTTGAATATTAAATTTCTACACTTCAATTTAGGTTCAATATATGTTTTTTTGCTTTAATTAAATAATATATTTAATAATTTCTTTTAAATTTATTTCTAAATTTTTGTGCAATTCTTATTCAAAGTGTAACCATATTGTTTCGGCGTTTGTTGTCATCACGCTCTGACGCTTTGGCTCTGTTCCTCCATTAAACTTAACTTGATTTTGTCATAAAACAAAGAACAGCAAAAACGTATTGCCCGCGTGTGTATTCCGCCGCTATTTTGTTATTGTTAATTTAGCAGAGGTTTCGCCTCGATCATCATCATCATCAGCGAGTAGTGATGTCAGACTTTTGGGGGTTCTATAAATACTACCTCCGAAAACATAACATACATAGAACAATTTCTGTTGAGGCTTTCTGTTTTGTGGGTCGCACTTTCCCAGGCCAATGTAAATTATGAGTACACGTATTGGGCAATCTCCCCATCGCTGCCGCCGTCGCCATCATCGAATGCAATTTAAATTTCAATTTAATTCGCAAGCCAACTAAAAGATAATTTCTATAATTGTTTCTACAAATTGTTGGCCACGACTCGCGGCAGCCTCCCATCTGCAACATCTGCAACATCGCCGGCAGCAGCAGCAGCAGCAGGAGTCTTTGCCGCCTGCAAAGCGCGACTTTCATTGAACGTTTATCGGCGACTATCAGTTGCCATGTAAACATGCAATATATTTCGCGTCTCTAACTCGAAAACCGCCGAGC